TTTTTGTTGGAGCGGGTTCGCACACTTATCCGATGTGGTGTTCTCACAAAAAAAAAACAAAGGCAATTTGGAAACGACAGAAGAAATTTAACGAGGCGATAGGTAGATCTTTCAATTTAATGGCCTACACAAGCAAGAATGGTTAATTGAAACATGTGAGAACTTTGAATGCCGTTTGTCGCCGACATTGAAAATGCTTAATTATCTTTTTTCTTGTTGACAACGATGCTGAAAGTTAACATTTTTATGCGTACATATATAAAAGATAGGTTGAAAGTTATGCAAAAATCGATTGAAAATCGAATTTATAATTTCGATATCAAGAAAAACGTTATTTTTACTGTTTATTTTTACATATATATGAGTTTTAGATATTTTATATATTCAAATTACAGTCATAAGTAATTTTCGCCTACTGAAAAAAAACGGCTGATTAAACTACCGGACCGATGGTTTTTATTCATTATTGCGGGCCACCCGGTGAGAAGTAATAGCCGGTTTTTGATGTGAAGGCATTAAAAAAAACACTTGACGCAAGAAAAAGCAATCGATGAGACACGGAACGGCGAGTGTTGTGTGCTAAATTGTGAATGCGAGAGGTTACCAACAATCACTGGGCGATTGCGAGGGTCGACCAAAACCAAACGTCGAGGTAACCATCGCGCGGAGTTGAGTCGAACGCACACAAGGTCGGACTATGGTGAGCGCGAGAGAGTGCGCCGATAAGTGACCCTCACTCAGCTACGCCATGCCTCACTCTTCTGCATATCAATCGGATATGCCGGCCCAATGTCCTCAATTGGTGTGCCGCTGACTAGACTAGTTTAACAAGCTTGCCGTATGACCCTAACAACATAAGTTAAAAAAGGTGACATGGGCACCGAAAATTAAATAAAAAATATTTAATTCTATGAAATTTGAGAATATTCGTAACAAAAGCTACTAAGAAGTACTGTTTTGTTTAATTAATAGTGCAAATATAAAAAAAGTGATTTAAAAATCAATAACGAATGTTTCCACAAAAAAATACGTGTTTGCATCTCGGTACAAAATAATAGTTTATTTTTTTTTTAATTTTCAAAAAATAGCAATACATACTTCCTGTTTAAACTATCGGTTCTATTGTTCAAAAAACAGCAAACACGGTAATATCTATACAATTTTTTTGTGACAGTTTCTACATGTCCTTGGAATCAGACATGCGTATAATATAAAAGTTCAATGCCTGCTTTTTGCGTTTTAGAAAATCTGAATAAATGGGTTCAACGATATGCAAATGCATGAAACTCCGCACACGTGTTCGGTTTGTTCATTGTATAGTATAGTTTGTACATATTATTAGTTGTTTTATTTTAGAGGAGAGTGGGGGAACATTCACCAGATTACGCGCAAATTGCAGGTAAATAGAGTTCCCCCAAAATATTCAATGCACTCACCGGAATTGACAAATTGAATCTGTTTTTGTTGATTGATTGATTATTATCTGAAAAAAATTACGGCATAAAAACTAACTTCACATCAAATGCCAGATAAATGTGTCAATTTTTCGTAGTGAAATGTCAAAACCCATCTGGGAGTCGTATAGTATATGTGAAAAAAAATAATAAAACTTATAAATCAGTATGCTTAAACTTGGTTGTTTTTTTTTCAATGTTCCACACTCACTTAAAAATGTAAAAAAAATCAATAAACTGCAGTAAAATGATTTGGGTGACGAGTCCTTTGAAATTGAAAATGTCGCACCGCCAAATTGATTTTAGTTTAAAGTGTTTTAGGAAGAAACGTGCAAATAATTCAGCTTTTTTGAGCGTTTGAAGTTATATGATTTTTAGAAAAAAAGCAGGCTAAAAAATTTTCATAATTCATGGTGATACGACTCTAAGGTAAACAACTATTTCCGCAAAAGAAGACGACAAAATGAAATATATAATTGTAGTTTTAGAGAGGAGGATAAATGCCGCAAAGCATTAAAACCATTTCCGGATTAGAACGACCTCTAGGATTTTTATGAATTCAAGAATAGTGAAGTCAAGCGTATTGGTTATGTTATTAAAATTCATATTTATGTTTCCGAAAACTTTGTATTATTCCAATTAGCGCAATTAAATTCGATGAGCTCGTACAAAGTCGCGTTGAGATATACAAATTGTTCTAAAACATGAAAAACTTAAAATCACTACACAAATATTCAAATCTAAAACGAAAATATAATTCAAAAGTATGTCAGATGATGGAAAACATTTTCAAGTGCATTTGATATAAATATTCGCGGGGCGATTTGTAAAGCAAACAATGGGTATATGCATCTCAGATAAAACTTCACCCTACGACGAAAAAAACGCGATGAAAATTTTGCATACATGCGTTTGCAAGAGGAAAAAACGAGAATCACTAGCCAACATAAAAGAAAATGAAAATACAACTCTAGGGTGTAATTTTTAATCTTTTTACTTTTAGAAAATCGTAATTTCAAGTTTCTTGTGATATTAACAATGCATTTTGACATATGAAAACTCTTTTGAATTTTAAGCTGAGAAATAACAAGCAAATATTTTTGATAGGTTGATGACGGAAATTCTCAATGGTGTTGCATTTATTAGCTTTGAATAAATATACGGATTTAACTTGTAACAAAACATTAGGCGGTTTGATAAAACAATTTATAAGTAATATATTTGAAGATTTTTATGAATAATGTTTTTGAACAAGATATTTAAAGCAGATTTTTTTGGATAAAATATTTGCAGCGCACTTCTATGTCTCGAGACACTGCAAATATAAATAAAATTTCGTTTCCCGACAATGTTATAGAAATCTTCGAAATAATGGATATCTTGAAGAAATCTATAGCTACTATAAATTTATACTTATGTAAATAGGACATATGGTTTTATTGGCATTGTTGCACAATTTCTTAAGAAAATTATAACAATAGTAATTTATAAATTCAAGTTATATACTTAGTATTGAAAATTGTATCTTTGTTTTCGACAGCGTTGAGCATTCAGCAGTGTGACAGAGCCTAAGAGACCAAGGCGTTCTACTCCAAAGTTGTTACTCTGAATGTTCCACAAGCATCACGCCATTCCATCGGCAGGTAGAAATACCTGTTCGAAGAGGAGTAAGACAAGGTGATCCAATCTTGCCGAAATCTTTTCTCCGCGTGTCTGGAACAAGTCTTCCGTGGATTGTTTTGGAGTCAATTCAAAAACGACTCAGAAGACAATACGAACATTTCAGAACTACGAATGAATTGCCGAAACTTCACACACACACACCTGGTTTGCAGACGACGTTGTGCTAATAGCGCACAGACCGCAAGCGGCATCCGAGATGCTTAGCGAGACGGTTGCGAGATGCAAACAAGTAGGGCTCCAGATTAACGCTGAAAAGACCAAAGTCCTACGTAACCCCTTCACTGACTCCGCCAAGGTTACCTATGTGGTTCTCGCCTCAACAGGCGAAGGACGAAACGAAGTGACCAAGTAGGTAAGTAAAATTTTTTTTTAAAAAAGCTAAATCCATAAATTGAAAATTCTGCCATGACACCACCTTTTTTTGCAAGAGAACCTACCTATATAAAAAACGCGAGTGTTCTTGCACGTCTCAACATTTTTCATTTATCATCAACATATATCACATGTAAAGGTTGTCGAACAAATAATATGATTGACGTTACTTGTGATATGTTTGCATTTTTCTCTTTTTTCATAAAGGACAAAGAGGTTCGCCGCGTGCTGTCGATTTATCACACGGCATGCACTGACGCTGCAAACCGATTAAAGCGTATAAACAACAAGGAAAAGAACGCAGTCGAACACATGAGTGTTTATTTCATTTTTTCATTGCACTTTGCAAACAAAACTCCTCCAGAAACGCCTTACTCACCAATTACATTTCTTGTCATTTTTTGCTCTTTTCCTTCTCAGCGAACACCACCTGACCTGGAAACTAGCGAGGTTTCATTTTTCTTCCGCTGCATTTGACTCCATGTTACTTTACAACACCAAAAAATCGTATTGCTGCTCTTCATCCTTCCGATGTTTCAAACTTGCACGCCCTCCTTTGATCTTATCAATACGTTGGTTGATGAACGCTTTCTTGCACTCTTTACAAGTTGTTATAATAAATGTTCAATGTAGGGTAGGCGAACAATATACTTCGATTGATTCCTAAGTCCACTCAATTTTATTCCCAAAAAGAGACAAAAAACACATAAAAGAAACGTCCTTCCCAAACCGCATTTTTTTCCGCGCTTGCAATACATCAGCGAAAATTTTCGCAGTTGCCACGTAAACAAAATCGAACGCTGATCGCGGTCTTGCATGTTGCGTGCTTTTTTCATTATTCTCTTTTGTTTTCAACATTTCTAAAGAATAGCTGAACGCTTTTGTTACATAGTTTTAGAGTACAGACTGCGTCATTTTCTTCAAGTTTGCATCAATTTCAACAACATTTGTTGGCTTTAATGGATTGCCAGCAACTACTGTGCAAGACGATGAAAAACGTGATAGGAAAGAAATCTTTCTTTCATTTATCGCACTTCTGCCTGTTTGCTTGACTGCAATGACCAGCTGTTCCAAAAAAACGCAGCACAATGACCGAACAAACCAAAATAACAGAGAAATTGGTTTCGTAAAAACCTTGGTATTGCCGTCGCTTGCACTTCTCCCGCCGCTTCCCACAAATCACTAGAAGAGGGGGAAAAAAGATACAATCGGAACCGTCGTGGCCTCAACCAACCCCGACCTTTTCTTTTTTCTCAATCGTATACAATTTGTTTCGGCCACTGTTTTATTACATTCGCACTCGAAATCAATATGCCTATGTTGTGCCTTTTTTTATTTCCCTATATCGTCTAGATCTCTTCAATATTTGATCATATCACCTTCTATTTCAATCGTCCCCCCCCCCCGATTTTCATTTCATTTATCGTTGTTGTCGACGGTTTGTCGACACTGTTGTTTCATCAGCAGCATATTACGAGAATATTGCAGGGAATGGCTGACACGGCAATAGAAATCCCAAAAGCTAGTGAGTCACCTCGTCAAGGAGGAAACATTCGATCATTATGATTTTTTTTGTTAATATATTCATATCAACTTTTAGGCTGGGTTCGTCTCGAGATTGAGCCTGTCCAAGTGAATGTTGATAGCGATACGACCGTCAACTTTGCCACGATTCAATCGATTGTTCCAGGAGCTCACGGACTTTACTATCGAGATGACGGAGAACGTAAAGCTCTCTTGTGAGTTTTCTTTTTTATATAAATTTAAATGTATCAAAAACAATGATGATTCCAGTCAAACAGGTTTTATAATATTTTATGTTAATTTTTTGAATATTAAACGCCAGCCGGTAAATGCAAACAATTTTAAGGTCATTATCAGCTGCGCCCTTATTTTCTGTTATCAACATGACATTAAAATATAATTTCTGCAATCTCCTTCCTCCTCTTCTCTTCTTCTCCCAATCATTGTCGCTTATTGTGTAACCTTGCACTTGTTATCGCTTGCGTGATTGTTCGCAGTTCTATTTCAATTATATGTAATCAAGTGACAGATCAGTTGGGTAGTATACGGCGACTGATATTTATAAACACAAGTTTCTGGCGTCTAAATTGTTTTCGTTTCAAAACCGGATTCAAAATTTTCTTTTATCATAGCGTGCCACGATTTAATAGGTACTCAATCAAATGATACTAATATCAGATTCGACAACAACACTGGAAAGGTTTTTCCACCCCCAAATGGATGGGACTCGGTTCCAGTTTTCATTCATTTAGGTATCAAAACATATTATTGAGAAAACAAAAACGTGCCGTATTTCAATTTTTGCAGCCCACGGATCAAGAAACAAGGCGCACTTTGCTGATTACAGCAAGGCGAATGAGGCTTTTGAGAAGAACATCACAGCTGTTCAGAGACTATTTGGTACTGCCAATTCATTTCTGATATGTCGATTAAAAAACATTTATGTTTTGTAGCTGCCGCTGGGCTTGGGAATGCGAGCAGGGTGTACAATACGAACAAGACGAGAGCCCGTAGTTCATCGAAAAGAAACCACCCAAAAAGTGGATTCGAAGCGCAGCCAGAAAATGCGATTATTGGAGAAGAAAGCGAGGAAGCGGTTGATAAGATTGACCCACTTGTAGAAAAGTTGAAGCTTAAGAATGCCGAATTGAAGTCAAGGTTCAAATAAGAATGATAAAAAAATTTACGTAAATATTCTGCAGAATTAAGGAGTATAAGAATGAGCTTCACGCTGCAAATCAGAAAATTAAGAAGCTTGAAAATGAAGGCGAGGACAAATCCTCTCACGATTACAGCGAAAAGGACGAAGAAATCAAGTAATTAATAGACCAATTACCACTGTAATTCTTTTTTTGTTTAGCAACCTTCACACCGTAATTGAGGAGCTTCGCAACAAACTTTCCCAAGCTGAGAGTATCAAGAAAAATGTGGAGTCAGAGCTTGGGGAAAATCAAGAACGATTGAAGAACGCTAAGGACAAGGTTGCCTATCTTGAGGGTCAACTCATCATTAGCGGTGAGCAGAAGCGCGAAAGACAGATCTCTGAGTCTCAAGACGAAACCAAAGTAGTATTTTAAATTGATCAGATTGTTCATTTTCACTTCCAGAGTGCAACTATTCGTTCTCTTGAGGTTAAGCTTCAACTCGCTAACAATAGCATCAGACAATTGGAGAGTGAGAAGCAGCAGTTGCAAGAATCCAATTGGTAAAATTGTCCGGTATCAATATCGAATAAAATTTTTTTCAATGTTAGGTATGCTAACGAGCGTATTGGTAAACTTGAGCAAGAAAATGGATACTTGAAGGGAATCACCGAGCAGCTCAAGTATTATTATGTGAAAATAAAAGAAAATATTTGCTGTTTCAGGGCAAGAGCCGACAACGCAGCATGTGACAAATTGCTTAAGGAAAGCGAGAAGCGTGTTTGGGAAATTAACGACGAGAAAAGCAAATTGGAGTGGAGAATCGGAGAGCTCACTCAATGGTGGAATGACGCCAAGTGGAAGTATATGGAACATTTAAAGGAATCTAAACAACCGCCATATTTTCAGGGTTGGAGAACTTGAGTCTTCTATCGCTCAACAGAGATATTTGCTGGACACGGCAAATGTCAAAATTCAAAATCTAACTGATCAGTAAGTTTCGAAATTCTAAATGTATCTAGCTTTACAATTTGTAACTTCATACCATTTCAGACTGATAGAAGAGGTAAGGTGAGGTATTTTTCCATTTCCTTTTGTGGTTTTGAAATTACATTTTTGCTTTGAGAGTGCATTTTTTGAGTGACATATACTAATTTATTATTATCATTAGTATATTAGCAGAAAATTAAATTGCTTAATTATTCAGAAACCATTCAACCCCACAACCATCTTTGACCTGCCCGACAGAAGGATTCACTCTTTGCCAAGGACAACAAGGAGCTTGGCAGCTTGCGAAGTATATTGCAGAATTATCAAATATTTCATTCTTTTATTTATTTTAGCGGTCCTGCTCCACATATCTTCGGAGCGGGAGCTATCTCAACAATCCCGATGGTTCCATCCTTTGTGCCATATGGAGCTCCTACAGTCGCAATGCCAGGACATAGTGATACGAGAACTGTAACACTTACCATCCCAAATGTCGAAGGAGAAGCATTCTTAACAGTACGAATATTTTTTTCTGATATGACAAAATGATGGAATTTTCAGGGATCTTTTATGAACTGGAAATGCGCTCTTAAATGCGACATTCTCAAGAACAACAAGAAAGGAGTCGTTGTGAACCTTCCGCGTGGAAGGTATCACAAAATTCTAATTGTACATGATTTCAATTATAATTTTTTCAGACATGAGTTCAGATTCATGACAAATGGTCAATGGGTGACGTCGAGTGAGTACCAATTGGTTCCAAATGGCTTGGGCGGGGACAACAATGTGGTATTTGTCGAATAATCGGTTTTTCTCATATTTTCGAATATAATAATCAGTTACATGATAGCTTCAATTTGATATATTTGCATTAATGTTTAATTTTATTGTAAATTTTTCTAAACTTCAAAAAAAATATTGGTGTATGTTGAATTCTGGTGGTTTTTTTTTAGAACATAATTTATATTTTAGAAGGGCATAGGATATAATATATACAGAAAACCTTTGACGTGTGAAAGGATATGTCTTCATTTCAAATTCGTCTAAGAAAACAGGACAATAAATTCAACTGGGAATGATGACTCTATTACGTAATGCGCTCGGAATGTATAAAAGAGAATGAACGACGTGATAATTACATATGATTTGCACGGATTATGCGCATATCTGACAATCCGACATCTGCTCTTTTCATTTGTCGGCTATAGCACACGAAAATACTGTTAATTATATTGTTTCTAATATTTTATTCTTTTGTTCAAAAAATTGCGGAAAGAGCCAAACAATAATAATAAAAAAGAAAGAAAGCGACTGGATAAATTTTCAAATTAAAAAAAAAATGCATAATCGTTCTATGCCACACTGTCAAATAGATGTGACTATGTACATATGTATTTTTTTTTCTGAAGGATATCTGTAATATCTATTTCTGAAGCAGTGTTTTTTGTTGACACATAATAATGTGCCAGTTTTTCTTAATCGTCACTATGAGTCATACTCAAATGATCAAAACAATGTTTTAAAGGGCGAAGATCTCTTGCTGTATGAAGGATTCAATATTGTGATAGCAGCTGCTCAAAGAAGATATATAACCAACCCATCCTCTCGGTTGTTTTCATTCGATTTCATTGATTTTACTTTCTGTTTTCCTTTCAACTCGGTTGAGGTTTCAATTTAACGTTTTCTGTTTTCAGAAAGGTTATGAAGTTTTTTATCGTTGTTTTGGCGTTGTTTAGCGCCAGCTTCGCTATTGAAATGTTTGGGAGAGATCAGTCCGCTGCGGTTTGTTATTTTTTTATTAGACGTTTTGATCAACTTATTTAAGGTTCGTGGTCGTTTAGTTTGCGACGGACGTCCAGCTTCAGGGGTTTTGGTGAAACTCTGGGATGTGGATAGAAGTAAGAAAAACAGAGAATGTTCTCATAAATAGCTTGTTCAGCTGACTCTGATGATCTTATGGATTCTGGAAACACCGACAACAACGGAGAATTCTATTTGGCTGGTTGGACAAAGGAATACACAACAATCGATCCCAAGTTGACAATTTACCACGATTGCAATGACGGAATTAAAGTAAAGTGTTCATATTCCAGCACAATTCTAACTAATAAACATTTCTAGCCATGCCAAAGAAAATTTGGAATTATGCTCCCTGACAGTTATGTTTCCCATGGAAAGAACCCAAAAAAGGTCTATGATGCTGGAACTATTCAACTTGCTGGACAGTATCCAGGAGAATCCCGCGATTGCATTCACTAATTCAATTTTTTACAATTTTTATAAACACGAAATAATAATTTCTCAATTAAATGGATATTTGATAAGGACTGAGGTTTTTTGTTCTATCTGTAAAATTTAACTAGTGAATCGAATGAAAGTTGTTTGCAAAAGAAAAGTTCAAATGGAGTTGTTAATTGTATACCGCTCAGGTAGTTTGTATGCATTTTAAATAAGGAATATAGCTTTGCGATGACTGATTTTCGAACAGATCTATGTCAATTATTTTGAATTGAATATCTTTAACCATTTTTTATGATGTTTATTAACGGTATCCAGAACTTCTTCTGGCGACAAAAAATAGTTTTTTCCTGTATACAAATGACAATGTGCTATACATTACTATCAATACTATAATTTCAATATATGAATACCATTTTAAACTTTCATTTAAAATTTGTAACATAACTTGTTTTAAAACTGTTAGATTTAATGTTGAATTTGCAGCGTATCCATCTATAGAAACAAAAACACTGATATATTAAAAATATTAATGATCATACCAAGCTAAATTTACAATATCCTGTCCTTCGTCGTTTACATCTCTCACATTTCTTCAAATTGATTATTTCAGTTTCCATCATTTCCACTTTTTTGCCATAACAGAGACATGTTAACAATGTTGACAATATCAGCATGAATACTAAACTTGTCTTAACATCTTTCACTAAACTGGGTTCCAGAGAATAAGCCTGGTCACTTGATGGATTTGTAAATCGAAATCGTAAAGAAATGTTGAATTCTGTAAGTTTCTTTATTAGTTCTGGCTTCGTTATTCTAAATTTAAACCTGAAAATTCTTCGGTCATGTCGATATCTCCTCGAAATTTGGAAAAGTCTTGATATACACTTGGTATTCGAACATTCGTTAAGTAAGAGCAATCGGAATATTTTCCTAGAAATAAAAATATTGAAACAATTTTCAAACAGGATAATTTACTAACCGATAGTCAAATTTTCATTGTTAACTAATTTCACATCGAGGCAAGAATATTTGCAAGAAACCTAAAAATATATGGTTTTAAGAAGAAGTTACAAATTTTTTCACCTCCGTTTTCTCGTAGTTGGAACACGAAAATTGTAAAAATCTTTTATTAATATTGATTGATCGATTTCCGTTGAAACTCTGTCCTTCGATAAAATGAAGCTGAATGGTTATTTTTATTAAGCTTTGATATCGTAAGACTTACGAATTCGGCATCGAGGCAGGCTTTGCACACGTGTCCTGAGGCCACACAATTTATTAAGAAAAGAAAAATGGATAATAGGGATAATACTCTGGCAAACATCATAGATCCACAAAAGACAGTGAGCAATGTGCCAATGGTAGAACGACGCCTATATCAATAGGAGACAAGTGTCAAGATGGGAAATAATGCTTGCCTTTCGGATAATTCCGTATGTGGCTGATATATTGCATACTATTCTTGTAGTATAATAATAATTTTTATGTAGTTTGGTTTTATGAGTTACTGTTTGTGGCTTGAGCAGCTTTTCTAATTAATCTTTTATTCTTTGAACCTTATTCAATAAAATCAATTTTTGAACAATTTTTAGAGCATAACATAAACATTTTTGACGATCGCTTTGCGTAAGTGTATAATTCTATTTCAGTTCGAATCGCAACCTGATTTTTAGCTACATTTAATGTATTATAGAAATTTGAACCGATACTGTTTTTGCAAAAAAATACAGAAAATCGCTATTATCATTTGATATTCCCAAAATTTTCATTTCATGTTCCCAAGATTAATTAGATTCACTTTTGAGAAACAATTAATTTTTGGATAAATATAATTCTTATAAACTGGTTATTTCAAAGAGAAAGAAAAAAATAATTTTTTTTCTGATTTTTTTTAGTTTTTTTTATAAATCTTGCCATGGCTAGTTTACTTATTAGAAACCATAAAAAATGTATTCAACGTTTTTTTCAGAATTTCAAAAATCCCAATGTTTCCAGCATTCTAATTTAATTTTGAAAAATGATTTTCTTAATAAAGTATTATATTCGGTTCGTGTTGTCATCGACAATAAAAATCCTCGAAAAAACAGCTTACCGTGCCAAACTAGCTGAGATATTCGGTGATCACCTGTTCGAAAGATGAAATATTGGGACCTACATGATCACGACGCAAAATTCTCTGCCGAATGTTTTCCCACTAAATTCTGAAATTTAATATTTGAAATGTAGCTCAAAGCTTTTACAGTCTTCAGGGAAATCGGCGTAAATGCATCCCTCTTTGAATAATCTAGAATACACTGTTTCTGATTAGTTTTGAAAGAAGCAATACTCAATGTTTTAATATAACTCATATTAAATAGAAATGCGCACATTTTTTTCTCATAATCTGCTATTAATCTCTACAATTTTGAATCATAACCACCCGCAGAAAAATTATTTTCATAATAAACATCTAATCTTTTTTTTTCAATGTGCTTGTGTTTTTCAAAAAAAAAAACCCCTGCCATGTGACCTGACACATTAAAACATAACTACCTACAAACATCACATTGCTCGCCCATCACATCTCTCCGTCTCCAGACCTTGTTTTCCACTCATACCCACTCAGTCGGTCGGCATTGTTGTTGTTGTCTTGCCTTATCACTGAGATCACCGGGTCAAATTGTTTCAAGTGATCCTGTCCGGTTTTTTCCTATTTAAAATCTCGGCATCCGGTTCCTTTGTATTCAGAGTGGCCCAGACTTAAAAAAAAAGCATAACAATATTTTTTTAGTTAGCTAAATTCACGTAAGCACAAAGGAGTAATTAAAAGTAATTAATTGTAGTGTATAGTGGAAAAGTAAATGAAAAGACAAATAGATATAATTGCTTAGCAATTTTATGTTCTTTTATTTTTTTTGAAACTGTAGAAAATTATTAAATTAGCAATACGAAATCCAATGCAACAGTATTTGTAAAACCCTAAAAAGCCGGCTAACGATTCTGTTTGTTGTTTTGTTGTTTTATGAGTGTTTGAAAATCTTTCAACTACATACACTTTCTCTTTAAATTTTTTGAAAAAAAACGCATTTCATTCGAAATGCTTCAATAATTACCTGGCTCCCGTCGCGTGATGTATCATTTGATAAGAAAATTTTATAACCAACACAGTAAGATGAAAATAAACGAATCGTATTTTTCATACATTTTTGGCTATTTTCGCAACAAAAATATTAAGAAAACGCGCAAGAAGCAAAAAACAAATTGTTCGCGTATACAAATGTATTCCAGCTATCATTAGATATTTTGTTATTGAATTGAGCAATAGTTTACACAACTGCAATGCTATTTGCTCAGTTTTCAACTCTGACCTTGTTTTCGTGCACTTCATTGTCTTCAAAAATATTAAGCATTGCTCGCCAAGCGCTGTCATTATTCGTTCTTTAAAAATTTCTTTGCGAGGAAAAAAAGAAAACACAAAAAAGCTCATGGGCCCCTGAGGCGCTCACGAGGGTATTTTTTCTTTTTCCTCGTCTCTTCTGACTACGTGAGTTTGAGTGTTTGCGTGAGCGAGATGTATGAGCGTGTTTTTTTTGGCTGGTGCGAAGCAGTCAGTTCGACCCCCTTCCCTTTATATTCTCCAGTCCCTTCTCTGTCTCACTCAGTTCTCCATTATTCGCTTCCTTGCCTTTAGTCCTCCACAATAGAAACCGAAATTCTTATGTAATTGCCAAAGCCGGACATTTGGAAATCATATTAATCAACTAATTTTGGCAAAAAGAGTTTTCAAAAACTCAGAGCGTCTTTGATACCAAATATGGAACGCGTAAAAATAGTATGGGGAACACCAAACATATTTTTTATACGCTCTACAATTATATTGTTGACGATGGCGTCCCAAGTTTTCATTTTTGCCTTTCGCATACTATATATATAATATCTCCATCAACATTCATTTTTATGAAATAAAAAACACAATTTTCATTTTTTTTAGAAAATGCTAGCACCAATCGTCACCAAGGATATGCGCCTTTTTCCCATTAAGAAGATGCCGCATGTGAAGAATGTGCGAAGTCGTGCTCAAACTCTGGAGCACTATGGACATATGCCGAGCAGTATGGATAGAGTTGTGTCTTTAAAAACTCGAGCGACAATGTTTACCGGTAACATTGCATCTGTCTCGACAGCCTCATCGCCTACCAACTCTGGGCCAAACAGTGGTGGCAAATCGCCCGTGTCCCGGCAAAAAGTTTTTCAAGCGCATAAAAGTCCGCCCAAAAGTCTTGTGGCGCGAAAGCAAACATTGTCAGCGATTCAGGAGGGTGTTGAGATGAACGAGAACAACGCCAAACTTTTGTCGCATAGCAAAAGGTGGGATATTTTTAAGAGTTTGAGAGTTGGTTGCGAATATCTGTCAAATTAAAACGCTTCAATTGTTTAAAAACTCATGCGAAATTTATTTTTCCTTACGACAGAAAATTCTTCACCTGTAATTGAATAAAACTAATTAATCATCAAATTTTCTAATCTATTACATGCTTCCATTAAACAATTGGTGTGCTTTTACATTTTCACCCTTTCTTATTACTTTTTTTCAATTATTGTGATCTAGTCTTCTGATTAATTAATTTGCACCCCTATAGTTTGTGACTTATAATAAATGCTTCTCATCTCATTTGATTAGATTCGTCACGATGAAATATTTTGTAGAGCAGACGCTTCCAATTTCGTGCATGTTGAAAAAGAAAATGAAATAGCTTTAGTGAAACTTGGTAACCGCTGCATTTTTGATGAACAACGTAAAAAAAGTTTTTAAATGACCCAAATTTTTTCTTTCCAAGCAATCCAACCACGAGTTATCTTTTGAAATAATTGGGTTTATTTTGCAGTGAACCGTCTAGTGTCCGTTCGGTGAGCAAGAAACGTGGAAGTTTAGAAAAACGAAATAAGTCGGATGCGAAGTTGAATGCCACCGGTGACGAGGATGGCGAAAGCGTTGAAATCAAAAAAAGAAGCGTCTTCAAATGGATTTCCAATTCGTTTAGAAAAGCTAAAGAAAAAAATCTTGAGACAGCTAGCACTTCGTCAGATTGAAAGGTTTGTTATTAGCACTTTATTAAAGTGACGAATCGATCTATTGTTATTATTATTTTTTGTATTATCTCCAATTTATTTGATTAACCTTTTTGTTGACATTAACTGAATCTTGCTAGAATTTCGAAAAATGTCTTTTGAAAGAGAACAAAAAAACATATATGATGATCCGTTGAGACTTTTTAAGAAATATAAAACCTGATGTTGTAAAAAATCTCAATGTTGTAAAAAAATCTCTTGAACCAATAGGCATTTCGAGAAGTTGGTTGGATTGAAATTTTAATCAAAAATATTGAAATTTCTATCTTTCAGAAGCATCGGAACTGACGAATCCTCACCCCAACCCCCCTTGAAATATAATTACTATACTGTACAGATGTATTTTCCTAAAGTAGCCATTCTAAAAGTCTTTATTGTAAATACATAGTAGCCCCACCATATTTAGTTTAAATTTATAAGAGGCAATCCAATCGACAACAATGTAGAGATGGCAATGACAATACGGGTTGCCCCTTTCCGGTTTTCCATAATTGATGATATACGCACACGTCGTATATTAAATGCCTTTCCCTTAAAAAGAAAAATAAATGTGCAAAGAGCTGTTTATGACTGCTAGCTTTGATGTGTACTTACGGTTGTTGAATGAGCCATATCTACCATCCTTATGTATTTGTTGCAGATTTTGTTCTTTTTATTTGTGATACTGATTAGTTATAATAACGAAATGAAATTAATATTGCTAATAAACGGCGTTTTTTCTTAAAGATTCGTAAGTTGCCTTAGTAGAGTCACATGAGTGACCGCATAAACAAATCCGCCGCAAAAGTTATGGGGCTTTGTCCAAAGACCAATTGCGTTGGAGCCGAGTCTTTTTCTCTTTGCGTTTTTTTATTTATTTGGAACACCACAAGTTTAGTTGTTTTTCAGTGAGTGCGTAGATAAAAGATATTGAAAAACAAATGACAGTTGTTGAATGGGATAATGAATTGCGAGGCTACAAGAACGAATCTGTGCAGTACTAAAAATTTTAGAACAATTTCAAATATTGACTTAAACTGATTGTTGGGAGAAAATTTGTGTGATGGGAAATGATAATATTGTGTATTTGTTATGGTAATATACATGGATATATAACTTTATGCGTTGGTTGGAAAAATCAAACAACTAATTTTTGTCATTTTTGTTAGTATGAAGTTTAATAGACCAAAAAATTGTGGTTTCCATGGTTATTCGTGCCTATTGGAAAATAATTTTCTTTCCCCTGCGTATTGATTAATGGGTTTAAGTAGTATTGAGGAGTCTGTGAAATTTTAAACGTTCAATTAGAGAAAAATTTCGTACCCTTGTTGAAAACTTTTACGACATCTCGCAAATGCGAACATTTCTCAAATTTATCTGTTCAATTGGCGGTGCCTTGTGCGGTACCTGTTTTAAAGATATACAAAATTAAACATTCCATTCGCAATATGAATACTATTTTACATCATTTTTTATTTTATTTCATATTTAAACTTGTGTTTTGAATAATTAAGTCTTAAAAATGTTAATTGCCCCCATCTCACACTCCCCTATTTTTCCCATAAATGAATACACCATGTGTACGGAAAAGCTAAAAAAAGAAACAGATGTACGTATTAAGTTTACCGATTTAATATCAAAGTTTTCTTTTTTTGTACGTGTAAGAAAACTTTATATCATGAAGAATGGTGAAATTTTCCAACAGATTATTGTAACAATTATTCCGCTTAGTGTTTTTGCCTTGGAGAAGTTGGTTCCACTAACAAAGACTATATTTCATGTTTGAAGCAGTCTACGAGATTGTTAGAAGTCACGTATATTGGTTAGCTGTGGAATAAACATCTTGCCTAGAGATTAATCTGATTGTGTTTTCTACCACCTGCTCATTTCAATGCGAGCATAGAATATATCTCATTCATTTAGAGGAAAAAATGAGGCGCGTTTGAAAAATCGTTTTGGTTTCTAGCCTGGAATGCAATAACTCTTGGCAAGCATTTAATTTCACAACAATTTTCTTCGCATCAAAAAATGCGTTCTTATTTCAGTGCACATTCATTTCGAGTTTTTCTGCATCTTCCCATTTTCAATTATTTTTTTCAGCGTATTTTGCAATTTGTGGCCTAATTTTGCCGCACACAATATTTCTTAATTCATACCAGTAAGTGTTTTTGCTCTTTCGACTAATTAAAAACCGAATAAAATTGAATTCGATTTCTTGCCTCCATATTTGTTTCGCCTTTATCATTTAATTTCATAATTAAAAACCCTTCAGATTGGTCTTTTTTTATTGCCTGATGACACAACTTGACAGGTTTAGACATGTTCATGTTTATTATAAAAAATATACCGGCCGAAGTTTTCTTGCGATAAAATCCCGTTATTTTCGAACTTTTCTGTGCTATTTTTCTCTTTCCACTAAGTGACTAAGTCAGTGAAATTTTTTATTTGGCAACAGCTAGATTTTTCAGTTTCTGTAGCTAAGGTTAAACTAAGTTATGTTATGAAATTGTTTAATCACCAGTACTTCTACATGGTTTTTTTTTAATAAGTTCAAGGATTTTGTGATATTACAAAAATCAGTCTAATGTTTTCCTTTATTGCCTGGAATAAAATGTTTTGGTTCAAAATTACCCAAAAAAATTGCCAAGACGAAACAACAGTGCTCGTACTAATAATATTTAAGTCCAGATGTTGTTGGCATGTGTGTGAGTTGGCAAATCGTATGTATTGAATAAACAAATTTCTAAATATTTTGATAGTGCCATCGTCCTCATTTTGAAAAGCGAAATTTAGTGACCGAAAAAATGAGCCAAACTATCATGTTGAATGTGATAAATTATTTATAATACATTTGCAGACTTTTCTATTCTAGCTAGCATTTAAAATTTTTATCAAAACGAATTTATAATCTTGACAGTGTTTCGTTACGGTCAATGCGGGTGCGGTAACTATAAACATTTAGAATTTTTTGACGAAATAGGAAAAAAATTGATCGTTTTCTTTTGAATCACACAAAACCGCTCCGCGAAAACTTTCCTGTACAGAAAAATAGTACGATGAGAATGTTAAAAATTCAGCCCTCTCCCCCCGTTGGGATTTATGTTATCGATATTTTCTACATTTCTAGAAATGATGTACGTATAAGCAATAAGTTATTATAGCATTAATCATCCACGAGTAACGCAAAATTTAGTCAAACCCATTCGTCATGGTTTACAATCAAATTCAGCTTGTTATCAAAATTCCAATTTGGTGCTTCTATATATATATATTTGGGTTATCGTTGATGACGTAATCTGCATTATGCAACACAAATCTAAAAATTCAAAATATCTTATTCACCTACAGTAATACAATAAAAATCATAATCATATTTATAATGTTATCAATAGCGATTCCGTTTAATTGAATTCAGCTGCTACAAAATTTTTCGAGTTTAGGAGATCCAAAACTTTGGTTCCTTTTTTTTCACCATTAAGAAATTAACCCCATAGCTCAGCAAGTTTACTAGAAACATATTTTTTTTTGTTTCCTCACATTGTCCTCAATACAATTCTTAAACAGGTGTAACATAAACATAAAAATATGTTTTCTGTATTTGTGAATGCTCGATATGTTTTTAATAACTCCATATTAATAATACAAAAATATTTTTTCGTATCACATGGAGAAAACGAGATTTCTTCGGTTTCACAAAACTTGAAAAAATCAGATTTTAATTTCTTCCTTTTTAACATTTTAAATTTCTATGGATTTTACTTTTCTACATTACTTTAGATAATTATCCAATTTGTAAAAATCTGAAGTCGAGACAACAATTTTTGACTCCGGCAACATAACCATGTTTCGCGTTAAAACGAACAGTTATTGACGTTTATTTTCAATGATAATACATATAATTTTGGTGTCCGCCCGGAAAACTTTCTCATCATCTTCCCCCTGATTTCGTGCCCACCCCTCTCACCAATACTTTCACTTCGCATCGATTTTCACTTCACGACCTTCAAGTGAACTCTCATGAGGTTGTTCATGTTGAACCGGAGTCCAAACAATGTTGAATACTTATTTCGTTTCAGTTTATATCGAAAAAATCGTGCGGTGTGCAAAAACAATAAAAAAAAAGTTCCTTTCATTGCTTTCCGACAACTTGCAAAAGATCCTTTTTCGCTAATGTACATATTAATGACACACTCTAATTTTCTTTAAAACCGTCCTTTTAGAAAACTAAAAACAACCATTTACATCTTGAAAACCCCAGTTTATTGATTTGTTATTATATAAATCTTCGTTCATTGTTGTCTAAAATCGAAAGTTCTCCCGTTTTTGCGGTTTATAATTCGATTACAATTAAATGAAATGTGATATTAGATCAATAGCAATATAACATAAACAACCAATGCCACACTTACTAGACCATCTCCATAAATTCATGTTGTCAGAACACCAATAACGCTTTTTATAGGATTGCAGATTTGATAAACAAATGAAATTTGCGGTTTTCACTAATCAAAGTTTACATTCTTTTTGAAGAATACTAGTCCATTGGTTACGTGTAGACGCGCATCGTATAAACCCCAACTGTCTCGATCGTTTAATCGATGCATTGTCTTTTGCTCTCACTTGCACCTGTCTCAAAATATAGCAATGAGAAACGCCCAAACAAATGGAGGGCCATACTTTTTTTTTTGGTATCACACGATTTTAGTAATGAATTTTGATTACGAAATCATCGTTTATCACATTCTATTTTTATGACATTTCGAATACTTTTGACGAATCACAATAAAAATATTTAATAATAATAAATTTGAGAACCGTATGACAAATATTCTTATCAAGGCAATATTAAAAAACTTGCCTGTTCATTTTTCGAACATACCAATGAAAAAACCAAATACCCTGTTGCAATTCCCCGTTGAAAAATGATTTCAATGGTTACTATGATTTTTCTCTGTTTAGAAAATTTATTTTTTAATTGCGCATTACACAATCCCCAGCTGACGTTGAAATAGTTTAAATTGAAAACATAATATGAAAAAACATTCACAGATGAAGCAAATTAAAACTTTGCAGAGAATTGCAATACCATCTGTTCATCACTTTTTGATTAGTCATGAATGTGATAAATACACTGCTCCACAAAAGTTTAGCCTCACCCATATTTATTCAAAAAATGACATTTTCACGAAATTTCAAAAAACGCTTGTATTGTTAAAATGGGGCTAAAAAGGTTTCTTTTTAGTATCCCATATTAGATTTACACTTACTGAGTCATTAAACAAAATTTGCTTTATTTTCCGAAAATTGCGTTTTTTCGTTCCACAAAAGTATAGCCTCACTAGTAAAAAAAAACACTTAAAAACAGAAAATAACATATGTAACATAACAGAAAATTTGTTTAATATTCGGATGGCATTTCCTGATTGCTTGCCGCTTGGAAGGGTCGAGTGTCGATCGATAAATATGGATTGTCAATTAGTTGTTGGTCGACTTTCTTCCAAGTCTCGATAATTGCCAGTTTCAGCTGTTTTAAATTATCGTACGACTTATTTCCTTTGCAAATCTTGTTGGCCATGTATCCTTATACGATTTCGATGGTATTTAAGTCCGGGGAGCAAGAATGCCAGTCGAGAACAGGAATATTCCTCGTTTGTATCCACGCGATAGTGCGGCGGGTCCGATGAATTGGGGCACCATTTTGCGATACACTTTCATTCTGTGACTGTGTCGGCACCAGAAGGGCAGAAGCTCACGACGATAGTAAGAGCCGCTCATGTGCGACGGAGCACAGCTTCACGCTAGCGATGGAACTGATTGCAGACCATACCATGAAATAACATTCATTGAAATTTCTCCGCGAGAATCGAATGGGCGGCTTTCTAAGAGCACGCCAGTAGCTGCGGTATCCATCAGGACCATTACAATTAAACGTTTTCTCATTTGATGATTTGAGAAGATCATTTGATATTTAGGCGGCTCAACTTCGAATTTAACCACATCCCATTTTTCATTTCGTTCTGTTGAACTTATTCACAAACTTCAATCAGTTTTCGCAATGTTTTTCGATCAACATTGGAGCTCTACGCATCTTGCGTCTTTTCTCATGCCGGGACTTGTTCAGAAAAAGTCGAATCGTTTCTGAAGCCCAATTTTGATTCCATTTTGCTATACGTAGTGAAGATATTCGATGATTTTCGGAGGATCATTCTTCTTTCTCGGCTATAAATGACGGCTGGACATCGTGTCGCATTACTATGTTCGCATGGATTCTTCAGGTAATTATTGTTCACTTTTGGGTTGCGCCCGAAATCTCGAGCGATTTGTCCATTCGAAAGACCACGATCATGTTTGGCTATAATTTGGCCTTGCTCAAACGCCGAAAGTGATTTACATGCTGGCATTACTTGAAACACACATATTTCCAGCATAAAAATCTTTAAAAAAAATGCAAAACAAGAAAAATAAAGCAAAAAAAACGGTTACAAACATAGGTGAGGCTATACTTTTGTGGATTGAAAAAAACGCAATTTTCGGAAAATAAAGCAAATTATGTTTAATTACTCAGTAAGCAAAAATCTAATATGGATACTAAAAAAACCAACGAGCTATATTTTTACAATATACGTGAACCTTTTTCTAAAACGAACACTTTTATCCATATTTTAACAATACAAGCTTTTTTTGAAATGTCGTGAAAATGTCATTTTTTGAAAAAGTATGGGTGAGGTTAAACTTTTGTGGAGCAGTGTAGATGAGCGTGACGCTTTTTATGACGCAATAGTGGTTTGATGTTAATTCGTCGGGAAAAGATTTGTTGCAAGTGAGATACAAAACCTCGAATTGGAGGAACGGAAGCCAATTATTCGTAAACGTATGTGCATTTTGCAGTTGTTCGTGCAGGAACCCCCGTGTAACATCGCGAAAATGAGACCAAACTTATTTTGATCTCTAAGTGAGCAGTCAAGGGGAGTAGTGGAAGAAGAGATTCACAGTACACTATTGTTGAAATTGAGCTCAAAAGGAAGAGTAGTATTTTTGGAATTGGGAGAAGATTGAGGCGAGTTAGGAAATCGATATTTGCGCATTATTGTCAATACATTTCGCCACCTCTATGTACGTATCTGTTAGAACACATATTATTATTGCTCAGTTCGCATGACAAAATATATTTGATAATTCTGCGGTGAGAACCAGCACATATGTATTGAATAAACTCTGAAAATTATCTTTTCATACCATGTTGATCCCTGAGCAGAATTTTAATTGAACTGAAAAATTATGCTAATCGGACGTTTTAAGAATTATTCTCGGTAATGCGTTGACGTTTTTCTGTTCTCCAGTTATACCATGCCATTTTATATGATTCCTTTAGGTTTCTTAATTAATTTATATTCAATATGCGTCAAGAGAAAATTGAAACGAATGTTCTGGACATGAGAGTGCAAAGCTCTGTTCATAACAAGTTCTAAGCCGGTATATTCCCAATAATACATCTTCTACTTACATAAATCTGCTTTCCTGCGAATCAATATTCATGCATATTTTAAACCCCACAGGTTCTGCGCATAACGTCTAAATCCAATTTGCGGAAGTTTTCCGCCTAATGCGCCATAATCAAATTCAATTCATGACTAATGTGAGAATTGTGAATATAACAAATCTATATCTCAAATCTCATTATAACCCCGCTAGTTCATCTACAATTTATTTTGTTCGAAATTTGATGCATCGCAATTGCACACATTCCCAGAGACCATTCAAGAATATTTAATTATTGACGACAAGAGATACGCGTGCAACGGATTTTCGTGTGTATCCATAAATAATAGTAACAAATCCATCAAGGACACTTGATTTTATGATGGCTCAGGCTCCTTCTTATTAGTGCCAGGTCTTTGTGATGTCATGACAAAGAGAGGGTGCGCAGAGGTTTTTAAGGAGGCGTGTCCTCGTGCTATGTGCTTCTTGAGAATTCTATTCGCCTATTCGAATACCGAGCCTCTTAGGCTAAATGAACTGCAATAGTCCTTTCCTTTTCCTATTTGATCCATCAACAAACAAAAAACACGAGGTCTTATTGTCCTTTTAAGCGCAATTTTAGGTTTTATGCGTTTGTTTTTTACCAATCCGCTTTTTTCATTTACCGAAATATGTTTTTTTTTCCTTTTCCACGCAATTATTGAATTTATTTATTATTGTCATCGTACCAATAATTTTTGCTAGTCTCCAGTTTATATTAAACATAAACACTTCTCTTTTCGAAAAAAAAAATACTGAATTGATCAAAAATCTCGATTTAGATAATGTATGTACGAGAGCGCGTGATTACGTGGGACGACATTCTAGAAAGATTAAGGCAATTTGCTCTCACTTTGGTGAGAAAAATAAGGGATACGTGTGAGAAATATATTTTCTTCCGTGTAGATCATGTTGAGTTGCAAATTAGCTGGTACATTACGTTAGCTCATTCTTTATTGAAATAGAGACACTGTACGACCTACTAGATTTCTTATACAAACAAAAAGTCTTTGTGTTGTTATCATGTATGATGAGTATTCAAAGTACAAAGTAACAACATCCACCACGCTAGTTAGTTATCTCGCTGTTCATTACCCTTCTTCTCTTAACAACTTGACTATGCTGTTCATTCATTAACTGTGTAATCCGCGAAGTGTCAAAAATCTTGCTTACATACGTGATTTCGAAAAAATTGATTTGTTTTTTTGAGAAAATTTTTTGATTCAAGCGAGAAAAAAACAAAAAAAAACTGCAGAATTGTCCCTTTGAACCCTATGTCTCATCAATCGCGTTCCACAACACTCCTTTTTTGTGCTTGCTGTTGTTGAAAAGACGGCAAAAATTTCTTATTCATAGGGCTTCCACGAGAAAGTTTCTTTCATTCTAACAATGTTTTTGCAATTTTTTTGTGCTGAGTTTAGGATAACAATTCGATCACCACGTACTAAAATAATAATACATATAATCTATGCAAATAGGGATGACTGGCTTATGTTAAAACCGAACGTGCGGTTTTAAAAATGTTCTGTCAACCGAAACAAACCGAAGTGAAGGGGAAAAACGCAGTGAGTTAACATGATTGATTCGGACAGTAACAGGAACAATTTTTGAGGGATAAAGTTTTAACAATGTAAAATTCAAAAACTTGAAAACTTTACTTTAATCAGTTGTGACAATTCGTTTTACAATTTTGACATACAATTATTCTTCGAAATAACCAAAAAATGGTTAGTAGTTAGTAATTGCAATATTCGCGCTGGAGCGCGCTTTCCCGCATCAGCTGACCATACTCGCTCTCTCCATTCGCATCCCCCACCACTTTCTGCTGTTTGCTTTTATATCTTTTCGTTTACTCCGATTTCAAAACGACATTGCGTTTCGCTACATTCGACTTATTGCAGGTTTCTGGGAAATGTTGAAAACGATACAAATTCAAAATGCGATATTTGTGATATTAATCTCCTTCATAGCTTCAGCACAATCTCAATACATTCTAAATATAGTATGTTTTTAATAGATTATATTATATTATGATTTTGTTTTTTATTTTATTTAGATCAGACTCATGGAAACCGGTGAAGAGGAACTGGTAGAAAAATGTCATGCAACGGGAGCAAACTTTGGCCTCGATATGGATAATTTCATCATGACTGAAGAAAATTTCGGTTGTGCAGTGCCTGTAGAACCAGTTGATGCATGCAAAAAAATTCACGTATGTCAATTTTTCAAGCTTCTGCGAAAACATTTCAAAATGTTCAGGTTCCTGAGAAAAGAATTACTTGCAATAATCCATTTGCAATTGTGTCACGTAGCCCTAGGAGTCATCAATGTGCATTTTCCGAGCAGGTGAGTCTTGAAATTTTGAGCACAATTTTTTTGATTTTTTTTTTGATTTTGAAACTTTTAGGCTTATAATGTTCAAGATTCATCAATTTTTTTCAAAGCCGTCATTTTTTATAATTATCCGGGAGCTGATCCCATACCGATGCGCGGGGCAAATCTTAGCGATCAAATCCGGTTGCCAGTTCTAATGGCGTCATTCAAATGTATGGAGGAAGTTCTCAACACATTCCCAGCTTCAAAAGGGTTAGTCCTTCGTGTGTTTTTTTTTTTAGTAAATTTTACAAATTTTTGTAGATTTCGAATCCGCATAAAACTTGATCCTGGCTTCGTCGAGCTTTTCCGCTACTTAATACCGTTCATAGTTGTGATTTTCTTCTGCTTCGCATTGTTCCTTATAACTTTGGTGAGTTTGAGACCGCTTTGAAAAATAATTGGGCGTCCGAACAACAGCTGACAAAAAAAAGAACGCGCTTTTTTTAAAATAAAATTTGTGAATTACCATGTACTCGCGCCATAAACCAATATGAAAAGAAACTTGTTTTCCGAAACTTCGGTTAGTTTCTTTTCATTTTTTACATCCTATACTATTGCGAATATGATTGAATGGTTGAATAGATTTTTGAATGTAGAGAGAATGGCAGATGGAAAAGATGTGATGTGAATTGACCTCGTTGAACGTGGCGTGAATTGGTCCGAGCGGGGCCTCCTGTTTTTAATCATCGGTTCCAATGTGCATCATGTGGGTTGAGCGTGATTAATTAGTGTCAGGTTCGCAATATTTCAAACTCTTCGCATTTTGCCCCAATGATGTCATATAAGAATGGATCATCTCAAGAATTACAAAAAAATTCCACAACGATCTTTGGGCAAAATTATAAACATGTGTTGAAATTGAACTTTATTCCGGATAAAGGTTATGAGTAAATGATTCTGGCTGTTGTTGAGTTCTTCTCACGTTTTATCAATAATAAAACGTGACGGTCTAAGAAAATAATGAACACAATTAGCTCAATTTATTACTCTTTCAATGTTATTTCAATTGTTTTTGTCGTGACATGGTCTTTTCTCAGCATCTTATTAATTGGACTTTAATTCCGCTTGCCATTTTTGGTTATTCGCACGTAGAAAGGAACTAATTACAAAACGAATACGTTGGAGATTAAATTAGGGTGTCTCATTTTGCTCATCCTATTTCAAGAAACATGTGTGAATTATCATATATCAAAAAGTGTGTTTTAGTGTATTCGCGGATGCGTGGAACGAAGGAAAATGAACAAGCGGAGACTCTCAAAGCGAAATTTAAAGAAGATTCCCGTCAAAAAGTACCGTATTGGCGACGAGCCTGACACTTGTGCAATTTGTTTGGAAGACTTTTCTCATGGGGAGAAACTGCGGCATCTACCCTGTCGTCATGGTAAGTCTGAAGTTTGCAAATTTCTTAGAAATCTGTATATTTGTAGTTTTTCACTGCAAGTGCATAGACGTTTGGCTAACGCAAACCAGAAAAGTTTGCCCATTATGCAAACGAAAAATCGGAGGCAGTTCGGATAGTGAAGGCTCAATAGATGATGTAAGAACAGCAATCCTTACTTCCTGGCATTTTATTTGTTTTTTCTTTCAGAACACCGCCAACAATGATAATGGTAATAACAAGGAGCACCAACTATGCACATAAAAGATAAGATAGAGAAATATCTAATTTGCAGGAAATCGGCCGCTTTCTTTGGCGCAGGGTTCTTCCCAAGTTGGATCTACTGAGTTCTGGAGCTCGCAAGAAGCACTTGTGGAACGCGACTTAGTGGTATGGAATTATTAAGTAAGCTTAGGAAAAGTTACATTTTCAGTTCCATGAGCCACCACCTCCACCACGAGGTTTCTGGAAGAATTTTGTTGCCAGACTAAAGGGACAGACTCACGATGATGCTTCTGTTTCATTAGTAAGTTTTAATTTTTGATTCATGAAACATCGAAAATCAGATTATGAAGAGATAAGAAAATATATTTTTCCACGTATTCGCGCCATTGAAATGTTTTGCAGGAAACTGGAGTAGGTCGTGAGAATAATGCATATAATCAGAATCAAGTGGCAGTCAATACCAACGATAATGATCAATTGTTGGAAAATGAAGTGTGAGTATTGAGAATTTTGTAGAATCAAATTGTGCTCGTGAACAATTGCATTTTCCGCAAGAATACCCTCTTCCCTTTCAATCATATTATGTGCAGTAGAAATGGTGACGTTTGATTCTTAGGAATGATATATGTGTTCCAATATATGTATATGGAAACCCGGAAATTTTCGAGACACATAACGGATCAAGGAGAGGCAAAATTAATGTATTTAAGAAATGGGCTGTTGTCATTTTCAAAGATAACCATCGAAAAATGGAAAGGTTTTCTTTTTGTTTGAGAAATTTTGAAGTACACTTCCCAAAAATTTTTCTACGAAAAGAACGACATCATCATCTCAAATAAGTCGATAAAATTTTTAGAAAATGTAATAGATTAAAAAATGCCAAGGAAAACGATTTGGCAATTAAACACAAAATATGAAAATAAACCTAACTATAGAATTTTTTTTAATATTTTGCATTTTTCAGACCCACCTCATCAAGTCCAGTCTCAGAAGAGTCAACGAGCACTGCTCACTCATCACTCACAACTGAAGACGAACCTGAACCAAAAACCGAAGACGTTTAGGCTACAAATTACTCTAACTTTAATTCATATTTAAGTTCTACGTTTTGAACTGAGTCATTATTATAATTATTATTATGTTCATCTCCGCGCCCACGGGTGTCCACGCAACGCTGTAATCGCCCAGTTATAGTCAAAATTAAAATCATGGTTTAAAATTTGCTGTAGATTTTGTTCTTCACGCTTCTTGTCCAATTTTCTTCTTACTGGTCAAAGAATTCTATTCTTTTCAATCTGTACTTAACACTGTGTGTATTATTTGGAATTTATATGTATATTGTTCTCAACTTTCCCCGTTCAAATTGGATATAAAAAATGTTGACAGACTAAAATAAGCCTAATGAAGCACGGGATATTTCAATATTTTTGTTGCCTGCTTAGTTCACAAACTCATTTGAACAAACTGGCGAACAGGAATGTTTTCAATTAACAGAACATGAAACGTGAGCCCGGATATTCGATTCATTGGTGCCAATAAGAAAAAATGAGTGAATTAAACAAATTAAACAATTTATCATGAAATAGTAGATTTACTTCTACATATTTTCGCTTTTTGTTGCAAGTAATTATTTATTGGATACTTTTCTTATTTTTAGAACGATAAGGCTCCTAAAAAGCCATTTTTAAAAAATTATTTTCATAATAAATGTAGTGAACAACTGTCAAAACACCCACGTAAAACTCCGAATGTTTCTCCATTTAAGCATTTTGTCATTGTCTAGGAGCACTCTGTTATTTTTTCGTTTTCATTTTTGTATTACTACTTCATTTTCAATTTTCAGACAAACATGGAAGAAGAAAATACTACTACCCTTAATTCAGCCAAACTTGCCGAGGCTAATAAAGCTCGAGAAGAACACTATGAGCTATTACTTTTAAAACAACGCTTTCAAGATCAAGTTCGAGTAAATTTTTTTTTTAATTGAAAATTTGGGAAATACAACGCATTTAATATTTTATTTTCAGTGTTGGAGAGGATTGATTGGAGGTGGTCCCACTTAGTTAACAGTAGAAAAAAAAACTGTTTCGAACGTAATTAGAAATTTAATCGTATAGAATCTAATTAAGTTGCTCGGTTTAGAATTTGTTGAATTTCTATTTCAGCTTGACCTTACCGGAAATCTAGACAAATTCTTTACGGATAACTAGTACTATTTTATCAAAAAGGGAAATGGATTCTTTTACGTTCCTGATGAATGCAGCTGTTGGACAAAGAACTCGAAGCCAAGAAAGACAAAGACCAAGAAGCGAAGGAAAATTCGACGCCGACAAAGAGAAGTTTAAGAAGATCAGACCGTAAAGCAGACCATGAAGAAAATCATTGAGCAAATTGATCCATGATGGGATTACAAACATCGACGAACAATACTCATACAAATTTTATTCAATTCAAATACGCGTTAGTTTTCTCAATAAAGCTTCTCTTCCCATACGATCTTTTAGTACCTGTTTATTTATTCGCAGGTGTTGATGGAGGTGTAACATGTAGTGAATCACTAGAACAATAGATCATTAGAGTTGTATGATAATCCAATTTCACTTCATTTTCCTGCGGGATCTTCTAATTTAGAAGACAAATGAATCTTTTCGATTAATTTGCGTTCTTCTTTGAACAGAAACTACCTTTTAAAAAGTCAAGGTTATCAATTGGTAACCAGTCAAACGTTGTGTAGATTGGTTTAGTTATGAACCATTTGAAAGGTATTTATCATCGACTTCCTTCCTTCAGATTTGATGCCATTACAAATAAAGCAAGTTTTTTGGGCCGCTATCTTCATGATTGTTGCAATAAGGGTTTGCCCCGTTCATATGATTGAAATTAATCATATTGCAAAAAGGTGATAAAACAAGGCCAACATTCCCATTCTATCATCCAATTGCGACTATACATGTACATAAATGAATTAGGCGGCCTCGCCTACAAAATCCACTCGATCATATCATTTTTGCATGCGGAGATAGGCACTATACTATTAGTCTTTCCAAAATATAATTTTTTATCTTCCTTTTTAAACAAAATATTTTTTCTTTAGCTTATTTTTAAAGCTTTCTCCATTGAATTAATGCTCCGCAAATTCTGTCCTTTGGGCTTTGTCAATAAAGAACCAGTCTGCGGTTAACTTGTCCGCACGTTTTTCTAACCTACATAATATCACATAGGGGTTTTTTCGTCGTTTCTTTTTCTCTAATCTATTCAATTCCTTATAAAGAGAAACGATATCGTAATTGTTTTCTTGTCTCGATTTTCCGCCTAAATGTTCTTCGTTTTTTGCTAATCCTGTGTTCGATGAATTTCCAGTTTTGCCACCCATTCCACATTATGTTTTCCCGCCAATCCGCTTTTCGGATGTTTCATAACTTAGTAATGTTGTTTGTGCACTTCAGCGATCCCATTACTTTTATGTGATCGGGAAATTTACACCTACGCCAATTCTCGAAACAGTGTCAATACTGGTTTGTCGACAATTTTTCAATTTCAATTTCTAGCGATTCCATAAAAATAGCTCTACTCAGGCCGGAAGAATTTATTGAATATAAAACGCTTAATTTTTGATGCATTTCAAAAATACACGTTTTTCTTAAGCTTCTGTCTTTTTAGATCAATTGTAAATCTTAGCTATCTCGGCTCTCAATTTTTTTTATCAGCAATTTCTAAAAAAGTTAAGCTGGGTATAAATATATATATATATATATATATATATATATATATATATATATATATATATATATATATATATATATATATATATATATATATAAATAAATATATATATATATATTACATAGAAACACTCTCTTGTCTGCTTGACTTTTGATATTGGCTTCTGGCAAAAAACCCTGCAATTATTGTGAATATAGAGCTACGGGCACACACTTTTAATTGTAGGATTTTTTCCAGATTTCATATCACTAAAAAAAAACAAAGCGGAAATTATGAAACTAAGCTGTTGACACTATTAAAAATTGAAATTGAAAAACGACCGTTTCTGTTTTCTTTACTCTTCAGTAGAAAACAGGGAAAGTAATTAAAAATCATGCCACATGATTTGTATTTTCAGAAAAGGAACAACATCAACCAATTTAATTACATTTAAAAAAATGTTAAGTGTGTGGTTTATACTAGTTTACACGTAGTTTTTGGAAACTATTACAATGGGGCTATGTCCGCGTAAATGCAAATAAGGTTGATATAATGCAAGTCTGCTTTATGGTAATTCACAAGTATCATTTCTACGAAATATATGCGTTTTCTTTGCGCTGAAGAAACATGCTTGAAGCCGATCATAAATAAAATAGCGGTTGCTAGCCATGAATATCTCGGTCTCCAAATCCAGTTTTCCAAATTTTCCAATCAACTGTATTCATTCTTTTCCAATTGTAATGTTCTCCAATGTTTTTTTTAAACATTTGTTTGCTTTCCCAATTGATAAGGAAAAGCTTTATATTTGCAAGTTCTACATGCGGCATTAGTTTTAAAGCTTGAACAACTCTCGCTCCCTCCCCTACCCCATTTATACCCCTACTGATCTATTCGAAAAAAAAGCCACCCACACTGGGAGATTCGCATAATGTTTCGCACAATAATGGCAGTTTGGGTTTGTCCATCGCGCGCACACACACACCATCTTTTGATGATAGAAATCTTTAAAAAAACGAACGAACAACTTTCACTGTTTTCTCATGCTTGATTCCACAAAACTTTACCTATCTCTTAAGATGTCCAACTACGATTCTATTCTCATAAATCGACAATCGTGTATGAATTGCCTATACGCAACTTTTTGTGTAAAAAATGTTCTTTATCAACACCCTAAAAATGTGCCTTAGCTATCTGATAGGAGTACATTCCACATTTTCTACGTACATATTCGTTAATTATTGCGAAACTATGTACTTCGTTTTCAGGAAACATGGGTTCAAAACAAACTGAAGCGCATTCTTCCTTTGAATCGTTTGCCTCCAGCAAAAGGGACGAAAACTATAAGGTAGGACTCTCCAATTGCATTATATACTCAGAGATTGTTTTAAGTCTCCGGAAAGCTCTGATTGGGAAGGATATGCGACTCCTTTGGCTTCAAGTCGTCCTGATCTACACATACTACCAGCGATTAGCATCGAGACAACAGAAAACGAAGACGGTAAACCAGCTGAGCAAGTTGAACTGACACCTATTGGCACCCCACGACGTGATGCAGAGTCACCAATGATGGTGACCAGTGTACAATTATTAAAGAATGCAAAGTTCATCCAAATGACACAATTGGAAAAAGGAAATGATTCGGAAATTGAGTATGACGAAAACGAAGTTGAAATTGAGGTACCGCGTACCGCTGACTCACTAGAATTTCTGAACAAAATTGCCAAATTCCCCGCTTCTCAAAATGAAACAGACAATAACGTCCATGAGGAATGCTTCCCCGAAATAGAAATAAAAACGGAAGTTGAGCAGTCAGAACTGCTCATTATAGAAGTTAAACACAATGAGAATACTGACAAAGTTCTGGAACAAGATAAAGTAATGGAGACACACGAGTTCTCATTCAAAGGAGCTACGGAAGTTAATGAATCGTCACATATTGGATTAAATATCATTGAGCCGCCTGTTCAAGTTGCTGCTAATTTCACATTATCCGCACTTCCAGCGATAATTGAGGATAAAGAAACGATAGCATATGACGCTGACACTGAAGAAGTGCTGACAGTTCAGAAAATATCCGATGATGTTCAGCAGCTTGTAGACGCCATCAATGCAATCGAGTAAGTTATCATTTTTCAATTTTCGGAGCGCCTATTGTTTTTTCTTCATTTTTTTTCACTTTTGCGATATTCTATTTTTGCAAGCAGAAATGAAAGATTTTTTTTTTCGAAAATTGTCCCCTAAAAAAACAATGTTTCTATTTAAAAATTGCCACCAAATAAGAAATGTATATATATAGCTAGCCAAAAGTTGCTTCTTTCATCTTTCCAAAATGACCTTCTGGAATTTCGTTGGTCACACTTGGGCCAATACCACACCCTGTTTTTTATCATTTTGCGGAAAATGCGATCTTATTCAGTAAGACGCAGTAAAACTTGATGACAGCCAGAAACTAGAAATGATTAACATGATAGATCGTTTTGATCAGCGATTTGGATAATGCGATCAACCTTGATAAATTTTTTTGCTTCATTTCCTCGAGGGTGATTTGCGAAGGGTTCGAATTTGCATTCAGGATATATTTAGATCGCTAGATTATTCCTATAAGACATGATGAATTAATTTTCAAGCATTCTAGTTACCGGTTTTTAAGTAAATCTTTCGATTTGTTTTGTTTTCGTTTTTGAATCAAAATGTTATCTTAACGTAGAAAACTCGTCTCCAATCGCATGCAAATTTTATAGAACCGCATCTTTTTTGTCGAAATTTTTGCATATGAGATGGCAGTCACACATATATCAACGTGTTTCATTTTTAACCGCTTGCCTCTGGGCAACAAAATCCAAACCAGTTATCAAAAAAAAATCAAACGTCTCTTTCAGTATCTATCTCTCTTTTTCGGCTGAGTGAAGGAGGGGGGGGGTATTCTCGAAAGTGGTCAGCGTCGCTAATTAATTAATGAAATGTTTCTGGCTGAGATTTAGGTGGCGAGGCAAAGTGACAACGCCTTGAAACGTTCCGTGAGTAACTTATGACCATTATGCATTGCAGACCTGACGACCCAGTTGAATTGAGTGCAACGGTAGTCAACACCGGTAATACTGTGACAATTCGAGAGATACAGAAAAGAGTTGTGGAAATGGCGACTATTGTCGAAGATGGTGAAAATATTGAGGAGAAAACTATGCAGGTAAATTATTTAGAATCACTTCTTTTTATTCTTTCTTTTCTATCGCTCGCTTTATACAAGGGAGCATAACAAGCATTTTATATGCTGTAATCTGTTGAACAAATAAAAATTCTAGATATTTCCAATAATTGTTTATTTCACTTTCATCGTTTTGCCTTATGGCCTAGTACACTACTTCGGAGCTTTTATTGATCGTAAACTGAGCGCATCCCAGTGTTTAATGGCTCAAAAATGGCCACCAACAGTTTTTCAAATATGTAGAAGAATAAAAATCCAGCTCTTTTAATTACCCAGTATCCAAATATTTTCAATGAAAACAAATTTTTCAAGAAAAACCCTGTTTCAAAAATTTTATAAATATATATATATATATATATATATATATATTAGCCATTACAAAATTATCTTTACTTCTTACTTTATGATTCATCTCGAGCGTTTCAATGAAAGAACAATTATAGAAAGAATTACACAAGTGAATTTAAGGAAGACGAATATTCAAAAAAAACTTTAACTTCAACCTGAGTTTTTTTTATCGCTAATTTTTTCCTTGATTCTTTATAATTTCAATAATTCAATTGCCGCTTTGAACTCTTTCTTTCAGAGTCCAGAAGCTTGCGCACTTACTATAATTGCCATGTCGGCAATCTTAAAATATTGTTTCAACATTAAATAGCCCCCTCCAAACTCAATGAGCATCACCGTTATTGTTTTTTTTCTTATTTTTGCCTCCAACCATTCAAGAAGGCAAAAAAAAACAAGACGCATTCATTTACGTGATGACAGTTTGTGCAAACATTTATTTGGTACATTCGTTCAACTTTCAATACATTCTGAACTAAACAACTGTACACCATTCGTAGTGCAACGTGAAATGCGAATGGCAAATAATTTTTCGCGTGATGTCTCGCCGAATTGTTTGCCGCCGGCTGTTGGTAATTCAGAAGACAAGTTCACGTTTTCCTTTCTCTCTTAGTTTTAATCAACTAACCGTTTGGCAGCGTTTTTTTCCTTCCGACGGGTCCATCCTAGCAGATCAAAAATCGCGTTATCACGTTTACAAAGTTTGAAAAATTTAAGCTTTCAATTGTATTGGAGTCATAGTAACGCTAAAAATTTTCGGAAAGTATGACTAAGAAGAAAAAAGAAACATTTTCAATAAAAACAGTAATACTTTCAATGTTGGTATGATTAAAAAGTCGCCTGTCCATACAGCAAAATAACCTTGCCTATTATAGATTAGTGGGTGTGGTGGCGCAATTGTGCACTCATCGCATTTTATTCTTAAAAAATAAAAACTGTTAAAACTATTGGCTTTGTGACTGCTATGTTTAAGAGCATAAATTGTAGAAGCTCTTCCTCTATTGTACATTAGCCTTCTCTTTTGACCTATAAATTCTTATTCCAGTTCTCGCCAAAAAAAAACTTTCCCAATTCATGGAATTCGTGCGTAACGGTAGTTACTAGACGTGAAATTGTCATGCTTCCAAACAAGGAGGCCATTTTTATGCGCAACCGACGCCGTATTATTAGTTTTTCGCGTTTCCACTTTTGTCGCCACAACACTTCGACTGTCGTGTGTGTATGTGATCCCCACTTTCAATACAACAAGCCTGTTTGCGTTCTGGTTCGTTCTAAAAATTGCCCTACCACTCTCTCACCATGAATTATACTGCAAATCCACTGCACCTCATTGACTTTGGGGCGCCGATAAACATTAAGATGATGACTGAGGCGCTCTAGTGATCGTCGCACCGACTCAAGATTCAAGTTAGTTGTTTTCGCGCCCTTCCGCCGACCATTATTTGAACTAATATTGTTTTCCCATTGGATTATTTCTCCCACTCACCTCCAACACGCTGAACAACATGTGTGACGCTTTTCATTTATGCAAAATTAACATTTTACAGAAAATGCCGGATATTTTCAATGGCAAACTTTTTTTATGTGTTTGTTTTATAATAAGCAATAATAAGCATTGTTAGAACGCAATTCAGCCTGTTTTATATGTCTTTATAAGATGAGAAAATTTTTAGTTTTCTTTATGTAAATGCATTAAAAAATATTTGTTAGCAATCGATTGATCTCTGATAAAAAATTTTAACTATTGAATCATAAACGTAAAAAATAGTTTAAATTCAAAGCATTCAATTTTGTTTCAAATTAAAATATTCTGTTCAACCATTTAAATTTCTTCCAGTCATGGCATTGATGAAAGGAATGAAAACCACTTGGCATAAACGGAAGCCAAATAACAACCCTGAAAATTTGCCTATACGGGTTTCTTGCTGCCGCGTATTGTTGTAAACTTATTGTGCTTTTGTCAAACTTTTTTTCCGCGGTGTGAATGGGTTTGGTGGCAAGCTGGTTCGCTTGTCGGCCGCGCATTGATACACTATTATTAAATAAATCTCCACACATCAACTATTTTTTTTATGTTCTCGCTATTATACTGACCATCTCGTCGCAGTATTAGTGTGTACTATCAAAAAATCCAATCTGTTTGCATTGACCCGACTTGCATTGGGATCTCCTGTTATTTTTAGTGAGTAAATTTCCCTATGATTTGAAGACATCCGTCTCCTCATTGACATCCATGCTATTTCGGCGCTCCACTTTTTCTTTACGATCTAACCGTCGTATGCAAATTAACCGTATGAATCTCTTTTTGTTTCATGTTTCATTGATTTTTAGACTTCGTTTCTAAATGAGCAGACCAGCGCAATTAAACCAGGTTATCATATAATGACTATTAGAAAAGAAAAACATAAAACTGTCTTATTTTTTCTGCTGAGATGATTGATAACGAGAATTGTGCTTCGACATTTTAATCATAAACAGATTACGCCGACTTTTCAGTTATAAGAGCAAAGATGAAAATGGAAAAGAAACCATTTTGGATTAAAAAGCTCGTTTAACTATAGCAAATAAAACGAAATACATTTTATTTTGAAATTGGAGGAATGTTTACTTTGGTACCCTAACAGTAGTGATATCGGTTGAAAAATTGCACTTCGGCAAACTAGAAATTTTTACTTTTCTTCAAACAAATGTGTATATCTAGATAGTGCGTTTCAGAAAGAAACCCATGATTCGAAAAATAATCGCTTTAGCTAAATTGAAGAAACTTTCCCTTATTAAGTTTCCTTATTGATACTTGCCAAAAACTGAATCGGATTAAACTCACATGTCATCTTGTATCAGATCAAATAATGCAAAAAGCCTGAGGTGAAATTTTCGCCCTTACCACCACGCCAAAAATTGTTAGAATACATTTGTTGAGAGATAGGTTTCTGTGAGGGCAGCAGTTTTTTATTCGTGCTTGTTGTTATTGTTGACAACATATTGTGTCAGCTTTTTCGATGACGATGATCACACATATATACATTCATTCGTTTGGTTATGATTCTGCGCGGCTAATATAATAAAACCAATTGAATATGAATGTATGTATGTTTTAAGGGAGACAATTGTTACTTTCCGTGATGTCAACACTTGCCGCGGTTTTCAAGTTTTATTGAGTAGGGCGACATTATCAATAATGGAAATACCGTTCTCCTTGCTTCTGTCGTGATAAGCATTATTAGTCTATTCGATTTTTGAGGCGCCGATTATTGTTTGAATTTTTGCCTCATTTAATACCATCTGCAGAGGAAGACGGTATCTAACCTTGACATTTCTTTTTGTTTCCAGCAAAAGGAGCAGAACACATCACAAATTTGGATCGACCCAAACATTATTGACGAAATGGACAATTTGAAAATGGAGAATGAACAGCTCCGCTCACAAATTGAAGCTATCGATCTCAATAGCATTGATGTAAGTTCCACTCGATATAACGTATATTGTTTAATGTTTCAGAATCTGTACAAAGAATACACAAATGTGCAGAAGCAGCTAGCCGAGGCTAACCATACCATCGACGAGATTGAAATTGAAGCTGAACAGGTAATTATAGCACCTCAAATAATAATGTTTGCTCATTTAATTATCTATCGACAGGCGCCAACGCCGGAAATTACATTATTAATTTAAATTATCTTTCAGCAATACACAGAGATGACGGCGGAAATTGATGAGTTGTGCGAGCTCGTTATGAAAAAAGATGAAGAACTCGCAAAACTGAAAGAAAAGATCGCCACCGCGATGTCGCACGAGAATCAATTAAAGGATGATGTCGATTCACAGCGTGCGATCGTTCACAGACAAAAGGAAATTATTGAGAGTCTAAGGTAGCATTTTCGAATGTCCATCAATATCAAAAACTTGATCAATTTTTTTTGCAATCGGCATTGACCGAAAATTTCGGCGGTTGCGACTGATAAAATTAATATTACCACCGCAGAAGCTGCACAATTATTTCAAAGAATACAAACTCTTGTATTGTGTGTTCAGAGAGGAATTGGATAACATGACATTGAAATACGTGGAGATGACCAAACTTCGTGACAAGGCTGCTGAAGAAGCAACTTTGAATAAAATGAAGAATGAAGAGAGAGAGAGATTCCTAGCTAAGGTTGAATCAAATCTCGCTGAATTTTATAGGGATTTAAATAACGTTTGTAGGAGGCTCAAATGTCATTGGAAATGGAAGATTTGCAACGAGAACTTAATAAGCAGAAAATGATTTTGAGCAATACTAGCATGGCCAAGATGATCGATTCGGTTAGCCTTGAATAACCTAATCCAAATTATGTATTATTTTAGTTCGAACGCAAGATTCTCAAGCTGGAGAACGATGTTCGCGAAAGAGATATCATAATCTGCAAGCAAAACCAGGTTATCAACAGCCAAAGAAGATCGCCAAGCCGTGCTAGCACTGTAGTCAGCAAGAGACCAGGTAAATCCGGTTAATCGAATAACGCCTCATTATCTGGTTTTGGGTGAGCTTCCAAGCGCTGGAAGCAGTTCGGAATCGTTTCAAAATGGCCTCGATCATAACGCCAAGGAAGCAATCTTCAGTTATCTTATCAGTGATCGCCATAGTCAACTCGCCAATATTTATAGTATTGGAAGGATATTGGAGTTGAATAATGCCGAAGAAAGAACATTGGAAAAGCACCTAACAAAAGATCGATTTAACTAATTTCTGTTTTTTCTTCGTCTGTTTCCATTTGTGTCTGAAAATGTAAATAAGTAGTGCGCTGCCCACGCCATATTGGTGTCATTATGAATGTAGAAGGGTTTGGCTTTCAAAAAAAGAGTAAGATAAATTGAATATTTCAAATTTTTAGCTTAAACCACTATTTCCCGGTATTTATACAAACCATTAATTGTATTTCTCAACATTCCCTTAACAATTAAAATGTAGGCTGCGATTTTTCTTTTTTATCAAGAGTAAATGAATAAATGAATGATTTATGCGTTTTCTGGATCATCGATAATTACAATTGGGACCTTTCCGACATTTTTTGTGTCCAGTGGAACATCGCTGTTTTGATATTGGAGCGCTGAAATGATTCATTGACGATAACAATATTCAAGTGGATTTTGCAAATATTTACTGCCTGATGCACTTGCTGAAGGGTACTGCGGCGGAACTAGTGTGTATTCAGGCAATGCCGTTTGTATAAAAGAGAACTTTCGTATTGCTGCATCTCGAATAGGTAGGAGGAACCTGACTGCAGTTTACAATATTAGAAATGACAATTCACTTACCATACTAAGAAGAGAGGATGAACAAAAGAAATAATTAGTGGCAGAATAACAAAGAAGATTTCAAGAATAAAATAGGAACACTGTAAAATAAACATAAAAATTTTTGGAATTTTTTAGAAAGCGTAAGTTAAAATGACAAAATTAAGAAGTTTTCAAACCTCCCGGCAAGTTTCTCGAAGCAATTGTGAGTAAAGAGTAATACAACCGCAGAAGAATAAACTGATTTCCCATAGCAATGTTTCAACGTACAAAATTTCCTTCAGTGATATTATAGTGAAAAACACCCAATTTTTGCTGGAATGATCTTAGTAATTTTTTCACAAAATTCAATTTTTAATAAATAGATCACCTTGAGCGCTGTCTTTGTATTGCTATCGTCAATAAAATATACGCCGAAATGTGAAGGATAATCATCAAAGTGAGTGCACCGCACACCAAAAACGGATTTTTAATAGAGAGGAGAATCGAACACTGGAAATTTTCAATAACCATTTTGAATTCTCATTCCATGTACCTTATTCAATTTTTCATTTTCTGTATCATTATCGAATGCAGTGAATAGCAGGCACGTAGCCACACACATCGCTGCAATTGTGCTTTGCCATACAGAACATGACAAATGCCAAACAATCGGTAGCTTATCCTTTGGATTCCTAAAAACCAAAGTCATTTTATTCTTTAAATGTTACCCATTAATCCTAATGCACATTTGGCACAATGTCTTCCGTCCCATTAAACCGCGAACAGATTGATTTGACGTCAAAACTTGCAATTTTTTATCTCTCACCATCAAACAACATTGCAATTTGAAACTTCTCACATGCGCAAATGAAACAGGCGATTGTGCCAAGATGGGTTTAGTGTTCCGAATCGGCGAAGGCTGCGTAGCGCGAAGGCACGCCCAAAAATACCTGTTTTAAACGACGAATGACACTATAAATAGATCACCATCATCAGACATTAATATTGAAATTTCGGCATTTTATTCTCGCGGCGATCCCAACATCCAACAACTATGACAGAAGCGTATCATTGTGAAGACAGTGGGATTGGCTTTGAATGTGTATTCGTCTTATGGTAAGTTAGATGGGTCAAGCAGTCCCATCACCTCGTAATGGGCACAAAAGACTAGCATTATTTTATCTGTCATTGTGCCATTGTGGGGCGCTGGGATTTGTTTCGATCATTCAAATTGCGACAGCATTTTTTTTTATTTTTGTAATTATGAAAAGTGTAATATGCAATTTAATTTGTAATTAGGTGCCACATTAGGGCGGCCTGATAGTCTACTACATAGTTGTACGGTAGCATGTCATTGGATCGTTGTGCAGTGATGAGCATTTTTCGATTTTTGTTTTTGATAATCTGTTTCCGAAATTGTACCTATTTTTATTGCGACCATTTTGATGAACGATGTCAATCAGCAATTATTAATGGACAAGCAAATTTGATTCTGCCTCAGTGAGATTGAATGCAATTCATCCTTATCCATGCTCTATTTACAAATGCAAGCCACCAGTTAAACAGAACAACAACAAAAGTTAGCTGACTAGCATAGAATTTGGCAGTGGCAGTGCATTCCCGTTAATTGCTTAATATTTCAATAATGGAACTTACATCTTCACCCAATTGCACTGAAATCCCAACAGGAAGCAAACAACTGCGCAATGAATATAACAAAAAAGTAATGGAAATTCTTGAATTTTGCAAGTTATGGAAGTCAACTGAATAAACCAGCATATAATGGTAATTGTATACAACTATACCTCATTGAGACACGGTTTTTGCATAATCAAATAGAGATAAAATTTTTTTGCTAATTGAAATCCAGAGAGCAACGCAAAATTAATAGATAAGGATGCCTAAATCAAAAAGTTTGATGGGATAATTTCAATACCACTTTACAATAATCCTTCTCAAGGAAAATGGCATAGGCACAGAATTATGCGCAATCACAGTGATGAAAGTATTCATAACCAAGCCACCAACGGCTATAACTGTCTCGAGGAGAGAGAAAGCCCTAAAAGTAATATGCAACAATTTTGCGTGTAAAAAATAACAAACCATTGCGCAGGAAACGCCAAAGGGACAGTGCATTTGTCGTCTGTTTGTGCCTTGAAACTCATTCTAAAATGTGTTAGAATGGATAGGAGTGTTCAAAATAGCAACTAGTGTTGAATTTTATTAGAAAACGGATAGTAGCAAACACAGAACTTCTCAATTTCAAATGTAACAGATTTGAGCCGGACGTTTGGTTCTGTTTCCGGATGGCCCATTTAGAATAGATGGCACGCTATCATGGCAAATTTCATACAATTTTTGCTGGCTTGTTGAGAACAGAGAAATTCAATTGGATTAAATTATGTGCAAGAGAGAAAGAAACGAAATTTGCGGAAAAAATGTGGCTAAAATTTTGCAAAAAATGGATAGAAATTTAGAAATTGTGTAATTTCGAAGTAGCATAATATCGTTTCACATAAACAAGTTACTTACTTAGCATTGTAACCAAAACTAAAATTCTTTTAATTCATCAACCACAAAAATATTATTTTGAAGGTTATTATCATATTTTAACATATTCAATATTTAATTATGTTTCCAGTAAGAATGTTGTCATCAAGAGATATCATTTGAAAAATACATATCCGGTACACAATGCAACATGGTTTAAAACTATTCAATGAAAATTGTCGATTTCTGTTTTCTTCTTTTTTCCTAATTTTGAGTTCTAAGACACTAGAGTCTTGGTGTCATACGTTTTCCTACTGTTAAAAAGCGACGATAAATTTTCCTGTTTTCGACGAAAAATATTTTTGTTATTTGTCTCTTCAACAATAATCGTCTGCATCCAGAATGTCTCTGATTGCAATACTTCCGACTAATATGCTTTTTCGATTGCTAAAATCTCTATTTTTATTCCCAAAATTTACGATTGATTACTATTTCGACACTTCTTATATAGTTTGATTCACATATTTTGCGCATTTTTTAAATTTCATCAAATTAAAATCAAAGAGTCCCCTCTTGCAATTTTTGGTTCAATTTAAATTGAATTGCTCTATTCAATTCAATTTATTTTTCGAAGAGCTTCACGGTTTTAGGTCAAATTTTCAACTCTATATTTTATATATTATTTTGCTGGATATAACTTCATCCAGCAAAAATAATCAAGATGCGAACGTATACTTTAATTAGGCTCTATTAGAGACTGGTCTAAAAAAACGCAGCTTATTATATATTCCATAAATTTAACTAATTTTTCAGTAAGAAGTCATTTTCTACCAACCGAATTTCAAAAAATTCTTTGGTAATAAAATATGGTTATTAGACCACATGTGGCATTTAGATTTGTCTAATGCCAATTACAGCTTAAAATGACGCACGTTTTAAAATAAAAACTTTTAATGAAATTCTCAGAGTGTGTTCAGTGGATTTAAGACACTATTATTTTCTCTGTTAACTGTGAGTAATTGTTATAAATATTGACTTTTGTACAACTAGAAAGCAGAAACCAATGAAAATTAATTTGGAATTGCATAAACAATGGTAAAGTAGAATGAAGCTACAATCATGATTGTCATATTGTATAAATTAAATCTAGCGTTAAAAAATTGAAAAAGCTCAAATCTTGGCGAAGAAAAAATAAGTTCTGTGAAATTCAACTACAAATTTGAGTCGTCGATTTTCGCCCAAATTTAATTATCTTTTTTCTCACTTGATATTTTTGGACTCAGCAACATTCAATTTCCGCTTCCTGTATCAATAGGGCTAATGAATTTTGAATGCCAATTGTTCTTTTTCATTGCACTGTGAAGAGTTTCTCATGTGAACCAAATTGTGTCTTCTTCGGATTGCACAATACCTTCGAAACATCATTTTTCAACATTAACTCCGATCTGAGCATTTGCGATGAACACACTTTGAATATATGTATGTATGTATACGTTATAAGAATATATCTAGGAGATTGGTTTCCGTGAGAATGTCCAATGTCCATTTGGTATTCTATTGTTGCGAACACTCAAAAAACGAATGTTCTTTTAAGCTTCACATCGCAAGTTTTAAGCATTTTTATCTTTATTAGGTTGGGCAGTGATTTTTAGAACTCTTTCATTACTTGATTTGCTGATATTTATTGTGAATTGGTTTTGCCTTCAATTATTCTTCAATCGAAATCAATATTGCAATGTTTTGCAAAGTTGATGTAGTTGGAAAGCAATATGTCGAGAACATTTCTCAGTTTTCGAATGTATAATTTTGTCATGGCATTTCCCAGATTAAAAATCTGAAGAAATTAAATTCCGAATTTAAACATTTAATTTTTCTTTTTCTATTAGTATCTATTTAAAAAAACGTAGGATGAACAACAATTTCGATTTTTTCATAATCTATTGTCTTGAAATACAAAAGAACATCTGACGTGCAGGTTGATTATTCATTGCTAACATCAAATTTACAAACTTCTTAATTTGAAAAATATACCTTTTATTCTTCTCTTACTTACGCAGCAGAAGAAAATTTTCGAGTTCCAAAAATAAGTTCTAAATGTAACGAAAGTAGAAAGAAGAAATTGCCGCACTAATATATCATTCTGCTCCCAGAATATTGTATAAGTGTACACTTTTTCTGAAGCGACGCGCTCATATTGTCCCAATATCACTCAAATGAGCAGTCGGGAATCATTTTGCATAAATTAAATTCTCGTATTTGTTTTTCTTAGCATTTTCATTCACGTCATATCTAAGAACCTTTCCAACCTACCAAAAAGAAGTATTCTACTATGTTTATTGACATTAGAACACTAAGTATTTCAAGCTAATGTGTAATTTTCTCTTATCAATAAAATGCCTCCGTATTTATTATCAGAAGAAACAGACAAAGTTAAAAAAATTTATCATTTATAAATCACATGATCCTTTAATTATTCCTCTTTTTCCTCATTGATATACCAACAAAACAAGTTTATACTTTTTGTGCGAAAAAAAAAAACCGAAAAAATAGAATCTGCGCTTCGAATTAAATGTTAAACCATCAGTTTTATGGCAATAGCCGAATTTTATTGATAGTTTTGAAATAAAGTGGTAATATGTTTTTCGCAAGTTTTATGTCACTCAAAAAGTGAAGCACCATTTTGCCGTCGAAGAATCTGTATACATGTACATATAAAGTTTCTCGCTTTGATTCTCATACATGGGCAACAATACTGTAATCGAATTTGGTTTCTTCATTTCTTTCGTTACGTACATTTCCTGCCTTTTTCCTTCTATTTCGTATTATTTTTGTCTTCCATAAAACACGTTCCATGCCTTTTATTTGACCAGAAAATATATATGCTTCACATTTTATGCACTATTGGCTCGACAAAATGAAGCTATTTAGGTGTGGTCTTTCGTGCTCTCTTCTTGTTTTTTCTTATTTTTTTCGCTACCATTCCCTCATCGAATTCTATATCATTCTAGAATTCCGTCGTACGCTGTCTTCCGTGCACCCTCGTCTCGGGTCAGAGGCCATCGACACAACCCGGTTAGTGAAGAAGTTCGCAAGTTTGTAGATGGGGGAACAATTGAAAATTTGAACTCAGCAATAAAATAATTGAAAATAAAAAACACCTGGATTGGTGGGTGATGTATAAACAATGTTGCAACATCGACAAACGTGACCCTAATTTAAAATTTATTTTAGTCTTTAAGGTTATATGACGTACCGATGGTTTAAAATGCTACGTTTTTTCAAACGTAGTGAAGAATAGCTAGTTTCAAAATTATTTGTAATTCACGTAAATTTTATGCCAATGACATTTCTCACACCCGATTGAACGTTTTCCTGTTAATAAGTAATTTCCCATATTTAAGCTGCAATTATCGCATAGAAAGTCCTAATTTTTTTAAGTTACTCCATTTTAGCTGACATCATTGATGGTAGTTTTTTGCTCAAAAAATAAGCCGACGAAAACCACCCACGCAGAATGCTCGCATATTTAAGTGTCATCATCGAACAATAACATCGTCATTGTGAATGTTAGGCGTACAAATTCGCGCTACCGCTGAAGCAAAATTAATTTTCTGGTAGGGCTTTTTACCTGTTTGTTTTTAGGATTTCTGAGGTTTACATACATGTATATTGCTTGCTTCTATTCACTTTCTTCTACGGAACAGCATTCTTATATTCGCTTATCAGATTGTAATATTTACGACTGAAATTCTACTTTTTGAGAAGCACTGTTGTTGAAATTTAATTATCAAATTATTTAGGCAAAACAGTTAAAGGAAAATCACATTTTTGTGATAAAAATGGAGAGAAGAAGCATCATTTTTTGTGTTTTCTTTACATCATTGATAAAAAATATTGTGCAAAGTATATTATGTAATTAAAAAAAATGGTAATCAATTCTATACTTTACAATCAACATTCGGAGCCCGGGGTATGTTGGTGATATGAAATTTTTGTCATCATAGTTAATTAGATAATTAACTGATGCACGGGTTCACCCCCGATAGGTTTCGATTCCAGCGGACAAAATCATAAACGCTTCGATACCGTAAAAAAATAAAAAATTTGCGAGCGTACGCTGCCAAACACAAACGTTTCAATTTACTCAAAATCAATAACAATCGACTTATTATTCTGTTGCGCAAGCAGATTAACGCTACCATACGACAATGATACATTTCATGATAATATATATTGTCGGCGTCAAACGACTAAAGAGAGGCGGGGTCTTCAAATTCGCGAAATCAGTGTAGATTTAATTTTTTTGTTGATTGGATATTAAATGCGCGTACACATTAATTCAATGTACGTAGTCTCGCGTACTTCTCGCTGCCTCGAGACGCATTGGCATATAGAAAATAATTTTTTAAATTTCGTCAAGTCGTTTGACTCCGACAAAACATATATTTTAAGTAGTATAATTGCAATACGTTCTAGTATTTCTGTGCCAATCTTCTAATTTATTACCTAAATGTGTTTGTGAACAAAAACAAATAGCTAAATTACGCCGTAAGTTAATTTAAAAGTCGAGCGGTATAATAAATCGCAGACAATTGCCTAATTTCGCAACTAGATTATTATCTCTCTTTCTTTTCATTCTACATGTCACCGCTTTTGAAGTCCAAGTATATATTCAAAAAAGTTTATATATATATATATATATATATATATATATATATATATATATATATATATATATTCAGGCTTTTTTTCTCAAATTTGTTCGAAAATGGGCTTCGAAAGGGAGCCGTTCAAACAACTCGTATTATTCACTATTTTTTCGAGGATTATATTATCTAAATTTTTTTTGATTTTCTCTTCTCGTTTTGAATTTCTAGCTCGTTCGATCGAACATTTATTTTCGTTACTGAGCCAAACAAAACCATTCAAACAATGTTTGTAGTTCACCCCTATGCAAATAAATATGTCAAAAGAAAACCATCCCATTATCCTTCTCAGAAATGGGTTCATTTTTTTGCGCTGTATCCTTCATTTGCATTTAATTTCCGGCCGCCCATCAATTTGGATACATCAATTTTGAATCGTCAGTTTATCGTGTACGGCAAATACGTCAGACGGCCTGCAGTTTTCCATTGAGCGTGTTTGTCATCGCGAATGCCGAGGCAACAACAATGCACACACGACACTGACGCTTTTTGCGTGTCGCGACGCATTGTCAATTGGTCGTATTTCTGTTGTGATTTTGATGCGTTTTCCTATTTTTTGTTTCAATTTTTAATGCGCCTCGTTACAATAAAAATCGTTCGGGTCATTTCTTTCTTTAAAAACATTTTTGTAGATAAACGGGTCGAAAACCATGGATCCTAACAACCGTCGTCACGCAGGGAGCAAAAACGAGGCTCTACATGTGGATGCAAACACGAGAGGTGAACTAATCATAGGTCGCATTTCGCTTTTTTGTGTTTCTAGAATCTTTGTTATGGGTTTCTTAATAACTGGTTTCGTTTTTTCAGAGGTCTCGATGTCCGCCAATCGCAGTCATTCGAACGACAACGAATATTTTGCACCGAGGTGTGTCCCTTTCTTATATTAGTTTTACTACTGAAAGAAGGAATTGAAAAAATCGCTCTCGAACATTGCCAGTCTTTGTTTTTTTATAATTCCTCGTTTTGCCATAACGATGACTAATCATTCTCCATAAAATATCTGTCTAGTTTCCGTATCGATTTTGTTCGTCTCTTTCTTATAGCCCGGGATCGTCTGTCGGAGCTAGTGTCTCGCTTTTCTCATCGCGGAACTCGGAAATCGACATGCATGATCATGAAGAAGGTATTATCACTCCAATGGAAAGTTCTCGCATTGTCATGCTGCATCAGTGCGTTGAAGAGATGATTCGCGACAATGACATCCGTACACGCTATCCGCAATTCTATAAATTTCTTCAGGTTAGTTTATACTATTGATTGATTCAGGAATCAATGTTCAGGAGGAAGAGCCGAGTTGGTTCGAGCCATCACCACACAAGGGTACCATCTTTCGCGTCTCGAGAAAGACAGCTGAGCCACCAGAGGGTCCGTACTTGAAAAAGGAGCTTCGTTATGAAATGCTTGATCTCATGTACCGCTTTCTTCGGCAAAAAGTCCGTTGTCGCAATCCCAACTTAAGTAAATTGGGACATTTTAGCAGATTAACGGAGCACAAAAGCGCGAAATGGACGAGTTGAAGGAGGCAAATCGTCAATTGCGCATCACGTCGGTTCAGATATACGCCAAAGCGGAACAAGAGGAAGAATTCATATCAAACTCACTTTTGAAGAAGTAAGCAACATTAATTTGCTCGAAGTGTCACACTTCTAGAATGTTTGCTTCCCTTTTCTATAATTTCTCGGTAAAATGAAAACATGATTATGGTGCATTAAGTGAGCTTTGAAATTTTAGTTCATTTAACCAAGCTAATTTTGCAAAAGCAGTTGAACATATTCAACTTACAAATTTTAGTTTATATAAATTTTCAGAATACAAAAGCTCAAGGAGGACAAAGAGTTCTTGATGAAAAAATACCAGAAGGACGAAGAGTCGCTTACTAGTGATCTTATTACCAATGTCACCAAAATTGCCGAATGTCATCGAAATGACGAAAATGTTAAGGAAGTGAAAGATCCTAAGGACATTGTCGCAGAAAAGGAGGCCGAAATTGAGCGTCTACAGGCTCAATGCCGTCGTGCTGAAAAGGACTATCAAGCTGAGCTTCTTCGCTTACGTGCCGAAAAAGTTGATCATGAGGCCGCTTTGGAGCAAGAACAAGAGAACCTCATCAACAAGCTCGGAAAACGCATGGCGATCTCCAATGATGAAAAACGGTAGGAATTTGCTAATAATTTAAAGACTATCAGAAGTTGGCATTCAAAATGAGAAAACATTATTAAGTATGATTGGAACAAAGTGAAGAAAAATACTTTTTTTCGCATTTTATTAGTTTACTTTCACTAACTATATTCTATTATAAATTTTCGATTGTTATTTTTAAAACAATCACCAATTACTTTCGTCATTGTGTCATGCACTTATGCTTCCGGGGTCGATGACATCTATTTTATTGTTTCAGCAAGATGCAAGCCGCATTGGAGGCGGCCTACATGAACGGCTTCATTGACTTCAACGAAGGCGTTGAGTGCGCATTCCGCGCTACTGCTGCCGAAAGATAGTGAGTACGCCCAGAAAAAGACGGCTAGTGGAAAAACCATGAGTCCGCACAATTCCTTTCAAAATGTGCTTTAAAAGCGAAAACATCTCTTTCAATTAATGGCCAGTGCGAGCAGCAGCCATTTAAATTCGACTCTTAGATAAACAATGTTGAGCTCGGGGCAATTCAATTGGATATCGGAGAAATATGGGTAGTAAGGACTTATTTAAAACTGGCCCAATGCATTACAATATTCTTTAAAAAATAGAAATGATTACAAAAATATTTAAGTGGAACTCTTCCATCGCCGTCGCCAACTCTTCGCAATGGAGCGCCATCTCCATCTCTCAATCCACAATCTTTCGTTCCGCAACTGAACGATGCAGGAGTTTTGTATGTTGACAATCAGCGACTTCAAGGAATTGTTCGCCAGCTAACTGCCAAAAACGAAGATCTTGAGAAGCATCAAAGCGAGTGTATGTTGTTCTTATAAGAGACATTTAATTAGGAAAATGTATCATATTTTCAGTGACCAACAAAGTAGCCCGTCTCACTATGACCATTGATTTGTTGAAGCGTGAAGCTCGCTACATGGAAGCGTAAATTGCTTTAAAGTCGTTTTTCTATACATGATATATCTTCAGCAACGTCAACAAGCGCATGAATGCATTCCTATCAAAGATCGTCAACGCTGCCGACGAGGCCGTCACCCAGGTGTCCTCGTCGACTTCTCCATCGTCGAGCACCACTGTTCAGCAAGCCACTTCAACTACATCATCAGCAATTGTGCACCCCATGCCTGCCCCACAACCGCCAACTGCACTCGCTACTGTCTACCCAATTCAGCGTATGTTACTTATCGTTTTGTTTTTGATTTTAATATTATCATGATACGACCGTCGCGGTAAAAAAATGTGCACATGTTCACGTTTTGATAACATTCTTCAAATCAAAATTGAATACACAAGCAAGCAGAAATATGTGGATTTGCAGGCTCAACAGGATCTCGCAACGATTCCAACAACACAATGTAATTATGAAGCTTTGCGATTGTTTAATCCTTTGAAAATATACGTGCTCCGTTAATTTTGTTCTATGCTTATTTTTAATCGTAAATCGAAAAAAAAATCAGATAGAGCCCTGTGTACCAATTATCCGATTTCTTCTATCTTCAACCTGTGTTTTCCAATATTTTGACGGTTTTTATCTATTTTAAATATCTCCCACAACCCACCCATATCTACAGTCAATCAACGAATTGATGATTGTTCCAATTTAATGGGATCGTTTTGCGTGGTTTAGGCATAATCGTTGCTCCCTAAAAATGCTTATTTAATTTTTATATTGTAGTACAATTTTCGTATTGTTAATTTTTATTCCCCTTTTACATCTCCAACAATGATTTTTTGTATTTTTTTCTTTATTAAATTTTTAAAATTTTTTCTTTTCTCCAGCTTTATTTATTGTATTTATGTGAAACCCTAGGTTACTATTAGCTTCATTTTTCTCTGAAATTTTTTTGTCATCCTCCTCTTAAGAAAAATTGCTTTTTGCACGTTAATGTGGCTGTTTTCAATAAAATGGTTTCAAAAGCCCAGTTGTTGATCTGTGTGAAGTTTAATCGTTGAAACTAAATGATGGATAAGTAGCCGATCAATTCATCATCGAATTTAAAAGAAGAATAGAATCGACCTTTAGTTTCGAGGATTCATGTAGTCTCGCGATAACCACATGATGAGATTTCAAAAAAATGGTGTTCGAAACATGTAATTCAGTATGTCGTCATGCAATTACGAAATTGGTCAGTCGGAAAAATAAACCAGAAACCGGCGCAATTGAAAAAGTGATTTCTCAGAATTGTTTGAATTTCAAGTGATTATCCGTTGTGTGATTAATTGTTCAGCAGGTTTGTACTTTTAAAGTACCATATGCTACTCAAATGGGACAACAAAATAGTCATATTTCGCTATAAAAATAACTTTGTATCTCAATTTTGGGGGGAAAAACTACAACAAAAAAATAAATCTAAAATTTTCAACGGATTTGTCTGTTTTTTTTTTAGTGGTGACGTAGGTTTGAAATACAAATTTGTCGCTCCGTTTCAACTGTTGTTCCTACTCTTTTTCGAAATTTTTTCGTAATATTTTTAAAAGACGAACTGTTGGAAATTTCGAGAAAAGCTTAAATCTGCTACTAAAAACTTCTCAATTCGAAAACTATTAATATGGGAATTCAAGAAATAATCCATCAAGTTTCCAAAATTTCCAGTTATGATAGCTAATTTGCAATGAGACAAGTCTTCATCGAAAACATCTGCCAACTGCAAAGAAGTTTCTTGCGCCTCCTTGGTCAGCGAAAACTGGGACGGAAAAAATTCGATAAACCCTCATTGTTCCCAATAAAACTGTTTTAGACGCGGAATGTTTCAGAGGTTTTTCGGTTTTCCTATGTTCTCGCAAACACCAAAACGCTTATTTTCAAGAGAAATGGAAGAAAATGAAAATGAATGGGATAAGAAGAATAGTTGGAAGAAGCCGAGTGAAAACAGGTCAAGGCCTTTTTTGGGTAACGGGATCGCTCTAATTACACTTTTTTTTTCATTTGCGCTGAGACTTTCACAAAAGACGTTCGAAATTCCTTGATCTTTATTATAAATGTTCTCATTGTGTTCGTCAGCATTTTTTGAAAACTTTTCTTTGTTTTCTTCCCGTTTTGACGGATATGACATTTGTGTGGACAATCTCATTTCTTAATTAATCCTTTAACTGAATGATTATTTTTTTGCGGTTCAGGTTCGATGATCAATTAGCTATTAGTTTTTCAAACCAAGCAAACTATTAATCGGTTCCAGTATTTTTTCAAGATTTCTTCACCTGTCCCAGAACATGCTCTCAAACAGTAAAAAAAAACACTTGACCTAGGAAACACTATAGATTAATCAACCTTGGATGTCTCTAGTAGAAAGAATTGGCCAGTGAGCACAAATGTTTTCTTTTTAAAATAATTTATTGCTAGATAAGTTTTTCAAATCTGAAACAACGCGATTGCATATAACCTAGAAAATTCAATGAACCGTTTCAAAAACTTCAAATACATTATGCATTGGTTTTCTGTGTCAAGGGCACCACTTTTGGGCGATCAGTCGCGATAAAACATCTGTTGCTACACATGGTCATATGTTAGAACCGGTTTCGAATAAATCCACCTTTTTCTTGTAATTGTGATATCATGTGTTTTTCTCGATATAAAGTCGCCAAATGAGGTCCATTTTCTTTATAACCTTCAACCACGGATCGGAAGACGATTATACGCGTTTATTCAAATGTCTTGCCTCTTTGTCTGTCATCTAACCCCACCTCAATTTTTTTGCACGCGAAACGCGAACCTCCATTCAAAATTCTGCTTCCATCAATTCAACCTTTGAGGCAATCAATTTGACGAGTCACTATAACCTCTTTCTCCTCAATGAACGCGTTCATTCTTATAAAACTGCGTTTGAACTTGAAACTTAAGTTAAGTTCAATCCATCCTCTTTTCAAAAGGTCGGTCGAAGGTCACTGTCATTCAATTAAGATGCGCTTATCTTATTAGTAGGGAACTGTTGTAGGCGGTGACTGTGTTCTGGAACTTTGCAGTTTCTTCTTCATTTTTTTCCCACAGCGAGTTACTGTTTGGTTTTCAGATGAAGCGCCGCAACGTAGCCGAACAATTGGAAAGAGTCTACAACGAGCAACGCAAAGCAGCAACATTGGCTTCAACTGCTACTGGATTCATCATGTAAGCAAGAGATTTTTTACATCCCGGACTTAAAACAGGAGCGTCCTTAAACAATAAGAAATGGATGATAGTTTTATTTTCAGTTATATACAATTATAGCCGCTCAAGCAAAATTGTACTTAAATAGATCGGAAACATTTATAACCAATTTATCTTTTATCTGAAGATCCATTAATAATTTATTTTTACCACAATTTTTGTCACATGCCCAGTGTTTTGTCATTCGCCTTTCTTCTCAATACAATTTATGTGTTCAGGTCGATCTGCTTTGTTGGACTTCCATTATTGTGGTCAGGACTCTTCAAAGTGATGCCAATCCCAACTCCAACTGTCTGCTCTAGCGATCCATGGAGCGGAATCACTGACTTGTGAACCATTAAATACCGTGAAGAAAAGGATCCAAGATGCAATATATTATAAAGAACAAGATGACTTATTATACGGTTTTTCATGCATTGTTCCTGGTGTCTTATTTTCTATTTTCCTCGATTTGATTTTTTGAGCATTAGCGGGTTGCACATTGAATTCTTTTATTATACGAATACAAATAAAGATACCGATCTAACGGCGATGAATACCTACTGGTACAAAGATGTCACACTCCTCGGTGATCATCGCACGAACAGCACCGTGAAGAAAATGAAAAGTCGCAGTCTTGCAGAAGGGAGATCAAGTGAAATGGGATCACCTCACACGATTAGAATCAGAATAACAAAAATTTTGATCAACTTTATCGTTGATAGGATACAGTTGATGCAATTCTGTTAAATAATTGGACAACAAAAATTCGACGTTAAAATTGGCTATCCTTTTTGCAAAGTATCTATTTTTCAACAAACCAAAATTAATACTGGCAGAGCGCAAGAATAGCAAATATATGACAATCATAAAAATGCGATAATAAAGAGTAATGTCATAAAATGTGTAAAATATGCTATTAATTATGAAAAAACTGAAATCAATATAAAAAAGTGATTTGAATGGCTCTCGTGTTTTTTTAATTGTCAAAAATACAATTGATTACATGTGGAATCCGAATCAACTTTAATCATCGCAAAAAAATGTGTAAAAATATGATTTGCCTATTGAAAAATCAAGAAATCAAAAAAAGAAGATCAGAACGAACAAAAATTGATACATAACTGGTGCTCCATACACAAATAAACGACAAATTCAACATTTAAAAAAAGAAAACAGAAAAAACATGCTAACATATAGCGGCAATTCAATAAAAAAATAAATGCGATAATATTTAAAGAAGTTGAGTATAGCCTCTGAACAAATCGGCGTTTGATTGAACATAAATGTCTTTCTGCACACCTGGTGTTAGCTTTGCCCATTTCAGTATCGGCACCTGAGACAAACTCATTGGAAAAAATTTCGAAAAATAGCACAAACCAAATGATCATTTTTTGCATGATACGTCGACATTTTTTTATTACAATGACTGCAATTTTTGTCTTCAACGTGTTCCTCGAAGAAATGTGCAAAAAATTTCCCATACTGTAATTTTATTATTATATAGATGTTTAGGAAACAAAAACAACTCGAACCTTCGAAGCGCCCTCAAATATTGAACTGCAAATGTTGCAGGACGCCGCCATTTCGATTGAATGAATGACATCGTGCGACAAAACGTTTCCTTGACTAATAATAATCGACGAATTGGCTAGTCCACATGTGATACAGCAGTCTGAGACGTTATTTCTGATATGGCATGAAATATGCGAATCATATTTATCCGCATGCGCGAAAGATAACCCGCAGTCGGAATGGAATGACAGCTCATCAATGTGGCTGCTAAAAAGATGTTGGCGAAACGTTGTCGGGCATTTATACCGCCTCTCACAGCCAAATATGCACTCAAAATCGTAGACAATGTTTTCTAAAATAAATGCGATTTTGAGGTACCAGAAAGACGAAAACCAAATCTTACTATGGAATTGCCCAATATGATTTAAAAACAAAGTGTCGCTCAAATCATTTATATCACATGGGAATGTCTTTTGGCATATCATGCACAGCAATCTTCCACTGCGTTCGTGCATGTGATGAAGAAGTGAATTAACACTTGTGGAGACAACTCTATTGCAAATATTGCACTTTGAGTTGTCAAGCAATTTTGTGTGCCATGTATCCATTATTCCTTTTTCGCTGTTAGGAACCGCCTAAAAAGTGATAATCACCCTAAGATTTTATCATTTAACCAAACCGCAAACAGTTCATCTACAGCCTCCTTGTATTGCGGTTCTAAGAATGGAGAAGCGAAATAGTTGGAAAGGGGAAAATCATCATCAGTTCCAACAAACTTCACACCACCATTAAACCATTGGAAACTTGTTGGCACAAAATGTCGAAGACAGAATTTTATATCATTAAAGTGCTGTCGTGGGGAGTTGTTCATATTGCGGCGAGCAGGCAATTGTTCCAGAATGATGGCTTTCCATATCTCCGGTATCCTTGTAAAATTGATTATCAACATTGGTTCGAATGCGACGTCCGATGTTTCCGAATAAAGACAGAAGCAACATTGAGCTTTTTCTCTATCGCAACAATGTTGGTGCTTCTTCCTTGTGTGTCACGCCGTTCCGCAACTATCGGCTTCTCTTCTAACGTTACATGAAGTCGTGGCGACTGATGCTTGTCTGATGTGGTGAACATGTGAAAAGGCAAAGCGAAAAATTCAGCGTTCAATGAAAGAATCGAAATATTGTCACTGACAAGAAAGTGTTCTCGGCAAAAGGCAAATCCCTTATCCGCATTGGTGGTTAGTCCTAAAGGGAATAAAATTTATTTTTGATGGTATAAACAGAAACGTCACCTATTTTTATTCGGGAATGCAGCACTTCCAACGAAGTAGCTCCCACATCTACATATCCTGAAAATTTGTTATGTACATTTCCAGAAAAAGAAAACGAACTAGCAATAAAATCTGCTGTAATCTTTTCCGCCCATATATGAACATGATCTCCTGACACGCTAATCATTTCGTCTTTAATTTCATTTCCACACAATAAACATAGCTGTGATGGGTCCATGGAAAGTGTATTTGCGATTACCGCGTACTCCGCTTCCTGAAAGGTTCCAAATTATAGTTTCATTTAAACTTTTAAGCTTTATACCATATCTTCACTTTTAATCTCATTTCGCGGCGCCTTTACGAGCGGTCTGTGTCTAGGACTTTCATTTGGCTCAAATCGTCGTTTCTGTCTGTGTGGTCGCGAATGCATAATCGGTTGCGCCTGCACAACCTCTTCAGCAACAGCTTCTGGGACATCTAATTCTCCTTGCCCTTCTATCAATGGCTCTTCTTCATCTTCGTCCACTTGATGTTGATCCCATTCCTCCAATACAAGGACTTGCATCTTTGCAACCGAAGCGGGCTCTTGTTCAACCAACTGTTCCATTTCTTCTATTGGCATAAGTGGAGCTTGATTAGCGTCTTCCTCCTCTGAGAGATCAACTTCGATGTGGAGCTGTTGACAAAGTCGAGGTTCGTTTTGGCTCTCAGGTGCTTCACAATACCAAGCTTCAAGTGAATGCGGCTGGCACGTTCGTGCTAAAGAAGACGTAGAATTTTTAAATCTTTGGTTAATTAGCACACGCCGTGGCTGCGGTGGCAGATTCTGTTGAATTCGATTCGGTCGTCGAGCCGGCCGAATCTCGTTTGGGTTGGCAAATTCCTCGTTCATTGTTTTTCTCAATTCTTACTTCTATTATTTGATGCCAACTATGGTTTCGGCTTTATCTGGAAATAATTTAATTAAGCAAATTCGTAAGCTAAACGAAAGATTTTGTTAAAACATCCATTTTTCTACAGTAACAGAAACAGTGTAAGAAATAAGATCCTAAAACAGAGAGAGAGAGACATTCAGCGGGATAGAGTTATAAGCAGCGAAAGAAAAACAAACAGACATCATATTCAAAGTGCGCTCTATTGAACACAAGAATTTTTCAGGTCTTAAAATTTCAGTTTTAATGCAGTTTCATCAATAAAAAATAAAATATTCTATGGGAATACGTGGGAAAAATAGAAAATTATGAGAAAATTTGCCAAAAGTTCACAATCAACTTTGCTGCAAAAAGCCAACGGAAAAATACATTTTTAAAAATTAGGTATTATTAGTTTTCTTTCGTGAAATATTTGCGTCACTGTGCTTTCGAAAACGTTCACGAGATTTTTCAAATACAAAATGTATATATATATGTACCATCCCAATGCATCGGTTTTTGACAACAATTCAAATGCCGTTCTCAATTTTTTTCAAGCTTAGATTTTTTAAGCTTAAAGATTATAGCTTAGTTTTTTTTTAAGTAGTTCGGAAAGAAAATTAGAGCAAGAATATCAACAGATATCGGAAAATCAATAATGCTTCGAAAAATGTATTAACTACGTCAAATATAAAGAATTGAGGCAATAGAAAAAATTCGCAACGTTGATCTCATTAAAAATTATTAATAATTTTTAGAACTTGAATTTTTAAATTTTGGTATTTAAACGTCAAAATTTTCAGCGAATATCTGAAATCCTTTCAGAATCATCTAATAAGGAATCATCTATAAGTATTTAAACAAAGCATTTCGCATAAACGATTTTAGATCTGCATTTCGAAAATCGAATAAAACCACGAAGCAAATAATTCTTGGCTAAAGTACGACAAAGGCGCTCCATCGAAATAAAACGTGACGAGACTCATATGCGATTTTGTTGGTTTACAGAGATTTTTTACAATTTCTAAATATTTTCCTTAAAATATGTTAAATTTTATTCCCAGAAGAAATTTTCAACTTCAATCGGTTTCAATATTTTTTTTAAATACACAAATTAGGAGAAAATCGATTAAAAATGTATGATGATTCGAAGCTTCAATGAATCTCTAGTGTTTCGCAAATAAAATAACATTTCAAATGTTTTTTTTTTTTGATTATTTTTTCGACATTTCTTTCAAAGACAAATTTAAATTGATTTAAGGCTTTCAGACTTGAAATGTGAATAAAAAAACGGAGAAAATAATAGTTAGACAGTAATTGAAACGATTTATTTCAGTTGAACTTAAAATGATGTTTTATTGGTTTTTAATGGCCTATAAAACTGGTCTGCGTAGTCTTGAAAGCTAAGTGTTCGACAACTAACAGTCCTTGTTAATTAGATTAACAAATCGTAGACGTCATGCCGTAGTTTAATTGCCATCTCAATTACGTGGGAACGAACTGATTATTCCAAGATTGTGTCAAGTGGCACATTCATGCTTATGGTCACTGCGTCATAAGTAATCAATACGCTACGAGAGACTCTGAATTTTTTAATATACGGGAATACCACTTAAGTTTTATGATTTCTTTCTAAAATCTTCGAATAGATTTACATTGAAGTAAATGTGCCTAGTGATGAGTTATACAATTCTCTAAACCATTATATAGTCGACGTTTGGCGACAGTTCTACTCCGATATATTTACGTATACGCCTTCGATATGGTCTAACAAGGACAAACTGGTTATTTTTCATTTCATAGGTATTACCGTAAATTGTTAATTTTAGTGAAACTAATTCTAGGAAATTATATATTTATCAAGAAATATTAAACAGTTGATGTAAATATAAAAATGCGTTTTCACTTATGGCGTGATCACTCGAAAGACGCACTCATAAATCTACAGCAGTCGCCGGACGTCGACTTATATTAATTTGCAATGAAAGTGTTACCAAACTACACACAAGCCACCACATGCGTTTATTGTTTGTTGAATCGGAAATACTGGAAGAATCTGTACTTTCGACATAATCTCGAAACAAAGGGTAGGACCAATTATAACAGATTGTCTACTATCTTACTGTGTAAGACGCCTGTCAAATTTGTTCGACTTCGCGCGTTGAAACTCAACATATACTGCAAATAATTTATTCAAATTTGGGGTATAATCGGTACAAAACTCAACAAAGGGCCAATGGCAAAATTCGATAAATTATTTGGAGTTTCGAAACCAAAACATGAGACAACAAAGAACAGTGGAGGAGAGCTCATGCTTGGTATGACACGTTTGATAACCAAATAAATATTATAAGAATGAATTATTTAAATAAATTATTAAATTAATGAACCACAAGAGCTTTAGAATTTCAGACAAAACTCTGAGGAACAAATAGATCAAGGACGGACGTAATCGTCTGCAGACCGTATGGAAGGTTGCCTTCTTCATCAGCGAAGGATTTGAAAATGGTAAAGCTTTGGACAAAACCAGTAGCTTTCCTATACAAGGAGAAGAAGGTTTGCTGGAGTGACTTTAAAGCTAAATTTGAATGGCAGGAAGCCAGAACTTTGTTCACAATAATATCTCCAGTACTGGTCAGCGGAGAATAGATTCCAACTCCAGAAACCTGTAAAGAGCACATATGGTTAAGACGTGTGTTTTCATATTTCAATTACCTTGCTGATTTTGGCAACTTTTTTCTTTATGATCACATTTTTGTCGGTTGCAATGTGAATGCAATCATTGACCTTGACGTCCTTTGCGGCCACTAACCTGAAAATTAAAAAAAAATCATTTTAATTCTTTTGAACGTGTGACGTACTTAAGATCCGATTTCGAATTGCACTCCGATATGTAGATCAAGTGGTTATCGGTTAGCTTGATTGATTGACCGCCGACAGTCTCAATGTTGTTGAAAACGGCTTCTTCATCGTCCTTTTTGTGTAGGAACATTATCACGGGTGAATAATTTACGAACGATTCCTCCATGCTGAGAACCTTATCTCCGACTTTCAGATTCTTGATAAGCTTCATGCCTTCCTCAGTTTCCACCTCCATGTCACCAGAGAAGCATTGGAATGGAAGTCCGGAAAACCCGCTGCCGGAAAAGTATGAGTTCAAGTTCCGCTGAGCTGGTTGATAGGCGGATTGGTAAGCTGGTTGATATGCTGGTTGATATGCTGGTTGATATGCGGGTTGATATGCGGGTTGATAGGAGGGTTGGTAGGAGGCTTGGAAAGATTGTTGAGCTGGCTGCGGTGGTGGCTGTTGTGCTGGTGGCACTGGATATCCAGAATACTGTCCAGACTGGCTTGACGGGTATCCCGAATAAGCTCCTGAGTACGAGTCAACAGGTGGTCCCACTGGTGGCGCTGGTCCAGTGCCAGCTCGGTAGGTATCAGTTCCAGCTTGAGCAACATTCTGTGACTGCAATGCTGAAATTAAGAGAGGTAGTTAAAAAATATGATTACATCAATAAAAGAAGCACTTGGTGGTGGGGGGATTGGCGCGGTTTCAGCAGATCCATCTTCCATAGTAGACAACGCGGACTTATCCTGGTAGACTCCTTCAGCATAAGCACGTGGCTTTCCGTACTGTACTGGCCAGAGACGGTCAGTACCAGCCTGAATTGCTGGACGCTGTCTTCTCTTCAATGCTCTGCGAAGAAGCGGGTAATCATAATCATAATCATAGTAGTCCTCGAGTATCTGAAGAAGAGCGCGACGTCTGGCTCCAAGGTTACGCCGACGCATACGATATTTTCTAAATTTGAAGACGAGATTTTATATTTGGTTTAAGTTTCTATCACCCTTCATCTTCGTAATCGTCAACACGACCACGAAGTCGTCGGCGGTTTCTGGAAAGAGCGGGAAGGTCCTCTTCTGTAATATTTGTGTAAAAGATTTTATCGCAGACAAGTTACCCGAATCAACTCCTCCAATGCATGGAAGACGGTAAACGGCGACGATGTATTGTACTCTACATAATCAAAATTAATTAACATCTTTTGAGCTGTTATTACTGATTATCGGCGTTCACTGTCTTTCTGACCTCTTTGATAACATCGAAACCCCCTACTTCACCGTCTTTCTCAACAATTCCGCCGACATAGCTATCGGTCGGTCCAAGGAAAATGCTCTTAACAGTCTGTGAGCTTGACATTCCTTCATAAGAGCAGCACTCAGTTTTCAAGCTTAAAATAAAAAAAAATAATTTTTTAATCTCTCTCTCTTTTTTACGTTCTATGTGTTCCATTATTAATCTCCAACAAACCACCGGTCCACTGAAGCTTGTCGACGCACACAACCTCCTTGAATGGATCGCAACTCTATAAAAATGCTTATAAAAATCGCCATCAATTTTCGAAGCAATTAAGTTTTTTTTGAATGTGGATATGCGTAATGCGATTCTCGTCAATTTCAAATTGCTGCAATTCTTAAGAGGCAAAATTTTTTGAACATAAAGATTAATTATCGTTCCATCATTCTAACATTAAAAGACCATTTATAAAAGCCGTTTTTGTAGGCCCACTCACCACAGACATATCCTTAGCGGAGTTTTTGTAGGCTTGGGGTGAATAGTCGACACCGAGGCACATTGGAGTTTCACAGAAAATCTCTGGAGTGTTGGAATAGTTGTAGATTTCAGTAAGCATAATTAGATACCTGGCCGGCCTTTACTGTCAACTTTCATCTTATATGGAACCGAGTTGGTCCCACAGGATCCTCCTTCATGGATGACCGTAGTCGCGAAGGATAAAGGGATCAGGAACAAGTTTAAAAGCAAATTCATCTGAAACCAAATTACACATTAGGATTTATTCGTTTATGGTTAGGAAAAGTTGAAGTTGGCGAAATGCGATGGCCGAGGTGGGTTGAGGGTCATTAAAAACAACTCGATGGCTTACTAGCTTCATCTTCTTCAAATAAAATTGTTTTAGAAACCGGAATGTTGGCCGATGGTTCTCGAAATACTAATGTAGAGAAAAAGTGCAAACGGACACGGTCATTATCCGACTAGTTGGTGGCCGATGATCATTGTCTCGTTTCGAACTGTTCAGATGTATATATGTACAAGGGGGTTTAGATGGCGGGATTTACAGTTATGCTAGAATTCTTTGAATGTAATTACTGAAATCCGAAATATTTTTATTAATTAAAACGGTACTGTGTAAGATTATATTTTAATTCGCACGCTTAGGTTTAGGTTATTATGTGATGAAGTGCAGTATTTATTCGATTATAATATAAATTAGCAAAAAGCAAAATTGATTCGAAACAGAGGAAGAGAGATAAAGAGAGATGTTGATCAATATTTTTAGACCTCATTTTTTCAAAGAAAATTTTAAATCTGGAATTGTGACAAAGTCAAATCACTTCCATTCTATGCATTTTCATCAACCAAAAGATCAGTAAAAATATCGTCTCCGCTTTTGTTTTTTTTTGTGTTCGACCCGAATACTGACCCAGATCCTTCAAATTTTGATACATATTTACTTGACGGTAACATAGTTTCAAAATTGGTCAGAATTCAAAATAAAAGTACAGGAAATGAATATTTAAAAAAGAAGATAAAATATCGCAACAGAAACGTCGTTAATCCAAAATGAATTCAAAAAGTTTCCAAGAATGAACTACTACTCTCTACTTGCATATGTAATTGTAGGATTACGATGTTAAAGCCGAACGGCCAGAACGCTCACTTTCAAAACTAGGGCACCTCACCTCCGATTGCATCAAACGTCGCCGATTGAAATTTTTAATTAAGAACTGTTATGTAAGTATAAAATAAAAAAATTAACGCAAACCTTATTAATTAGTTGCAAAATGTGAATATTATAGAAAATGTTTGCGTTCGAAACTGAAGTGTGTTGCTGATTCCGGAAAATCTCAATGTATATATAGAGATACATGGATGTCTTGCACCTTTAACTCCACCCCCTTGACATGTTTTCGTCGATCCCGGTTTTCGCTTCTTGCGCGCTTCCCATTGAGCGCCTTTATCCCGCCCATCGCGTTGATGCTTTATTATTGTATAGCTTGGCGGACATTCAAAATGTCGCCTACTCCTCATTCTCCGTCAACCACTCACACAACCTTCTCGTCGTTATTCTTCGTCTTCGAAAATGTTGGATGTCAGCTAAATCATAATTTGAGTGGATGTTGTCGGAATGAGTGAAAAGCCAATCCACTCCTGGGAAATTATGTTTATTGTTATTGTCGAGAATAAGAACTATGGTGCGGTCAAGTATTCGATTCCCAAAAACTAAGAGCCTGTTTAGGAACAAAGATTGGACTGTGAATATTATAACTCTTGAACTTTTGAGTAGTTTTGACGGAGTGTTACAAATTGAAATTTATTCAGATGCTGTCAAACCAAACGGTTGAAATAAAAATTGGGGTGAATGAGTTTGAAGTTTGAATTATGAATTCTGGAACAAAACATATTTTCTCCCTTAAATATCATTAGGGTTATCTAATGGACAAAAACGTTAAACATTAAATTCAATAGAGTTCCAAAACGGAAAATTATTTTAAAAGATATTAGTTCAATTGTTCTACTGTAATGGAAGAAATTAAAAAATTTTTATGTGAAATCCAACACATTCAAATCGCATTTCCATTTATTGGTTATTACTTTTTCGTCGAATATTCAAGGTCATGTTCTCTTACCAAATAATGGAAAAAAAAGTTTTTCACTCTTTTTAAAATGATATTGTTTAAGAAATATTTTTAATAGAACTATATAACTATCATCTCTATATTTGCAAAGAAAACAAATAAATTTTATAAGAGCGTTTTAGATTTGTTTTTTGTCTTATCGAAGTTTGACGGAAAAGCATAATTTGATCAATTGTTCAAAAAATCATCGATGATCCAACTCTTGAGATAATCACGAGTCACCGCAATTCAATTAATCTTCATGTTGCATTTCCAATTTGTCAACTACTTAAGGCATCAAACATTAAAAGCTTCTTGTTCGTTAAATTTATAAGCCAGAATTTTTTTACGTTCGAACATTTAAAATTGGATTTCATTCTAGCGGTGTCTATCATGTTGACCTGTTCGCCAGCCGACTACGAAACGACTCATGATCTGCATTGACCTGTAGCTATTCGCCGTGTATGAAAAGCTTGATTTGCGCTTATACATAATTGCATCAAACAATACATGGCTTTTGATCTTTTCCGTACAAATTCCATTTTCCAATGACGTCGCAATTTCGGATTTAAATTAGCAAATATTCGATCACCAATGAGGTTAAGGGATCAACGGTCATATACATCAAAAATCAATTACAAGATTTATCATTCCCAATAAGTTTATCTCATCACTTAACACTCCGAACAATATTCTTATGATAGTCAAGGATCTGCAAAATTAACTAAACGAGTTCAATCATACATGATTTATCGACCGTTTTTCAAATTGATGACCCAACATAAGACATTTACACTTTCACATGATTAATGAAGGGTAATTCAAAATGATTCCGGATAAGAAGTTTTATTTAATAATGTTTTGTCTTAGTGTGACCGGTACGAATATGGTTAATTCTTATCAACGTACCGTATGCCAAACTTTTTCTAAGAAATAAGCTTATACTACGATCAAGTTCGCAAACTATAAAAAAATTTGAAATTTTCATGAAAAATTAAAAATAAATTTTCCACATAATTACATGCATATTCAATTTAGCGTTTTCGTTATTTTTTCTACGATTTTTTTTTCAAATTTTCATCTTATCTTCTCACTCTCTTGATCTTTTGTGTTTTGAACTGAGAAGGAATCAAGCAAAACACTCAATGAGTCGGACAATACATAGAACAAATTACGTTATCAGGATTTTCCTTTAGGCGTCTACAGCGAGTGTTTTTACAACAGGTATATCATTTTATACTTTTCAAGAAATTATTAAATTTTGATTGAGTGTTATTGAAATAGCCGCACACACAAACCAATTTCAAATTAATTGCATGTCCTATAATAACATTCGCTTTCATCGCGTTTTTACATGGAAACAATTGGAAACAATTTTTGTCGAAAGTGGCGGGCAAAATTGATGTCACCGCAAGAGTAACACACATCCTTCAAAAAAAAAAACACGAAACCATCATTTAATTCTAACGGAACTGTTTCGGGCCGCAAGTCAAAATCGAATTTCGAAACTGATATCTGGTTTGATTTCGATTTCGGAAGACACATTAGAAGTCATCGAGCATCGAAAGTTTCTGGGTGGAGATGAGAGGATTCTCATTGCAATAAAGTTCATCTTATAGATGTTTTTATTAGTTTCCCGGCCAATTGTGAACATGAAAAATTGTGAGAATCTCGGATACATTGGATACATTGAGGATAAAATATTTTTTGTTTTATATGAGACGAATAGAAGAACGGATAGTATATAAAATATAGAGATTTTATAACCATTGCGAAAAAACTTTCAAAAAAAAAGAAACATTCATTTTGGCTAATTGTGGACCATCACATTTCGAGGCGGTTATATTTAAATTTAAGTAAAAATTCGTTGCACCGAACTACTGATAACCAATCAGCCTTTCCGTAAATTAGCGCAGGGTCCTCGTTTTTTGGATATATAATAGATTTGTGAAATTTTCAACAAATATAGGCATAAATATAAAACAGTCGTTGCTTCAACTTCTTGAGGAAATTTTTAAACGATTGACTTAATCGTTTAATCGGATTAAGTTTAAAAACATTGGGTTCCCAATTATTTAACGAAAAAATATATATAGACCGAATATCTTTTTTATAATGCCAAAGATTTCATACCGCTATTGTCACATTTGCATATGCACTGCCAACACTCGCACATATTTTATCACATTATATAATCTCGAATAAGATTCTTTTACGACGCACCATCAATTTGGCACATATACATCCTGGGAAACTTCCCAAAATCCCAATATATGGACCACACCCCTCATGCAGTTGCCTATCGCAAAAAAAATGGTATATAAGGTGAGCTGCGCAGTAGCAATGGCAGAGCACAACAACGTCTACAATCACTACTTCTCCCATTATTTATGGTACTATCCACACAATGCCGCAGCAATCAACTCCGTCTATTCATCGACATATGCCATTGCAAACTTGGGATTTGCTATGACACATGATGCGATGGATGGATGGAGGAGGATGCAAAATTTCCTTCCAATATTCTAAACTGCTAATATTCGTGGAGTCAACTCCATTCGTTCATCGACATATGTCATTGCAAGCTTGAGGTTTTTGCTATGACACATGATGCGATGGATGAACGGAGAAGATTCATAATTTTTTTCTGAATGTTATTTTATCATTTATGATCCTATTATAAGCAGTTTCAATCGAACGGATAAGATAATAAATTTTGTAAAGATTTGTATCGATATTGGATATCAAGTTTTAGACAAGGGCAAAAGTCGCAAAATTATCTGTCATTCTTTTTGAATACCTTTTTATCCAAAAACAAGAATAATTGAAGGCAATTCAACATTAATTAGTTTCATGTCATGAGAATCCAAGTCAGCCATCTTTTCTTTTTTCATTTTCACTAACAAAAAGCGCGATAATATCTCAAATAGGTCACTAGTGGTTTTTTTTTGCCCAACGGACTTAAGACAAGATTAATGACATTCGAGAAATTCGATTCTCATTTTTGTATTCTAGAGAATTTCACCCCCCCCCCTCTCACCATAAATCATCATGTTTGCTTCGAACGGATATCGAAACATTCTCATTCTCATTTGATAAGGCATTTTATAAACTACAATAATCTTTAGTTTCCTACACATTATTTGCTAAAGAGTACATGAAGTTTGTCAGGGGAAAAGTAAAATTGATTGGTAGATATTAATCTACAGTGATGTGCCCGTTGTTGGGCTACTTTGGAAAATATAATTTAAACGAGAAAAACGATGACATCTTCAATAAACATCAACGACGCTTTTCTGCTTCTAGAAATGATAAAGATAAGAAGTAGGCAGAAAATCTAGTTTTAGAAAACTTAAATTGGTAATATGCAATAACACAATACAATTTGTGCAATGTCATCAATTTATCATTTTTTAAAGCGAATTCGATTAAAAAATATTAAAATTGTGCAATTTTCTTCTTGTGCGTGTATACATAAACTTTTTCGATGGAATCACGCTTTTTAAATTTGTTTTTCGATGACTTTTTAAATTTTAACATACTGCTAATGTTACGAATTTTAATGCTTCAAAATTTCGCGATTGATTTGGTTCCAGTGCTTGGTTGCTTCGTGATACGTGTGTCTAAAAAATAGAAACAATATGGGGTCTGTGAGTATCGTAGGAATCTTATGTCTTATTATTTAAGGGAGGGGGAAGGATTTCACTGTGTTTCTCATATGAAATTAGTTTCATGATATCACGCTTTAAAAACTGTTCACATCCAAAAATAATTTCTTAATCCTGTTTCGTCAAAATTAAGGCTGGCTTGCAACCTCAGTAAGAATTTGTGTCCCATTTGTAATAGTTCTTTGCTGCGAATGTGGGTACGTTTTATGCTTCCATAGAAAGCATTTTGATGCTACTCCATCATTACTCTCATAATGATAATTATTGTGTGTGAAAATTAATTTAGTAATCTGTGAGGTCTTTTCATAAAAATATTATAAGCGACCAAATTTGTTCATGAATTTTCGTTCCTGCCTGAAGTCTGCACACATATCTGACAATTCATCGTTTTAAGAATTTCTCGTTCTATTTTATTCTACAACAGCTCTGTTTTTCAAGAATCGCGCTTGTCATTGGTAAAAACTAGAAATATGACCTTCAGAGTTTATTACGCAATGAACCAACCACAACATACAATTTGTAAAAAAAACTAGCACCGCTTTCTAGATTTGCTGCCCATTAATTAAATCTCGAGACAACATGGCGCCACATGTGCTTTCAATGAACGCACATTTCTGTTATTCGCAAAATCCATGCAAGTTCGGACAATTTTCCGTTTCAGCTGCAATCCCGTTTACGCACACAAGTATTTTGTTTATAATAAGCAATTCTTGTAGGAAAACTCGCGTCTTTGTTAGATTTTCTCCCATAGAAGTATTACAATATGAATAAACATGCTTGAAGCTTGCTAAACAAAGAATGCAAAAGTAAAATTCCAATTCCATAGCTTCACTATTGATTAGAAACATCTTTTCGATTTCCTTTTGGCGTTTTTTCTAATATTTATCCTTTCAACAACAAGTCACCATCTGTCTTGGAAAGTTTTATAGTTCGCTATGCATCTTTTACGATCATCATAAGGCAACATATCGCAATTTTCTGGCAATTTATTGAATTCCCCAACACTTTCATCTGTTTTATAGTCATATAAACTCGTTTTATTTATAAAAATTATATGTTTTAGTTTATCGATATCTGTTTATTAATTTTAAAAATTTTTTAAACATGCAATATTACAAATCATGAAGATTATCTTTCACCCCCCCCCTCCTAAAATTCATGACATTCATTAATGATTGATAAGAAAATAAAACGCCTTTGGCGGTTTTATCAAAGGTCAGCAGTTTTCTCAGTCTCCCATCTCTGTGCAGCAAGTGTTCCTTGTAACGGCGAAATGCTCTGGAAATAAGAAACGAAAAATGTTGCGGCTTCCCTTCCCAATTCTCTCCCCCTCCCTCCCCCAATCTTTTCTGGTCCTCTCTTCTTTCTACTTTCGAAAAAATGTTGCATGTGAGCATTTCCCGTTTCCTTTCACGCCACCCGACTGGTTGGATGGATGTATTGAACAACACAAGGCAATAAATCGGGAAACAAGATGAGAAATTTGAAATCAATTTTCCACCTATCTCTACGAATATATTATCCGAACAAATTCATTCATCAGCGTTCAGAATTTTTAATAAGTTGTTGAATTTTATTTTTTTACACTTTCTTCGCTTTACGACTATTAAATCATTTGAAAACTGGCGGAAGAAAAAAAAATGTTTATACGCTCATCTTTTTCCGCGCAAATTTAAAAAAAAACGTTTATCTGCTTTTCAATTCTTTAAAAACATGTTTACAGCCTTCCTAGCTTTTTACAACACCTGAATTTTAATAATTAGTAGTTTTATATGAAAATGGCAAAAATTGTTCAAATCATTATTTTTTTCCCATTTGTTTACACTTTACTGAATCAATTTCTTCTGAATGGCACCTTTCTTTACCTCACTTTCGATATGTGTATTTTCAGATATCCAATTAAGATGTCGAGTAAAGAAGAGTCGCCGGTTATGGGAAACTCTTTTCTTGAATGGTCCATGGTTGAGAAATGCCTAAAGAGCTACTACGACATTAAGGCAAATTTAATTGGAGAGAGCATGTTTCGAATAATTAGAACATCACCGGTATTGGAAAAAAAATTTAAGGTGGTAAGGAAAAAATTCAGAAAGTCTGTGTCAGTATTCTTGCGATTAAACCGAAATGGGACGAAATTGTTGACAAGAAAAAAGTGCCCCAATTCTTTTGTGCGAAGGTGTAAATAACAATATGAAAGTCCCACACATATAAAGAAAAACTTCAGGTATACACCCTTCATGCTGATTGCCCAAAAGAGCTTATTGAAAAAATGGCCGCTGGAAAATCAGGGGAGATTGATGAAGAAGCGGTTGGCTACAATACTTACCAATCTGTAATGGCGTGGGAGGTACATCAATGATTCATGATAATCTATAACAATAGAGAGAATATATAAATAAGTGAATTCAATTGAATTACTGTTTTAACATGCATCATATGTTTCATACGAATGATTTTAGCACAATTGTTTCAGCTAATGATGAAATAACTCGCAGTAACTTCGTACTCCTGGGTAAATGAAATGTGGACAAATTAAAAAACCCAAGAAACCAAAACAAATCAGAGATTAAAATAAAACAACGCTACATTAAAGCATACTAATGATGAAGATCACCATTATCTTTTGAATTGTTTAAATATAACAACGATAAATAATTTTATTTATCTATTTTCGAAATGATTAATTAACATTTATTTCAGAATTGCAATCGTGAGATTCACGTCTACCAATTGATGAAGAAATATGGAAACAAAACACATTTGAAAATCCTCCCGGTAAATCTGTTCACGTTAATCAATTTTGTAAATAAATTTGTTATATGTAGCTGATTGGCTGCAGAGGATTCGAAACAGTCAATGACAAATATGGGTTCATTCTTACACCATTGGTTATGAAGCGATATAAATCTGGTGTCAATGAAGAATGCGTACATTCAGTAAGTGATTTGAAATAAGAATTTAGATAAAACGAATATTCAGATTGTAAGAAGCATGGCTGCGTTTGGAGGAATGATGAAAAAGTTCAGTGGCAAAGATTATAAAAAATTGCAGATGAATTATTACGAGCACCTTTTTCCAACTTATTTGAATGCACCGGTATGTTTATAGTTTATAAATACCAGAAAACCAATATTTAACCTGTTTCATTTTATTGTTTCAATGTAGGTATATTTCAGTCGTTGAAAGCTCTTATGGATAATCTGAAAATAGTTTTTGAAAATGACGAAGATGAAATGTTGGAAAATATTCAAGAAATTATTGACTACGGATATGGAAAAGATTTTGTTGTTGAGAGGCTTGCCAATATGCACAAATATTTCGGTACACCTTTAATAACATTATTAATTAGCAATTTTCTTAATTTTTCAGGTCATTCCAAAGTATTGATTTACAATGGCGTTCATCCACATAGATTAATTTTGGAGCGAGCCCTAGGAGAAGATTATGAGATGACGGCAATGTTGGATTTTGAAGTATACTTCAAAATATAACACTCAGAGATAATAATGCACTTTTTTAGAACGTCAGCTATGGGTTTCCCGCATATGACATTGCAGCTGCAATTCAGTCATGCGTAGATGATTTGGTAAGAAATTTTGAACGTGACAATGGGTTAAATATTTGCAAACCTCACCGATAAGAGTTCAGAGGAACCCTGATAACAGATTACAGTTTATGAGCTTGATTCTATTTTTGATTAACAACATTAATTGGCAAACTTTACTGTTTCATATTTTAGTATTACAGTACTTTGACTACTACAAACTTCCCACATATGTTAACGTTTATTGGGCTGTATATGAAGAGGAGTGGAATCACGAGCCACTCGTCACCTACGATAACGTGAACTTTACGATCTTAACGTCGTGAAATGTTTGATTTAAGTTAATGTACGGCACGATGCTCTTGGTTCCAGCAATGAGATTCATTCGATTAATGGATGCGGTAACAAAGGGAGCTAAATCGAAAAACGTAAAAATGAGCATTCACTTCGAATTTCACTTAATTTTAGACTGTCGAGCCTATGGACTGGGTGGAATTGAAAAACGAGATGCTGGAGATCATGGGGGAATGCTATGACAGCTTCATTTATACAATAAATCACCTTTCGAGATTCTACATGCCGGGAATTGGAAACAATCCAAGACCAAAAGAACCTAATCCAGAAGATTACCCAGATTTGGATACTATTGGGCTCTTTGGCCTTAGCGAATTTAGCAAAAAAATACTTGAGGCCAAGCAAGCTGAAAAAGCTGCACGCATAGATACGAAAAAACCCGCAGAAGCGGCTAAAAATGTAATAGAACAAGCTGACAAGGTGAATGCTGCTGAGGATGATTCTGTAAAGATAGAATCTGGAAAGAAAGAATATGGAAAGGAATTGAATATCAAAAGCACAGAAGTTGCCGGAAAGGAAGATATCGGAAAAAATTATTATTGTGAATGCCACCACCATCATCCGGAAGATGTTCAGGAATCTGACAAGTATTATTCAGTAGCGGAAAACAAAGAAGACGATTCTGGAAATGGCGAAGTCGATGAAGAGAATAAAAAATCAAAGAAAAAAGCAGAAGAAGAAAAGATGGTGGAAAAATTCACAAAAGAAACGGAGGAAGCTAAGAACGCAGAAGAAGTGAATACAACACTCAAGGATGGTGCTAATGAGCCCAAAGAACTCAATGAAGAACTGAAAGATGTTGCTACGGAAAGGAAACTTCTCGAAAAGATGTCAATTTCCTAAAATTCCAAAAAAAATATATTGTGCATTCGGTTTTCAGTCTCGTAACCTTTTTGACTTCTCACACTCCCATCCCTTTTCTAATTTGCTGTCACTCATTTTCAGTCCAAACACCAAAAAGTGTATCATATTGCCACAAATGAAACGAACATTATAATTAGATGATTGTTGTATTTCTATAGAATTAGATGCCCCAATTTACTTAACATTTGCTATTCGTTGATCTTTGAACGTTAATTCTGAAAAGCTGGCACATCCTCAGATTTGTTCAGTTCTTTTTTTTTCTCTGGTTGGTTGTCAAGTCATTTTTCCATCGAATGGATTGCGATTTGTTTTGTTCGTTTGTTCCTTTTTTAATTTTTAGTCCGTTCTTCCTTCTTGGATAAATTGACAATAAATTCATCATCGTCTCATCTAATTTCGGAAAGTAGTAGTTTTATCGAATATGAATAAATATATAAATAAATAAATAAATAAAAAAATATATATACATTTTTTGAACAACTTCTCATTTTTCCATTTCCGTTTTCGCGTATCAACTAAGACATTTACTAACGGAAATGGGAATGAGTGTCTTAAAAATTGTCGTGATCTGAATTTTTTCCAATCGGCCTGCCATTAGAATTTTCATGTTGATTGTTATTTGTCTACGTGTCAATGTTGGAGATCTCTATAATTCTCGTTCGCAGGATTATAATTTATGAATTATTAATGCTTTAGAGCAGCTTATCCAGTTTAAGAAAATGGATAGATGTACTATTTTTTAAATTTCTTATCGATAGCATAATTTTATTCTCGACATTTTTTTTCTCATAGCGTGTGAGCACTTTAAATGTTCTAAAGTGTTGTACGTTTTGTTGACACTCAAATTTTATGGATATTTTGTACTTCCGATAGGCATAAACATTCCAATAAAAATGTCGGTTTCAAAACTGGATTTCTTGAAGGCAATTGAGCTCTCAGTTGTGTAGCGAAGCACATGTATGCGCATGGAAATTTTTGGATTAATGACTCGTGTGTTCCTAGACTCTCTAGCATATTCAAATGAGTCATACATTTTTTCCAAGTCTAATATCTTTCCGGCGTGAAAGTGTGGCTCGTGTCTACATTTTCATAGCCAATCGCACTGAAATCTTCGTCATAAAATGTTCAAATTTATGTCTCGGTTTTTTATAAACATGTTCTTTTTTCATTCTAACAAAACCACATGAGTGTATTTCCCTGCGAATGGAATGCTTATCGGTTTTTTGTTTAGGAATGGTTCTTCACGTTCCTTCTTTGGGCATTGGCAAAACCCGTCATACGCATATATCCGGATTGGGTGGGTTCGATGAACGTCGAGAAGCTACCCAAAACATTTGTTGTTAAAGTAAGACACATAATAGTGCAAATCCTCAAATATGGCCAAATTTGGCATGAGAAAAAAAAGGGGGGGGGGTGCTTCATAACATTAAATATGATTGTATTTCCTTTCAGATTCCCACGCTTTTGCCAATTTCGAATAAAGCTAAGAATCCGATGGCATCGCAGGAAAAGAGAGGATATTTACTGAGAATGGTATAGCTAAAGTTTTTGTTAGTTTTCAAATATTTGAATGAAAATCCAATTATAGCTTCACAATCGCGAAATCAGTACCTATCAGTTTCTCGCAGTTAATCCGCATCCTTTTGTTCCTCTTCCTAAGGTATTACGTTTTTTATTTGGAAATCAATGCATTCAATCCGATTTTGATCAGGTTTATTGTGGGCGCAAGTTTGCTGGGCTTGGAAGGAAGGGATTTTTGATAATGGAAGACTTGAAACTCAATCCTCAGAATTTTTGTTTCTATCAAAATATTGAAGATTTGAAACCAGTAAAAACTAAATATTTTTTTCAAAAGAACAAAACACATACATTTTAGGTGGTTGTTGCTGCTGCCACATTTTCCGCTATTGGTCAGAAATTTGGGCCATCCCGATTGCGGTTCGTCACCGACATGCAGTGCCGAAGAATGATGTATTCTGACGTGTTGTGCGCGAAAGTAACACCCAAACTTTAATGTGTTTTCTCAGATTTCCAAAATTCCAGGTTGTTCAACTATCTGAGAACAAACTTATTGATCTTTTGAATGGAAAAATAAAAGTGATTGACTCGTTCTTTGAAATTGTCAAAACCTGCTACTTACTTCCCAAGTGTCACGATGCATTCATAAACCTGCATAAATATATTGGTTTGTAAATGCCAAATTTCCGGAATTACATTGATGTTGTTAAGGTCACTCTCCGATTTTTATTCACACAAGTTTACATCACGGAGATGTTCTTAGTACTTTTGATGATGAAAACAGAGTTCATTTTAAGGCTCTTGCCGATTTCCAGGTAAATAACTTAAACAAATAACCAAATTTTGAATTTACAAATAAGTTCTAATGCTACTTTTTCGTGTTTATAATTTTCAACAATTCTGATTATGTTTCAATATTTTGAGTCCAACGTTTCATACAGTATTATCCATGTATAATATATGAATACGTTTTACTAAAATTAAAATTTTGTCACCATATCGAATGGTGTTTAAAGAATATCTTTCATCGAACAAAAATAGGTTGCATCACTTCTTCATTACTATTTTTCTTCTGTTGAATCCTCTATTCAATAAAATATGCGCCAGACTATTCGTTATGTCGAAATCCATGTCGACTACAATTTTTGTTTTCAAATAAAAAAAGAGTACGTCATGTTTTGCAAAAAGAAATGATTACAAATGCAGTAATTTCTTGTTCACAAGTTTAAATACAAAGGGGAAATTAATAAACGGTGCTGAATTTTGGGATAGTAATATATATTTTTTCAGAGAGTTTCGTTTGGCAGTCCAGGTGAAGATATCGCTCGTCTTCTATTCAATTGTCTGAAACTCAAAGTAATTTATTACTTTATCATCCGTGTTAAGTTCGGAATTATAGGTACTGAAAGTTCATCAAAATGAGCTTCTTCAGTTATACTACAAAACATTCATCCAAGAATTCAATAGGAATGGGCCTTGCGCATTTGTAACGATTTGTTTCTACCAACTTGAGCAATATATAATTTTCAGAATGGCCTTCCCATTATTCCTTACACCTATGAGCAGCTACATCACTCTTTCACCTTGTTTCTTCCGATAGTAATTGTAAGCTTTGTTGTCGGATACGCGGCCGATTTAGATATCAAATCGCTACGAAACAATGAGACAGTAGGAGCTCTTACACAATGACATATCATCCGATTTCGATTTGCAGACATATCAAATAATCAGATTGAATCTTCTTCTATTAATGGAAGAAACAGTAAAAGTGCACAACGAAAACAGCGCTAATTTTTTCAATTTTTTTGATTTTAATTAACTTATTATTGTGATTCATAGTTTTTCGAATCGCTAATTGTTTGTTATTTTTCCCCCATTCACTCCCAGAATCTCCAATATTCATCGCACAATTTTTGTGATTCGGTGATGGATCTATTCAGTGCCTGAACAATCGTTGAGTTTGTCAGTTTTACTCAAAGTTACTCAAGCTTATAATTTAAACAATTTAGCGCTAAAATTTTGCATTACGTTGAATAGATCCATAAAAATTTTCAAACTTTACATATTAATTGATTCCGCATGATACGATGCACTTTTTATCACGAATAAATCTTGACAAAAATATTGGGCTGGCAGTGTAAAAAAACGACCTTGAAACACATTAACAATGAGCAATTTTATTGTTTACAGCGTTCGCGTTTTAAAGCTGATTTAGGGGTACTCTAGCACTAGTTTTTTGTAATTCGGACCCTTTTCCCTAATAAGAAAAACAAAACCCTATTACTGATTTTCTTACAATTTTCTAGAAAATCACATCATCTTTACTTGCTAATTGCCACATTGTTAATTTTATCAATGAGGTATTGGAACAACCACACGTCCGATGCATTTCCATTGGTGACGCTTCGCTCATTTCCGATTTTCACCACGAACTCAACTTGTTTTTTACTTTCTTTTCAGATGGAGATAATTCATACTTTGTCCTATTTTCATTATCCAAATTTGGATCACGTACAGCTTCATTTTCAAAGACTCTATAATACGAGTGCAATTTTTGGACCATTACGAGATGTCCGTCGAATCGACTCGGACTACGTCCGACCAATTGTAGGAAGCTTGAAATTGATTGGAAAATTTCAATAACCTTTAGACAAAGCGTTTTATGGTCTACGCATTGACTCCTAATTGGGAAAACGCGAATTCGTATGAGAAATTGCCGTCAAGTTTAGTATTCGTTATGCAATTCTATCTTGCTGAGACAATTTTGAAAAATGATTATTCTTTGCTTCCAACACAAGAAGAGCGTATGAAAATTACTCGTAGTCTTACGTATTATTTGGAAGGAACTATTGCTGTAAAGCTGTTCGCTTACGATAATCATTGCAGTGAGCCTAAAGTGAGCAATAAGGTTTTTTTTGAGGATTTTCTATTGTAGTAAACTTCAGAATTTGATTTGTGATCATCATGAAGATTTTGAATGTATTGGTGGTGGATATCTCGAAGTAATTCGAATCGTCGAACATATCACCGAATTCGTTAATGTTGAGCCGGTGAGATTGTTTTACTTAATGGTTCATGAAGATTAGGGCAAGCCACTAGTTGCAGGCACTCCCAACAGATTATGTCAAAGCAACAATCTTGCTGAGGAGCTCCACTTTTACCGACGAAGAAAAAGAATTTTGCAGAGGGATTAACGAAAACGTTGATGAAATATTTCGATATATTGTGTCATTCCTTGGAACAATTGAGGAGTTCAACAAATTTCGTGACATTCTCAAAAAGTTTTACTTCAATCGTCAATTTATCATAAAGCGCTTTAAACTGAAAACATTTTTCATTGAGCGCAATCCTCAAGGTTTCGCTCGCGACGATCTATGCCATGATTTTGGCGCCGATGCTCTTAAAATCGAAGATTTCTTGGTAATTGATCCGTCTTTAAACGAACTGAAAATAGGAAAACCTTGATTGTAGAGATGCGAATATATTATGGAACAAGTGACGGGACTACGAGAATACTTTAAATCATTGAATCTTTGCTTGGAACGTCTGAACTTCTGCGAAGCTATCGGCTCCCTTCACTCCCGATTTTGTGAAACTGAAAAATATCATATGCAAAAGTTCAGCATCGATGACATTGCCAACAGTTTCAGCTTCAATTATCCCGTCGCGGTATTTCATCTTTTTGCGAGACACTATAATGAATATGTAAAAAATGGAAAGCCGGAAATGTCAAATGATGTAAAAAAAACATGCAAAGTTAAAAATTTATTCAATTTTAGGAAGTCAAATTTTTGCGAGCTCCGTTCACTAATGCGCTGAAAGACGCCTATCAAGCCCATCGAACCAACATAGCCATATTTGCCCCGTTGTTCAATGTTCTTATTAATTAATGCATTTTAATGGAGTTTCTATTTTCACTCATATCTCTCCCATGGATCCTTGTCCCTTACTTTTCGCAATTTTATATTGTCGAACGAAATTTTATTCAACGAAAAATTTTTTTATGTGCAGACAATGAGTATAATATTATGTCCAACATAAATCACAATTAAAGTCATATAGTGTCTATTGCCAAAAACGGTTCGAAATAAAAAAAGAAACTATTTGCTATGCTTTCGCGAGTTGAAGAGAAGAGTGCGTATCTGCGTACTTTGCATTTTAACGTACGCGCATTTAATATTTAACCGGTGAGTAAATTTACAAATGCATAGATCTCATCATCGGTTGAAACCGACAAAAAATTATGAAAATTACTTTTTCATTCAATTTCAATCAATCATTATTTATTCATAATGATGTTTTTAAAATATCTTTCTATTATTTCAATATTTATTTAAAAAAAATATAATAAAATACAAAAACAATAGAAAATGCACGGACCATATAACCTCACCATTTTATCGAATTAAGGATAGACGAACTCTTGATGCCAATCGGTCCCTACAAGCAGAAGAGAGACCAGTGCAAAGTTAAGAAATCATAAATAAGGAATAATACAATCAATTTGGAACTCATTAATCGCAAATATCGAAGAAATGACGAAAGTTCGATTTGGCCAAGTCGAATGCTTTAATAGCGTTTTCCATTGCGATAGTAAATTTAATCCTATTGTCAATGATCACCTAAAAGCAGAATATACTTTAATCATTCATATGTTTCATATTTTTGGCATCGTTTCTTCAATTTCATTAAAACTAACCTCCTCAGATCTACGATTTCCCTGTTTTTCAGTGCGCTTTTCATACAATTTACAGAACGTATTGAATACTCCGAGTGGGTAATTGAAACAAAAACATTGAGTGATCAAAAAATTTTAATTTGTTTTTAAAGATTTTTATCATATTCTTACCTCTTCCAAAGAAAAATTCATCGTCGTGTATGGTTCGCTCTCTAAAAGCTTGCGGTGAAGCTTATCGATTGTTTTATCAAAATTTACATTGTGCTCATTAAGCACCACGTTTTTCATATAATTTCTCATGCCTTCGAGATTTTCAAGAATTTCTTCAAGACGCTTAAAAATTCTGGGATACTTCATATGTATTTCGTTAGGAAACATACGAAGAAATCAATAATTTGGTAGGCAAGTTTGCTAAATCTTTCGGTATTTTCTGCCAATGACGACACTCGGAATGTGCTTCTCTCAATTGTATACTGTCGAGCCTTCAAACGATTGAGGATGAAGCGTGGATGGAAGTAGAAATCGCGCATCATATCTGCGAATTGGTGAAATGATGCACATGATCCGCTCACTTCTTCGACAAAATCAAGAACTCGTCCCATGCGATATTCAATGGCAATACGAAAATCCATTTTAAATTCGATCGGGTTGTCTGTGCGCAATACGAAAGAAATCTCGCGGAAGTCGATGAGCACGTCCTATAGTGGTAGATTTTATCATCGTATATAAAGCTTTTAGTAACCATACCGGTTCAATATGCTCAAATTTTATGATGTGGCCGACAGCGCGAGTAATCATTGTGAATCCACCACCAATATTAACAAAATCCTTACGAATAACTTTTTTGACTTTCTAAAAAAAGTAAATAATTGACTGACGGATGTTTATCAATAAACTAACTTTGATGTTGGTAATTCGCTTGAGATGGAAGAATTTGCACGTCAAATCACCATCCAGGTAAGTTGCAAGTGATTCGACACTTTTCTTCGCTTCCCCAAGATTCATGTGATTTTGTAGCTCCTTCTTATCAATTTGTGCGGTTGGTAAAATTTCATGAAATGAGAATAGGGATGACGGTAATTCTCTGCCGGGTTCGACATCAACCCAATAAGGAACGATGGCAAAAACCATTCTGCGGGATGTCTTTTAAATATATTATCAACTCGATACAAAATAAAAAAATATTCTTCTTACTACGTCTTCAAGATGATCGGTGTCGACGCGTTTGATGCTCATTTCAGGTCCAAACCTTGCTTTGGTATTGTAAGCTTTTTGAAAGTTTCTTTCCAGCCTTTTTCGTTGAGCGGAATGGAAGAAACCCAAATTAAGAAAGATTTCCATGCCTAAAAATTCGAAAAAAAATACTGGTAAACAAAGCACATTGTGACGAAGACGAATCAATGGAGCGAAGCAAATAAGGGACAATTTATTACCTAACCACGTAATACATCGATGCGCGGTACAGCTCAAATGCGGCAAAACCCCAATTCATTTTATTGGTGGTAATAACAAACGGTCAAAATGACGCTCTCAGGGTGTACAATACAGGAACTACGAAAAAAAACTTGAAATTGAATTTGGAAATGGAGCTTTTAGTAGTGCAGATGGTGCGCTTTTTAGAAAATACAATGGATTGCGCAGATGATGTTTTTTTTTCAATGCCCCTTTGTACCAAATAGCGCAGCTGACAAAGTTTTCCAGGCTGTAGTACATAAATAATAGGGTTACACAAGTTTTTGTAAAAACTGTATGCATAATCCACTAGTGAATAATGATTACAAAATGTGAATATTACTTCTGATGTTGTTGAAGATGTAGCGAAATTTTTTCTAATAATTAAGCAATTTGAAATTTCTAAATTTTGTCTAGGATACAACTTAAATCACGTAAAATTATGAGCATTAAGTTTTTTTTTACGCTCGTAAATAAACTTCCCCGACTGATGTTTGTAGTTTAGTCCAACTTATGATGATAAATTAGAACACATTCTAGTTTTTAGCTGATAATTTCTGGAAAAATATTTCGCTAATGTGGGACAATTCCATTTAACTTTTTTTCCCGAACCAAGATTATTTGTGAACGTGGTTTGAGCTCGACTCATCAAGATTCACTTTCATCATAGCAGCTGCTCAAGAAATGATATATAATCGCCACACCCCAAATGATGAGCTGTTTCAGTCGACCGCACTTCCCATCTTCAATTTTCCAATTCACATCACAAGTCGAGACTTTCTAAAAAATCATGAAAATACTTCTTATTCTATTGGTTTTCGTTGACACTTGTGCTGCCGTAGGTCATGTGCAGTCAATCGCGGTTTGTTCATTTAGAAATGGTAGTGAACTTGTCAGCATTTTAAAGGTACATGGGCGTCTTATGTGCAACATGTTCATTGCACCTCCAACGCTGGTCAAACTCTACGATGACGATTTCCGTAAGCTGAAACTAATATGGTTAATTAAACGTAAATTAAATGTTGAGCTGATTTCGACGATATCTTGGACTCTGTGAAGACAAATTACACCGGAGAATTTTATTTGTCAGGATCCACCGTGGAGTACTTGACCATGGATCCAAAATTGATTATTTACCATGACTGCAATCATTTTAACGATGTAAAATGTAGCTCAATAACAAATGGAATACCAAAGTTTTTTTTACAGGCATGCTCGCAAGAGCTCACAATTTTGATCCCTTCTTCCTATGTCACCCATAATATATCTCCAGTCAAAGTGTTCGAAGTTGGCACCATTCAACTTGCTGGAAAGTACCTCGAGCAAACCGTTGATTGTATTCATTGATTCTTTTATTTCTTTTTGTAGAATTAATAAAATTGAGCATTTCATGTTTGTTTTTTTGGTTTAGTGCAGAAACCAATTTACTGATTTATTGATTTATGCATACCGCATCATCACAAATGATATGAGCAAAGTGAAAAATGACTTTCTACCATCTTTTCAAAAAAAAAAAATCCATAAATGTTATCATTCAATATTCAATTATATTCTGTTTTCTATTAAAAGCAGCTAACGAAATTACTTAATGTCGCTAGACGGTTTACGTTTTTTTTTCGAAATTCTTCAAATAAATTTGACTCCGACGCATTAAAACTGAATGGTTTTGCAGCGAATACTTCCGCTTCTTTTTAAAAAACAGACTTTAGATTATAGTGCAATCTATAATACAATATATATACATACCATCACAATGATATCCGTTGATTTAAAAAGACATTCTATGACTAAACATTGATACAGATAAATAAAAAAATCTTCTGTTTTCAAAATGATATAGAATATTCGAAAATTTTCAGATCTCTTCTCAGTTTGCATCAATTTTTGCTACGTTCTTGGAACACTCAAGGTAATAAATTATTACATTTTAGCCAACGCAGAATCGCTGTCACATGCCGAAAAATACAAAAAAAAAACGCCGCCTGCAGGGTTAAACTCTCAGTTATCAAATGAGCCCGGGGTTGAGAAATATTGTGATATGTCAACAAGCTCAATTTTTACGGATTTTTGCTAGACACCTTGGATTACGATTTTGTCGACGCAGAAAAAAAACAGTTGAACACTGCAACAAAAGTTAAAATATATGAACTGGACCGATTATATTGAATGAATTATTAAAATTGTATAAAACGTACAAAAATAAGAAATTTTCGGAGTTTTTCACTGTTTCTTCCGTTTCTTCCTTCATACAGAATAATCTGTGATATCGGCGCCATGGTTGTTTCCATTCTCATACCCATTCCTCGGTAATCAGCTCTCCTTTGAATTTATGCTTAATTACAATAATTTTTTCCGGAAATGTTCTTCAAATTATAAATGTTTCCTTATCTTTTTCTGTTGACGGTTCCATGTATTTTTAAGATATGTTTTTAATAAGAAATATAGGGCACTTTTGATCTATTATTCAGAATACATGTCTTGTTTTTGAAAAAAGTTTTCTAACGATATCTCGAGACTAAGTGAAACATGAAAAATGAAAACGTGAAAATAATATCGGGCTACATCAAGGTCGATATATATATATTTTTTTTTATTAAAGCATTTTTAATATAGCCCCTTGACACAATTATTAATATTGTGCTTATATCCGAGGTCGTTTTAGCTACATATTGCGGTTAGACAACTCTATACGATAAGAATTTCGGCAATAAACCATCAGATCTCTTTATTTTCCATTATTACCTTTTAAATATCTTCTTCCACAATGCCACTTTCAGATCAAATGTTCATTGAATGGTTACAAAGTTAGCTGGGAAGTTTGGAGCAACATAATTTTTAAATGTTAATTTTAATGAGGAACATTAATAATTACTGTTTTATACCTTAAATTAATGACAGTATTATTAACATCATAAAAATCAAAGCAATTTTTTAGGTCATATTGTCAGCAGGCAACATTATTGAGATAGAATATCCATCTGTCACTATTTTTCTGTTATTTTAGTAAATTGTCGATTAAATTTTTATGGCCGCTATTTCGCTGCGTATCAGCTTCGTCCGCACATGAGACGGAAAAAGAACAGCGAAATACACCTAGATATGCAGAGGAATAAGCAGAGAGCATGAACGAGAGAAGAACCTTTCTGCTGCTAAAAAATCTTAGGCCAGCATTTTCGAATTTTTTCCAAACGTCTTTATTTGATTTAAATTGTTGTCAAAATTTGCATTTCTCATTCTTTTAGTTTATTTTGTTTTTTCTAAAGAATTATTTGCAGATCGGCTGTCAATAATTCGAAACCAATCAAAATTATGCGATCATCTGCTATGACACCGGCTCGCTTCACACGATACTGTAAGAAGCTCATATTATTTCCGATTATTTAATAATATCACCGATCTAGCTTTGTTAAATGGTCCTCCAGCCTTCCATACACGAAGCCGTGTTGCTGCTTATTTTCTTCACGTTGCAGTAAATTCGACAAGAAGAGCAACGGTAGGACAAAATAAAAGGTATTGAATAAATTTCTCAGATTTAGACAAAACTGTTGCCGAAAGCACAAGACAAACGAAAACAAGCTAAACAAAAGCAACAATCAAACGGCAAAAAACGAATTAGTGCTTTAGCAACTTCTCAAGTTTGTCAACATGTACCCGATTCTAAACCTACGATGTCTAATGCACAACCAACAATATCAGGACAAGTTGCAACAAACGAATTATCAATTGCACAAATTGCTCCAATTACCCCACTATCTACTCAAATGCCTTCAACGGCTCAAGCCTTTATTGGACCAAAAACCATTCTAGGAAATTTGTCAACCAAAACATCCAATGCAGCCGTCACAGATGCGGAATCGAATACGGTTCAAGCTGTGGTCACTTTTGCAAAAAAGAAAACAATGACGACTACAAGAAGAATTCAAGGAGCCGAATCTGCAAGAAATAAAGTCAATTCTGACGCCCCAAACACATCACGCGTTATTAGAACTCCGCATACATCAATCCTAGCCAGAAAAAGAGCAATGACGACTCCGAGAAGAATCAGATTTAGAAACAGAAAATCGAATAGTATTCAAAATGTACCCTCAATATCTATTCCTTCTCAAGTTTTTGGAAACACGCAAAGCATCAATGCCATTCTACCACCGAGAGTGCCAACACCATTACCAAGGGTACACTACTTTATTTTTCTCAATTGATCTTGAATTTTAGATGTCGGGAAAAGATAAAATGGAGAAGCTACGAAAATACAAAGGAAACATGTTCACTTTCAGATACATCCTCGCTCATATTCTGAATGAGCAAAAAAAACAAGAATCGAAAGGAAAAAATAATGATTACTCATTGGTTGCCATAATGAAAGAGGAACACGATGCTAGGGAATATTATGGCAAAAAAAATCAGCACATGTCTTTAGGGAAAGAAACACGGAATGAGGTCAGGCATTTCAAACCAGAAAATTGATAGAATTTGCCAAATTTCAGAATGTCGAATTTGAGACACATTTAATTCACGTCGATTTTCAAAATCCTGAAGGATATCGTGAATTGAACGATCTTTGTATTGCTTCTATCAAAGTTTTGATGACGGATAATACACTGGATAGCAAAACTTTGAATGCAATCAAATACTTTAAGTCAAATTGCGCGAAGAAAGCAAATAAGCGTTTGATGAGGCACTTTGACAATCAATGTACCGTCGGAGTTTCAGTATTTGAATACAATGGCGACGAGCAAACAGTAAATATAATTAAATTGGAGCAAATAATTTTTAAGCGTTTTCAGATCAAAACTATGTGCTTGAAAGCTTACGATGACCTAGGACTCCAACATCAAGCCCAATTTATCATACTGTTTGTTGGAACGTATCACCTCCCTCGCAGATCAGTGGTAATTTTTTTTCTTAGCTATGAAAATAGCCCAATTTCCAGGATTTTTGTACTAGTAATCTTGGGAAAACTGTCGAAAACGCTCTAAGAATTGCTGATTTGGGCCTCAATTTGAATTTTATTAGTGGCTTTGACAATAATTTGACACCTTCAATGGTTCAAGGCGTGCTGCAAAATCACAAAATGTGTGTGAGACGCTATGCAGCACTCTGGAAAGACTTAAGTCAAAAGCCAATATTCTTCCAAAGAATCCACTTATTCTCTATGGCTGCATCACATTGTGCACAACTTGATAGAGAAATCCTAAAATTCAATAGTGGCAGCCACGAATACAAAAATTCGCTAGCGCGAAATGTTGCGATTCAAACATCCGTAAGATTTTCCAACGAAAATTGTGAACACTTTAGTGATTGCAGGAATTTGTTGCATTTTTCGGCTGCAGCCCTTCAGTCCGACAAATAATATTGACGGAGAATCTACCAACTATTGATTTAAAAAATAGGAAGCAGGCAATTAATGTGTTATATGACGCCTATAAAGAAGATTGCGATCGTGCGAAGATATCAAAGATTAACAAACGCAAGGTGATTTTAATTTTTGAGGGCAATTTCCTTACAATAAATTTTAGTTCAAACAATTACTCATGTTCAACGTTTTTTTAAATATGTGGAAAAATATTGAAAATCTACTAAACACTTTCAATGTCCACCAATCAACTATGCCAGATGAGGTAACTTTTAAAAATTCATAATTGCTTGCGAACTCTTTCACAAAAACTAGCTGAAAGACATTTAGCGAAAATTTTTCAACACAAAACTAATAGATAATGAATTGGCATGGTTTTAATAGAATGTACTATGTCGTCCTTGTCTTCAAAAATATTGAAATGCATTTCAGATGATGCAGCGGGAAAAAGAGAAAATAGCAGCGTATATCGAATTTAGCTGCTATTGCTACGCAAAGTGGAAACAACATAACATGATTCTCTTCAAAGTTTATACCGAGGGATGTCCATTTAAAACTACAGACGATGTCGATTTGAATGTCACATATGTGGAACCTTGGTGTTTGACATATAATGCGGAACATTCAAACTTTTAGCTATCTAATATGTATATTGTTTGTGCGATAATAATCAAATTCTGTCATTCGTATTAGAACATTTTGTAACTATTTGAACTCTCAACCCAAACAATCAATGCGCTTAAATCGAGTGGCCGTAGTAAAATGTTACATTTAATCTAAAAATCTTGCGACCTATTCGCATGACGTTCGAAGAACGTTCAGAACCTGAATTTCATATTTTTTCATCATAAGACATATTCCTTGTAATCTGAATTCAATTAGTTGTACATTTTCATTTAATCATTTAGATGGTAGAATTTTTGTCCGATTTGATTGCCATGTGAATAATGCTCTAGCATGATATAACAACGATTTTTAGACATTTTTTAACATTTTTAATTTTTGAATGTTATAAACATTTGCTTATGGGAAATTGCACGATTAATTCAATCATATCGTAATGCCACAGTTTCTTTGTCGACGATTAATATGTAGATTATTATTTATTTGTATGTATTATGTTAATAAATAAATGTCTTAGTTTCAAGTTTTTTTTTTATTTTGCCTCAATTGGAAGTTCACGGTAGCCGAAAAGAACTAAAAATTTTCGAAGTAGTAGATAATCGAACAATCAAATCGATCAAATACACAATAACATGCATAGACTCTTTGTAGGCATGTCTCCGAACAGGTAACACTACAAGTATTTTTAAAAAGTAGTTTTAGTGTTTCTGCGAAAAATAACGTTATAATTTTCTCAATTTTTCAGTTTGATGAAACATATTTTAAAAACCGTGAGCAAATACTCACAGCAAAAATTTTTGCAAATAATGTGAGACAATGAAACCGAAATAGCAAAGAAAAAGAAACCACGCTTATTGGTCCCAATATGGCAACAAAAATATGTAGTGAATATCTATGTGTATGATGTTTCGCATTTAGAATCGCATTTAGACAGTCGATAGTGGAAATGCGGTCAACATATTTCTAGTTATAAACACTTTGTATTCCCACTGATTTATATGACGTCGTTGAGTGTGTCAAAAAATAATTCTTCCTGAAAAAAAAATAACTAAAAAATGTTACGCTGCATTAAAATTAAAATTATTAATTAATTTTTTTATTAAACATCAGCGCAAATTATTAAATGTGAACTTCTTCATTGGAAACTTTTAATTTGTTATTAATCATCCGAATTCACAAAAAATTGAAGTAATTTGTTTTTTCAGAATATTCTAAATTTCTGTTCAATGGTAAATCCGAATAAAAATTTGGAATTTAGAGATATTTTAAATACGATTTAATTTAATTTGAATGCTACTATTCCACGTTCTATTTCGCTTTTACTTATTCACAAATTCTAGAAATTTTGTAGTTCTCAAATGTCTCATAGTTCAGTAATTATTTACAAGCTTCATTACTTGTAATGTTTTTTGGTTTGGTTGAATGACAGTGCAAAATGACTCATAGTTCCATAACTCGATTTTATTGAAAAAAAAATTATGGTTCAAATAAAATGCGTGCCAATTTGCAATTCGAATCAGTTTTTTTGATAAATTTTTAAAAAAATCTAAATGTGTCCATTTTTTGGTTACTTTCTTATGTGTAAAATTAACCAAATTAATATCACTCAAAAAAAACCATTTAAACAGTGTGCAAGACAATTAAAAGGGTCATATCAGGAAGATCTCTTTTACTTAACAAAAAAACTGACAAAATGACGTGTCACTGTCCATAAAAATTTAATGATCGTTGTTGATGTCTTCGCTGTGCTTTTGTATAAACAATGCATTGCTTCTATTTGTTTGTGTTATTGCATTCGATGACATAACATTGCCAACTCCCTACGTCGCAGATAATAAGCATGTTAAAATGCCACAAGATCGTATGAAGAAAACAATCCTATGTATATGTATTCATAGTGTGTGAAGTGCCATATACATATCGTCAGGCGACTGCTGTAAGCGGGTAGATTTACGTTCATGCGCTTTGAAAAAGTCTCGCAACGCGTGAACGCTTATTATGCTGCTTTCACGTGAGACCGGACGCCGACTATAGTATGAGAGCGTGGACCTATTAATTTGTAGTTTTTTTATTGATTATCATTAGACATCACGTAAGCACTTCGGTTTCCTTGGTTACACATCAATTCAACAAGTTCGTCTTAATTTTTTACTTTCTTTTTTTTTCAGTGATATGGAAGCTTTACATACTCTCGGTTATTTTGATTACCCAAATATGGGGAGAGTTCAAGGTCTTTTTCAAAAGAAGTACAAAACTAATGCAATATTCGGACCAGCAATGCGTGTTCGCCGTGTCGACACTCATCACCTCTCACAATTATTATGTCAAACTTAAAAATAGAATTTCAAAAGAAGTAATTGCTGTTCAGCATCGTCGTCAAATGGTCTACGGGGTATATCCTCATTGGAAAAATAAAATTACTGGAGAATCGCTTCCAAAAACCATCTTCTTCCAAATGGAAGTCTTTACCATTGATGAGATCAAAAATAACAATGTCAAGTTTTACCCAACAAAGAACACACTCGATTACACTAAAAATTCACTAGAGAATTTTTTTGAAGGATCGTTGAGACTTCATTATTTTGGACTTGACAATGTCAATAACACCGTTGACGTATAAAAAAGTTGTCTAGGTTTATTAGAGAAATAAATTTCAGAAGCTTCTGCAAGACTTCAGAGAAGCTTTCACAATGATCGATAACCAATATATATCAGTAATCTGCGTTTTCGGGCACCTACAAAACTTTCTTTGGAGTAAATCGGTTTTATTATACAATATTTAAAAAATAATAATAACCTAATTCTTGTTTTCAGTTTACACCTATCGATTATGATGCAGTTTCAAAAATGATCAAAAGCAATGTTTCAAATATTCGTGAACTTGGCTTCTGCGCAAAAGTGCGGAGCGGTTTTGAAGAGATTTTGAATTTTATTGAATCTAAAACCAAAAAATGTAACGAATTGGCGGCATTCGAGAGTCTTTTCTCCCGCGTATATTTCACACAAGGAATGATTGTTAAGCGCTTCAAGCTTAGATGGTTCTTCATCGGACGATCAACACATGTGCTACCATCTATCGATAATGGAAATCGGTCCTACCCCTCATGGATATACCACGTGTATAACTTTGTGGTAGTAATCCAGCCATATTTTCTCACACCTTCAAATGTTTAGCGATTGGAATGTGTTTTGGAGCAAGTAGCCAGCATGAACCACCATCTCAACTCAATAACCCTGAGTCATGAAGAAATCGACTTCTGCAAGAAAACATCTCAAATAATAGAGGAAGATCCAGTCAATTCACGAAATTTTCATCAAGACGAGGCAAAAAAGTGAATTATTTTCTAACATAAATTTTTTTTCGATTTTAGATTGAGCAGTGCCTTCTGTTTAATTATCCTGTTGCCGTTCTTCAGAAGCTCGGTAAACGAATGGAACATGAAAAAAAATTCGGAACTATGGATCTTTTCGAAGAGGTTTCTTCGAATTTTTAAATTTTTAGGAATGTTTTCTTTCTTCAGAACAACGACGAGTTCACATACAGACTCAAACTCGCGATGAAGCAGGCCGTTGATGCGTTCCGAAAAGCTTCCGAAAATCTCAAAGTCTTCATTGAGATGATGTAGACAATCTAATATTATGAGAATCTCTTCACTCTTAATTCTGTTGACCTTAATTTTTTTTATGACCTTTCATAATATTTTCATTAAGTCTCATAGGTAAAAGCAAAAATACAGTTTAACCAGACATTTGAAATTTGGACGAAAAGCCGTTTTTATTCTAATGATTTTTTTGCATTTTTTTAATCGGTAATTCGATATATTCAAAATTTCTAAAACATTTTTCAAGACATGTGATTTTTTTAATAAAAAAATCAATTTGTTCCATAAACAAAAAAAAAGAATTTGCATATACATGCCCGTTCTTGTTTATGCCCATTCTTGTTCCATGAAGAATGAAATATCTCACACACGTGGCATGTTATTTTTTTTAATAGGATTGAATGGATTTTTGTTGTATTTATTATTAATTTAATGCGTAAGTAAATATTTTCCTTAACTACTTTGCTTCTCGGAAACGACAATATCAGTTCCGTGAAATTGGCATGCTACAAGATGGTTGAAATTATTTTTATTGAAATTACATACTTATTTTTTAATGATTCGATACACCCGTTTCATCCAATTCTCATTATACTGAATTGTTAAAATTACGGTGAAGTTTTCAAAACGTTTCTTATGAAGATGCCTACACGCCGCAGAACAAAAATGATTTAATTTTATTCTGCATAAATTAATTATATCATAGATTTTTAGGTACTATATATAAAAACATGTTTTCCTTCAATTTCCAACATCATCACGAAATTTTTAATAGCTTTTTATAGACATTGAGCATCTAAAATATTGCGAAATGATATGAACATAATTTTGTTTATTGCAAGTGTGCTCCATTGCTAAACAACACCGCGAGACCCACAAAGACGTGGTTGTGGTTTTACGGCTACTTTTTAAAAAATTATTTTTTTGCAGTATTAATGTTTTCTTAATTGATATCAGTAGTATATAAAAATTGCGTAAGAATGCTACAAAAGATTGAAAATGCAAATATCGAAGTAAAACATGTCCTTCGGGTAACTATAATCCCAAATAGTAAAAATTAAAAAAATTTTTTAGTTATGGACAAAACTTTTTTCAATGTGAGAAAACTTTTTGTCATTCTTTTTAAAGTACCACAAACTGAAAAAGAATAATAATCGTTATTCATCTTACAATTTTGAAATTGTATTAACGTTTAAAACGTTTAAAAATAAATTTTACGTTGCATTAAAATTGTGAGACACTGAAAGTTTGAATAAAAACTAAAGGGTAGTTCAGATAAAATACTGAATAGTTATTTAAAATTAACGATGCAAGTAGTACTACAGGATTAATTTTAGATGCTTGATTTGAAATTTTCAAAATGATTTTAAATGCTCAATCAACTAATATTTTCATTTTGCGGATAATATTCAATGAAGTCATTGTATACAATTGTAGATATGACCGATAAAAAAAATTAAATAACCGATAAAAAAAATTAAATACAAACCTTTGTTTATTTTTCATTTTAGTTTAATTCCTGTTTTGCTTTTTTGCTTTTCGCGCTTTAATGACAAGCAGAAGTATAGTATACTCTTGAAATTATCAACATTTTAAACTTTTTCTTACCAAAAAGGCAATATTCACACTCTGTATCACACTTTTCTTTCATCATTCATTATTGAGTGGTGATGAAAAAAAATTGTGGTACGGAGAGAAAAATATATAAGGAGATCCGCGCCTGATGAATATTAAAAGAAGCGCCCAGACCAGTGCGTAAAAGTGAAATAATTAGAATGTTAAAGCGCCCGAAACAGTGCTCTTTTATACTGCCGAAATTCCCATCGTTTGCAAATCACATTAAGATAATGTGAAAAATATATTTGAATTTCAAATAAAATTTAATTGAATCATCGAAACAAATTCAAGGCATAATATGTTTCGCCAATATTTTTCCCGAAAACACCATATATTAAGTAGTGAAAAATAATCATTTCTAGTTTTATTAGAGATTAGATAAGATGGTAGTATGATGTATAACTGCCTAATGCCTAAAATCCACAAATCAGTGTTTCGGATTAGTATTTGTAGTTTTTTTTTCTTTTTAGCGTTTTTTAATTAAAAAGAAACAAACATTGTCAGAAGAAATAAATAGAAATAATTTAATATTGCTTGTCTCGAAACGATTTTTTGACAAAAAATTTATATATGGTTATACATATGTTTATGTACAGGGTGTCATTTAAGTTCCCGCACAACTTTGTAGACGTACATTTCTGAAACTAAAAGTCCAAATCAAACGAGACTCGAAATATTTTTTATCTATAGTATAACAAATATTTATCTATTAACTCTTTTTGATTCGGCCTCTTTTCGCAGCTATGACTTCACGGAGACGCTTCGGGTAGGATGTGACTGTGGTACGCAGGTATTCGATGGAAAGATTGTCCCATTCCGCCAGTAATGTCTTCTTCAGAGCCTCTACACTTGAGTTGGGTTTTGCGTTGACCTTCTCCTGCAAGACCCCATCACGGAAAAGTCAAGCGGGTTCAGGTCTGGGGAGCAATCAGGCCATTCGGATGACTTGATAAAGTCGGGAAAATGGGTCTGGCACCACTCCTGAGTAGTTTTGGCAGTGTATGCGGGTGCTCCGTCCTGTTGAAAGACCCATTTCTGCCCACCGAAATGCGTTTGGGTCCAGGGCATCACATGCTTCTCCAAAATGTTCCGAACGTAGACTTCTTTGTTCATTTTCACCATCTGATCCACGAAAACCAGGTAGCACTTCTCGGTTGAGCAGATGGCACCAAAAGCCATCACACTGGCAGGATGTGAGGCTGGATGATATGTTCTTCCTTTCTCAGAAGCTTGCTGGGATGTTTGGCCAAGTACTCAATGGTTTTGTGAGTTGAATGCCGCCTCCACACTGAACAGCTTCTCGTCGGAGAAGACAGTGACGAGGTGTTCTCCAGACCGCGTGCGAGCAAGAAGTCGTTTTGCTTTTTCGAAGCGTCTCTGCTTGTTGACGGCCGATAGAATTGCCGCTTTTTGGACACGATATGGGGTCAGTACAAGCTTTGTTTTGACGATTTGTTCCATAGCAAAGATGCTCATTCCCATGTCTGACGCCATCTTTCTCATGCTCCTGTGTGGGTTTCGCCTGATCCTCGATTTAACGGCGTTGATCTTCTGAGGAGTGGTTACTGAGACGAGTCTTCCTTGTCTGGGACGGACACTGGTCGTATTTAGCTACTTGAATCGTTTGATGGTGTCGCAAACCGTTCTACGAAGCACACCGACCCGTTGAATGATGTCTCTCGGGCTCACATTTTGCTTATGAAGTTCGATAATGGAAGCGCGATGGATGTTAGCCTTCGCCATTTCTCGGAAACACATCCGAATGAGGTGAAACTTGGGAAATAAGTAAAATACACCTTATTTAACAAAAATAAATTGTATTGGTGCACAAAAAGTGCGACAGTCAATCTCTTCATGGCGTCAAACTTTTGTGCGGGAACTTAAATGACACCCTGTATATATATATATATATATATATATATATATATATATATATATATATATACATACATATATAAATATATGAGATAAGAGATATTTTTTTTATTTTTCATAAACGTGAGATTATTTAACGAATACTCAATTCCGGGAAAGTTTTAGTCTTCATTAGCATAAATTTTTACAACTTAATCAGAAATGTTTTATTTGATTTATGTCGCTTATTTCCGGCAATTTCGATAAACAATATATGAAAACGATAAAAAACGTGATTATTTTAGGCCTTTTGAAGATCGTCGTTGTATTCATTGTTTCCTTTGCGAAGTTTAAGGATTCCCATAACGAAGAAGATGCCGAAAACCACACCGAAGGCAAATGTCTTCAAAGCGAGTTCGACGTTACTGGGATCGTATTCAATGTCAATTAGTTCTTCAGTCTGCAAATGAAAGAGCTTTATTGGCGATCTACTGTATTCTTTTTTCTTTCAATTGATAAATTTCATGAATATATTTTCCAAAGCTTTCTTGAACTTTTTGACATAATGAAAATCAATCAACTAATTATAGATATTTTAAAAATTTACTGCAGTCAAAAAACCTAGCTGATTTCGAAGAAAAAGGTATTGATTTTTCAAAAATCGTTGAATTTTAAAAGAAAGAAAATGATACATACTGATTCAATAGAGTCGACGTCCAAGTTTGCAATCTGAGACAAATGTCCCATGGCTTTCATTCGAGTCGCAATCGATTCGGAATCAATGAGGTCATCGACTTGATATGGATAGTTGGTTGCATTGGCATCCTACATTTATTTACATTTTATGGCATACATATGTTCGAACCTTCTTCAAAATAACGAATTGAACAGTAAGTGAGTCATCAGTTCCCTTGCAATTGGCTCGGAGAATAATCAAATCGTTCTGAAACTGTTGAGCTAAAGAACATTGCGAAAAATTATTTATACGTCGTCAACGCGAAGTGACGATGTGATTTTCTCCCTAAACTCTGCTTCTGGCCATTCATCCAATCCTTCCGCATCATCGTCTATGTTGAATTCAACTGAAACCGCTGGGAAGTTTCCAGTTTCCAAGTCTCTCGCAATAAACGCGTTGCACGAAGCCTCGGGAATTGGGCTTTCCTAGAAAATTTTTTATTCAAAATATTAATTAAATAATTAAAATAATCGTACCTCGGATTCTGATACGGCGCAGGTGCAAGCAAGGTCCGTCCCGATATTACAAACCTCCAAATTTTTATTATTTAGTAAACTATCACAAATATATTGGTCATATTTTTTGTACAAGCACGCTCTATTAGCAAAAAACGCAAAGAGTCGCAGGTATTTAGTTATTAGATAAACTTTCTCCTCACGCTTCAATTCACAAGAGTTTACGGATTTTTTTCCTAATAAAATTGTGTGGCTGGAATGAGGAAACAAAGTTAACGCAGTCAAAATATCGGACAGAAAATCTCAAATTACCTGATGTTTCTCCATAGGGCAAATAGCAGCCATTGTGAATGGAATAACCAACAAGACAACCAAAAACCTCATTTTTACCTTAAAAATCAATCAATCATATTCTTTTAAATAATTATTTGTAAAACACGTGAAAATTGTATAGAACGATAGAAATAAAAAAATGATCGACTTTTTCAGTATTATATATATTTTGCATTTTTAATGAAATCTTTCAATAAAACTCGACAGTATTTAACCTAAACAAGGTTATTTAGAACAATATTTATAAGAAAAATTCGTTGTTACAAATGCATTTTTCCGAACAAGTGAAAATTGTATATGAAAGAGTTAATAGTAATGTGTATGTAGTATTTGAAATTGTTCAGTAAAGAAAAAGGTTAAACGGGAGTGCTCTAGAGTGAATCTCAATTGATATGTGCGCAACGAATGACTCGATGGTTTCGCCGCGCACCGTCTCAAACATATTTCGAGAGCTTCCACCTACCCAAAGCCACTTTATCAGCGCCACTCTACTTCGCGCTTCTGTTAGGTAGAATCCATCGTCTCTGTCGGTGCTCGTTTCCTATGTCAACTGTAGACAACTTGAGTTTTGAGTGATTATACTCATTGAACTTTTGCCATGTTGCGCGCTTCAAAAGGGTTTTTTTACGCAATAAACGCGAATGAGAGCAAATACTGGGCAAGGGGGCTGATTGAAAAATCTGCAAAAAGCCGATGAACTATGACCTTAGCTGCATACTTTCGGGAAAAAATATTAATTTTTTTAATAATGAACTGCTTTGTGCATACTCTTTTTGAAGCTTCCCAAACGTGAAGAAAATCAAACAATTGCTGTATGAAATAACGTATGCATTACGATCCTTTATAGATTATTTTCTTTGTTTCAATTTGACGATTGAATTGATATTGCTTACTATTTTCATGGAAATTGTTTCATATCCGAAAATCAAAAATTGACAGAAATAGCTCAAAATCAGTGGTTCTAAAGAAAATTCGCAGCCGCCGATTCTAGTAAAAAATTTTTTTTTTGGAAAATTTTAGATTTCAATGAATAGAGCAATGCTCACATTTTATTAAGTCAGCGGCTTAATAAAATACGAATAAGTGAATGCCAAAAAAGGACCACAACAATTATTTGTATATGTGAAGTGATGCGATGCAGTTCGTTAAAAGAAATTTAAGAAAAACTAATTCAAAATCTATTTCTTCGTTGAAAAAAATGAGGCTATTGTCTTTTTTGTGTATGTGGTGTGGAGAGATAGAGGGGGGGGTCAGAATTTATTTTTGTGTATATGTGTGCAACCTTTGAAATGTTTACTTTTAATTATTTGGTAAAGGGATTAGAATGGATTTGGAAGTAAGACTAATCATCGAAGAAACCCTAGAAGTTTTTCATTTGGGAAACTTTATAATCTGGGCGAGAAACACTGATTTTAAGCAAATAATTGATTAGTATGGAATAAATGACCGAAAATTGAAAAATGTTCTTTATAGCCTAGTGTGTTCAAAGTTATATTTCTTTAGGTTTGATCTCTTATAAAAGGGTGAATTAATATTGATCGCATATGAATAGTGCATATAAAAGCTTTGCTAATCTCTCGCAACACTAGCAGACGCATGAAAATAAATGTGTGAAGAATTGGAGCTCAAATAGATTATATGTTATTAATTTCTATATTATACGTAAGCTCTGCCAATATTATTCATTAAAAAAAAAACCTCTGACTTACCTGTAGTATCCATGGGTTTAACGTAATAAAAATCTTTAAATATAGTTTTATTAAGCTATACAACGGACACAATTTGCACGAACCATTGATATGTCAAATGAAGAAATATGGAAAAAGATTACAAGAATAAACGCGAGGCGAAAGGCATATTATGAAATTAAAAAAAAGCGAGATTAAACAAATAAAAGATGGTGATGGAGTAAGAGTGCGGTCAGTCAATATAATACAACGGACTAGAATAATTCAGCAGGTTGGCCTATTGAAAACGATTGGCGTTTTCTTTATTCTGTTGTAATTTGATATTTGGGACAACAGAAGGTGAAGGATTTTGTAAAGTAAAATGGGTTTTAGTAACAGTTTTTGAATATATTGGTATTCAAGTGAATAAAAATTTTTTCCAGAAAAAAGATCTAACACGATTTGCTGGTTCTATGATCTGAAAATGTTGAATGGCAGTATGGTGTGCTGATTCTATGGATTCAAGAATTCTAAAACAGAAATTGTAGACTCTAGAGAATTACTTCAGCGAGACAAGGGGGAAAAAGATGGAAAGTTGTCCAAGCTTCAAGACAACTCATAATAGAATTGGGAGATGAGAAATGTTTTAATCATCGCTGCGCGGATCGTCGTAGTCATCAAAGTCGGGATCTCTGTATTCGGTGAATCTGCTGGGAATCGGGCGGTTTCTGGAATGTATCAAATTTTTAATTCTGTTGCACAAAAAGAAAAAAATAATAAAGAAGTAAACATGCTAGGAAAGAATCGTTGCTTTTATGAAAAAAGCATATACTATTTAAAATAAAATGAATGTAACTAGAATTGTGGCTAATATATGTATGTATGAGTAGATTTTTAAGAACTACTATAAATGTGAGAAAAATAAGTAATGATGCAGAGTGGATAAGAGAATTGCATTTATTATCTAATGTTTTTATAAAATTTCGAATATGCCCTTTTTCTACTAATCTGTAATAAGTTTCATGCTTTCAAAACTTATAAAGAAGCTAAATTAGAAATTTTAATTATAATCAGAGTAATTTTATTAATATAGTAGGTGGTGAGGTAAAATTTATAGTGTTTATTGTTCATATACCCAAACTAATTATCAATTTATCCATTGTTAGAAATTGATTAGTTAAGAAGGGGAATATCTTGATTTTTATGCCTTACTTCCGAATATCTTCCAAGGTGCGTATCCTTCTAAAAATGATTTAATACAATGACAAAAAGATCTTAACCAATAAAGGATATTTTCCCGAGCTCGATATTACCTATTTATGCTCTCCAGACTGATTGGGTTACTATCGCGCACATGTTTTCCAATGCTCTCGAATCTTTGTTCCCAGAACTTTGGAGTACGCAGTGCTGCGCTCAAGTAGGACGTACCATTGTTCCTCCAGTCATTTTCCGTCTCAAATTCGTCATTTTCAGAACAAAAAATACTCGTTCAGCAAACCTTGGTGAACATATGTCCAGATATCGGAGCAGTTCCCTTGGTGCTCGACTCACTGACCAACTTATTTTCCCATTCTTGTGGCCTGATTAAAATATTGATATAATTACTTTAATTCCTCCACCAACCCTCTTGGTGTATACTTTCCCTCTGGCCGCTTGAACATATTCACAGAGTGTTGAAGATCAAAGTCAAAGTAGTCAGGGTCATCTCGGTTTGGTCTACTATAATATGGCTTAGGAGTGTACATCTGTAAAAATGCAATAATTGTAATCTACAAGGCTACGATAGTACCGAAAAATCATAGTCATCTCGTTCCGACATACTTCCCGCAGATGGTTCGGGGGCTTTTCGGAACTCTCGAGTTGTAATAGTTTTGTAGTGTTTTGGTAGTGGAGCAGTTTTGAGAAGCCTTAAATTTATCGAATTCTCAGAGTATTACCGAAAATCCCTACATTAATTCAATGTTATTCGCACGATCCTCATATCTCGATTCAATTCCTTGCGAAATGCTCACTGCTGGCGCTGCATATGGCCCAGAACCAGCTGAAACCCCCAATAAAACACGTCGTTAAAAACGCACAATTTTTATTATTTGACGTTTTGCACATAATTAAACTAACCATTAAACATATTGCTGACAGAAGCAGAAGAAGCCAGACGCGAGCGATCCGACAGCGCAGGCGTATAAATACTGCTTCTTGATCTTAAAATAATCCCTTAGACGCTGAAAAACAAAATTCCGTTACCTAATGGACGGAATAAATCCAGTGGAAGTGTCCAAGGTTCTAAATGGACTTTCAGCGCGGATTCTGTGAGGCTTGCCAAGAATCGTATTTTCCATAAATTCATTCTCATCACGTTTTGTTTCCGCACTGCGCTTTGCCTTATGATAAGAATCTTTCACATTTTCCAGCCATGATTTCCATGCAGGTTTTTTAGAATCAATGTCTTCAAGACGATCATCAAAATCGATACGTTTAAATCTAGGAGCTTTCACGCCGGCCAATCTGTAAACAGCCATTCGCTTCATTATTGCATGCCCTGTTGCCATATCACAATTCAAGGATTTGATCAATCACACTTTTGTTATAATGTTTGCTAAACTTCGATGCTTCAGCGAAAAATTTCCTCCCCCCACGCAATTTTTGTTTTTATCGTAGCGCGCAAAAGAAAAAAAAATGAAATGTCACATTACCCTCCCGAAGCGGGGTTCAAGTACGGTACTCTCTTGCGAATAAAAAAGCATTTTGGATTGTTTGTCGCGCGGGCGTAAGCCGTGAGCGTCACACTCACACACACACAAATAGAGCCATTAAACTAACAGTGTTTACTTACGATAAGTACTTTGGAATTGGGATTTGCGTTGTTTCTTTACAAAGCAGCCATCTAAAATCTCAGAACCACAAGCTTTAAGTGAGATTCTCACGCGGGACCAAACAAAACCGCAAATTAAGCATGTGTGGCATAAAAATTGTATCTACCGGGACATTACTCACAGCATATGTAGCTTCAACGCGATTTAAAAGAAGATTGCAATCAAACTAATTGGAACAAGATGGGAGGTTAAAACATGCGTTATTTGACAAAACTAAAGGATTGAGTTTATTGCCTATTGTTATCGATTTCGTTATACTCGAAACATTTTTTTAAACAATTCCAATCATTCTTATTTTCGGGACTGACACTTCTGTCCGACGTAGAAAGAGTCAAATTTCCGTTTTGTTATTCAATACAAATTGTCAGCAAATATCTGGGAAAAATGACTAAGGTAGAAGATCAATCTACTTATATTAAAACTTCTTCGTTTGATAAAATTAAATAACGGAATGAGTTTTCAACGAAAACATTTTAAATATTCAGAAAAATTGTTTTCCAATATTATTTGAAATCCACTTACACATGGGAAGTTAATCCAAAATCTGTACTAGAACTGCGTTCCAGCAAATCTGGGCTAATTGGTCGGATTGATGGGCTCACGGACGACTTCAAGTCAAGTAGTGATAGCCCTTCCTCGATTAATAACGCAGATGATTCAGACATTTTTCCATTTCTCTGAAATTAATGACAAATATGAATATAATATGAATGTTATTCTCACCGTCGATGGTGATGGAGAAATGGTGCCGTTCACATCTGGTTTTTCCGGTTTAATCTCATCAGTCTCGCTCATTATCCAAGTTTCCTGAACAAAAATTGAGTTTGCGGTTATAATGATTTGGATAAGACGGAAAACGTTCGACACTGATACATGAATGTTTCGCGGGACCAATTGATATCGCAATTTTTTGTAATAATACACAGATAGAGACGAGATACGTACACAACACACAGAATAGATGTGCATTTTATCTTCTGTGTTACTCGATCGGAATCGCCCCAAAGCGATAAGATCTTTTCGTTCGCATCCTCATTTTCTCTCTGAGGCAAAAAGATGAAATAGCGCTTTACATGACAATGTGTGTAAATGTACGTATATCAGAAAATCATGTATTGCATAATCTACAAGCATTGTGAGCCTAATGACAGTCCAGATTTTTAAAAAATTAATGAAATTCACATTATGATTTATCAAAAAAAACTTCAACAGTAAAAAGCATACTCAGAGTATTATTTGAAGAATCCATTGATAAGTATGGATTTCAATACTATATCTGAACATCGAAAAATTCGCCGGAAATTATGAAACCTTTCTGAAGTGTATTGTAAACAACCCTGTATTAGAAAACACATTTAAAAGTTGAGCAGTTGTGCATTGCAGTGCTACGATTTCTTCGTTTCTTCAGAGGTCACAATTACTTTTGCGATCATATAACGCGCCTGTTCACTCTTATCCATCTTTTTGAAAAACTGAGGAGTTTATAAGTGTTGGTGGCAGATGAATGAGAGGGAAGGAACCAGGTGATTTGGACAATTTGAAAGCTGCCATCGAAATTTCAATGAGACGTCAAACATCAATTGATCACGTCATGTGTGTCACCCCCACAAATTTTCGGAACCTCATTATTTTTGTTTCCGATTTATGAGGATAACGTGATAAGAAAGTAAATAAAACTTTTTAGAAAAACAGTATATGATTGGAAAGATGATGAAATTGAAGATTGTGTCAAAAGTATAGGTCAAAAAGCTTTCCGTCTTGTCAGTTGCAATCCCAACATTTTTCTATGTGCAACAAACAACTGTGTAGTTCTGTAAAAGAAGAGTAATTTTGCCGATAACAGACCCATCAAAGCAACATCATAAGCCTCTACAATCTGACAGAACACTACCGAAAGAACAGATTTGCGAGAAGTCAGTCGGCAAAGTTGAAAAAAAGAGATAAATCTGAGTTCTTCTATCTGTTTGAGTACCGCAGACAAGCAGAATCCAAAGAAGAAAATTAACAGATAGAGATAACAAGAAAATCTTCGGAAGATTTTTGTGTCGAAGTGTGCACTCCACGCAAATTCTCGATTTTTCGTTTTAGACAAGTAGTAACAATTTCATATATCTACAAACTTAACTAATTCATCTAAATATAAAATAGAAAGATATACAAATCCCTATTAAAAAAGTAAGAAAGTGTTAGTTTTTATTTTTGCATTACATTTAGATGGGATTTTAACAATGCGTTTTCTGAGTTTCACAACGTTGTCGAAATATTAATGGGAACATTCGGAAAAAAAGAAAGAGAATTGAATGAATGAAGAAAAACGAGAGGTTCGGAATTTTTGTGCTGAAGCCGAGTCGCCCGCTCGTTGGTGGGGGATTTGTGGATCTTGCTCCGATTTCTTTTCCATCTCTACGCGGCGCTGATCGTCCGCGGCGATTCCTGTTGAGCAACCGCGAGGGCAAAAACGAAAGTTATTTTGCCTAGAGCTCACCACCAGCGGCGCGCTATTTCGTGGGCCCCGCAGTCGGCAATGCTCCCGCGGGCTCTTGAAGACACCTGTGTGTAAACCCCCCGCAGAGACCCCCAAAGCTTGAATCAGAGACAAACGGGATGGAGATAGCCGATCTTCATTTTCGGGCGGCGGCGGCGAAGACGCAGTTTGTGCTTAAGCGACAACGCGAACGTATTCGCCGGCGGATTTGTTCTCACTTCAATTCAATCAATTTTTTCTGTTTTGTTGCATCAGAAGATGAATGTTTACAAGACTCCAGAAAATATTGAGAAGATCGGTTAAATACAATCATATTTTCTAAGAGAAACTGAACTGTATTTCAGGTTTCTGAGAAAAAGCTATGAAATAAATGAACAACTTACAATATAGTAATTCACGTTTAAAGGAATGAATGAATTAGAACTTGTTTAATTGACTACACATTCTCATGCGAATGCATGCAAAAAAATCTGTTTCAAATAACCAGTTGACCATGAAACTGATGTCAAAAATTAGAAAATCATACCCAGTATTTGCAATGCCTTTCTGTATTAACAACTTGCAGATGATAAATGCAAATATGACCTCTATGTTCTTATTTACTGATGTTTACGATATTTTTTATCGAGATTACTTCGCAGTAACCTTATCTCCATTTTTAATTATACGAAGGGATTTCAAATTCCTGATATAGACCAAAACAGACTATAAAATTGAATAATAATTTTCAAGTTATTTTTAAATTTGGAATTATTATTTTAAAAATTTAATTTTTTAATTTTGTGTTCAATTTTCAGCCAAAATTCCCGAGAGTGCAAAGTTTTTTTTAAAATTTAATATTAATAGTTGAACAGCAATTTTGAAAAATAACATTAAAATTACATTTTTTCAAATTTACAATATAACAACAATTTTGTTTTAAAATTGTTTCTTTATATATGAACTAGTTCTCCGTATTTGTAATAATATTATTTTTTACTTAATTACATCAATTGACACCTTCACCTCATCACTAATTCACACGACCACCTAGTGGGGTTTTCTATATTTATACATATTTTTCCCTGCATTTCATAACGAGAATACTTAATAGATTAGGAGATCACTAAAGAAATAGTGCTGTTATTATCATATGTGCATTAATTAATGACGCGAGATTTTTATCGAAATCGGAATAATTTATAGGTTGTGAGTGCGAGTTTCAAGGCGAAATATGTAAATAGGCTTAGCTAATTCTTCCGGGTTCTTGAAATAGCAATGTTTTGAAATTCAGAGTAGTTTGATAGTAAAATCAGAATTTCTGTGGAATTTCTGTGGGTTTTCAGACATTTCTATATTTTCACTATAGGGCAATCTTTTTAAAGAGCTGCAGTTTTTTTGATTTTACTTAGAATTAATTCTGAATACTTCTACATAAATAGAAATTAAGTTATTGCAACCCACAATAATAAAATAGTGTTCTATTCATATAACATTGACTTTGTTATCTACATTTTCACACGAGTTTAATATAAATTCTAATAGTGTGCATATTTACGAAAGAACACCCTATTAATGTATATTACTGCTGCCGTTACATTAATCTAGGAACTACATCATTGACGGAAAATTTATTTTAAGAAAGTACGTAACAAATTATTTGTTACGTCAATACCCATCGGGTGACAAACGAGATTTTGTTTCATTCTTGTTCATGTAAATTTTTGACGTATTTAACAGGATTAAAGGATTGAAAGGTCACATAGTAGATCTTTATGACTTTACATTTGTGACAAAGATTAAACACTCATTTTTGTGGTTAGACTAGTTTCAGATATCGCATCAGAAAACTGAAATAAAAGAATTTTTGTTTTCATGTCAAATTCAGAGCATCGTAATTTAAAAAACGCTAAAACTGAGATGTTGGATCCAAATTAACGTCAATTTGCTAGAATGTAAGTTGTTAACACAAGAAATCCGGAAATTGCCAGTTATTGTTAACTCATCTTACAAATATGAATTTTTTTTCGTAGAAGTTATAAAAAGCAACGCTTCAAAATTTACTGTACCTAAGGCAATCAATATTTTCTACAATTGGATTCAATAAAACTTTTCCTCAATTAAATCATTGAAAATTGTCAATACCGGTAATTTAAAAAGTACACATTTTGAATCGAGCTTGCTTTCATAGGAGCTTCATACAAACATTCGCAAATCTCGCAAGACCTTCAATATTTATTATATGCAAGTAATACTCTAATAAACCTATTAAGTGTCAAAACAGTCAAAAATGTCACTTCTAGCGTCAATTTTACGTGATTACTTTAGGCAAAAATGACAAATAACACAGTTTTGCAAACACTGAATTGATAAATAATTAAAAACTAATGAAACACACTGGGACAATAGGAACTACACGTAATACAAAATAATAAGAGCTTACGGAAAATAAAAAGTGATCAAATTTAATTTTCCGTACCAATTTTGAGGTAGTGTATTTTTATAATAAGAAAATGCAATTAAATAAATTTACAATGTTTAATTTCTTCCTTCTTGACTATTCCCAATGTGATGTTCGGCGTACAAGCAAATCCATCGGAGCAATTACCGTTCTCACTGAAATTTTTTTTGTGTAAATAAGAAGTTCAAATAAACAATGAGTCGCGGTAATCATGAAACTCATTAGCAAATGTTTGCAATGATTCTAGGATAGTAAAAAATGGCAATAGACGTTTAAAACACATTACTAGCCCCATGATCTAATATTCTTCACTCGCTCACGTTGCCACGAACTACTACGATAGATTCTAAAGCCTTCGTTGTTTCAATAAAACTAAAAATAGCAGAAATATGTAAATGTCTTCAAAAGCCTTAAAAACCCCTTCAAACCACTACAAGCCCTTACAAAAATATGTTTCAAACGCGTGTTACCCTAATATCTATTTCCTAATAGCTGATAATTTTTAAAAATATGTATTTTAAGAAGTACAGAATTAAACAAAATAGCGTCATTGGATTAAGCACATCATTCGAATGAAAAAAATTATTAAAAAGATATATATTATAAGGAAGTTCAGGTCGCGTTTGAAAATGAATCCCGAAGTTCAAAGACAAACCTCGTATTTTTTTTTGAAGATAACATTCTTCTCCCATATTGCATATAGGGACCTAGAAATTTCAAACTTACAACGGATGCAATGATGGAATAGTGAATAATTTTCAAAACAGAAGATAAAGTGAGGCTTGCGTACCTTTTTACAAATGTATTGAACATTTTCTTTTGAATCATATATTTTTTGTGTAATCATTTTCTTTTCTGGACATTGACAATATATTGAAGTTTGAATATTTTCAACTTCTGCCACGATCTCGCCATTTTCGCAAATTGATATTACTCTCTCGTTGCAAAACTAAAAATGCAACGTTATGATAAAAAAGACAATAATTAAAAATATTACGTGGTATTGTATTCCATTTAAAATGATGGGGTCTGATGGGGTTGCACAACGATTATAATCAGGGCAATCGCACAATTCAAATTGGAATCCTTGAAAACTATATGAACATGCTTGAATAGCATTACAATACGGTCGTCTGTAGTTAGTCAGCTGAAAACAATTGCACAATTTTCATTTTTCTACAAGCGATTACCGGTCCGATGGCTATAACAAAATGAATAATCTCAAATACGGTTAGAATGTAACAATTCATATTTGAGTCTGAAAGAATTTTAATGATCTTGATTTAACTGTAAAAGTTGAATTAGTTAAAATGAAATATTTTTAGGGGCGGGCTCATCAAGAAAAAACTAGCTAAAAAGAGGCGGAGAAATGTAATGTTGAGAAACATTGCCGTAGACTTTGAGCCCCAGATGAGAAATGAAACGACCGATAAATTTATTTCTAGCGAGGGCGGAGCGTCAGTATCCAAATGCCTGGCTCACGTTATAAGTAGTTGTGATTCAATGATGTTAAAGAAGAGACAACCCAAAATGTTACTACATGTGGGATGGGGGAGGGTGGTGAAATAGTCTAGAAGCAATTTCTAAAAATTATATCATTTTGTTTTGATCGAAGGCCGCTAGGTTGTAACTAGGGATAGAAAATTTAATGACATAAATGCACAAAGACGATTAAGAGCTGAACTAACCTAATTCACGTCTTTGAATTCATTTGTAACTTTTGAGCCGAATAATTTTAAATGATTGTTTAAAAATTTTAAAGTAGTCAAACTACAGTATAACAGCTCATTTCTTTAATTAATGCAATATAAGGTTTATCCGCGACGTCAAGAAACGTATATTTCGAAACAGAGAATATGATGAAAACCTAATTAGACTCCCAAAATATCTATGGGTAATATAGACATGTTCGACGTCAGAATTTGATGTTTTCTTTCAAACAATGATTATCATCGAAATAATCACTTTCTGGAAAGTATTCCTTCACTAAAAAAATTTAAAAAAAACCAAAAACTATTTTTTTCGGATCATAAAACTGTGGATATTTTTAAAGGTATTTTTTGGAGGACACGAACTAGCTCAAAATTTGAGATTTAATATGTGCGGTTAACTAAGGTTTGATAAAAGAAATGTAACACATAATGTTGAAAGATTACTTTGTTCGTAGGAAGTCTATTAATTTTCCTGATTCCCACAGTTCCTCAATTTTCTCACAAAAGTGACGCAAAAATAATGAAATTTGTGCCAAATTTATTAATACTTGTTCACTGTTGTGGGGTGAACTATTTTATACTTCTTCTAGAGTTTTTACCTTACGGTAACCAATCGCAAAACTTTTGGTGCGTTCTTTTTTCAACATTAAAAAATTGAACAAACTAATTTTGTTGTAAATTACGTGAAATCGGTTTTCGAGAGCCATTTATCAGTTTTCACGTTCTTTTAGGACATACATATCTTGAAAAAATATAAAACACTTTATTCAATATATTTAAAAGTTATTACTCAAATAGGTTTTATTAGTTCTACATTTTTGTGCCCGTGTTCCTGAAATCATTTATTTCATCTTCATACTATGATATCATTGTTTTAAGGTAATTAAGTCCTAATTAGAACTTACTAATTACGCTGCCGTGACGTAGACCCACAAAACAAAACAAATATGTTTTGCTGGAGTATAATGATGATTTGTGCCATAAATCATACCTGATATCTATTTTAAATTTAAATTCAAAATTTTAACACTAATTCAATTTCTCATTTAATAATAATGTGGTTTGAATTAGAATAATTTTTTTATTTCCATTTTTATGAATTGGGAAAAAGAATTTAATGAGTGGTATCTGAAAATGCGAGCACGATAAACATAATCTGAAATTATTGAATCGGTGATTATTATTAAATTTTGATAGGTATGCGTGCAAATGCCTTCTGTGGACAACCTAGAAAACGACGTTTTTGTCTAGTTTTGAGCTTTTTTCATTGCAAATTTTCCAATGCCTACCTCACTGGAAAAGCAAAAAATCTAATGTTGGAAACATTGGAATATTTTTTATCCTATGACTTTTTAAAGACACATAAAATCCAAAGATCTAGTTGTCCCATGAACTCTCGCGAATTAGGAAGCAAATATCAAAGAAGATTTAACAGGTGAGAACTGAGATATATACTATTGCACTTATCAAATGGGAAGGAATTGTCAAGTAAAAGAACAAAAAGATAAATTTATCATTTTTCAAAGTTATTTGTTCTTGAGTTTTTAAGAGAATTCCACTTAATTTAATTTGTCGTCATTATATCGACTACAAATCTATTGGTCATCATTAGCGGTCTGCTTGGAAAACTGTTTTTTGCTCAGGAACGAGTTATACAGCATAAAATATTAAAGCAAAATAATATTGTGGGTGTGTTCAAAATTTATGAAAATTTCAGGCTGACCTATTCTATCACACAAAATAATCTAACCAGCCGTCTGTCCTCGCTAAAGCGGAGATCAAGAATTATATAATAAAGTTAATACTGCCTCATATAGTGATCAATTCTCGAAAAATTCCAAAAGGTCGCAAAACGTCGATTGTAGCAATTGTATAATGTATATGATATTGTGCTGAATATATCAAAATATCATAACCTTTGAATTATTGGACATTTGGTTAAAAAAAAACACAACACATTTTTTATTGGCGTCTTTGCTTGATGGAAGGCTTCACATAAAACACGCCAAAAACGATTGTTTTATATTATTTCATAAAAAATTCTATTTAAATATAAAAAATACGTTTGGAAATGAACAAGAAAAGGGAGAGTATGTAGAATACGTTACTATAATCAAATTAACACATGATATGTCTGGTTTACGAAAAATTGGATTCAGTTCTTGGGTTTTGTACCATATAACAATACGTACAATTTATGACCAATATTTGAGGACGGGGAAATATGGGTAACTGATATAAATTTAATTGTGGACATATAATATTGTAACCGTTGTAATCAATTGGAGATTAGTTTAAAGTCGTGTTGGGAATGGAAAAGGATGTGGAGCTTGTAACTGTCCAAGACTTCTTGCTGATGCCCCATTAGGTAGCTCGTCCTCCTCCTCACCATCTTTTCTTACTCTTCGCCACTTCGCCCTCCGGTTTTGGAACCAAGTTTTTACCTGGAAATTTCCATCAAATTATGTGATAATTACATGCTAGTTGACTGTGTACATTTCTTCTTTTTTTCTCTTTTTCGCAATACATCGCCGACATTTATTTGCACTACCGTAACCTACCGCCCCAGCAGTCAATCAAATAGCAATTACCTGTCGTTCACTCAAACTCAGCGATTTTGCAAGTTTTTTCCTTTCTTGTGGACTCAGGTACTTGTGAGAATCAAATTTGTGTTCGAGAGCATCGGTTTGCTCATTGGTAAATCTATTTTTAAAACGATTAATAGATATAACAAACATTATGTCAATTACCGTATTTGTCCTCCTTTCCGTTTTTGTGGCGACTTGCTCATATATGGATAAAGCCACGACAACCTGGGATCCCAAATATTGCCCATTGGCTGTCCGCCTATAAATTTGTATAGTTCTGATCCGATGATAATTGCTGGTTATTAGTGAGATTGGGTAAATATACGAATTTTGTTTGTATTTCTATGATTCTCACAGTAGGTTTAATGGGATTAGTTGGTATTACATTGACAAATAACTCGGTTTGATAGTTAGATAGCAACGTACCATTAAGAATTGGTGTCTGGCTCGGAATGGCCTGCCCATTTCTGTTCACCGCTTGCGCCATCTGATTTGCCAGCTGCTGAGTTAATTCCATATACGCCCAAGGGTTGAATCCAGGTGGCGCTCCATAAACAACTGAATAATCAATTTTTTAACTTGTAGCCAAAAACTGACTACATATAATTAGCCGATGAAATATTCTAAGAAAGACAAGTCTTTGCAATAAATGTGTTGATATTCAAAACTACACTAGTAGTTGGGAATACATCAGACATCAGTGAATAACGCATTGTAAATAAATTAATCCATGCGAAAAACTGTTTGTTTTCAAAATCAAAGTACAATAGGAATAAAATAATAATGTCGACGACGAGCGAATACGAAAAAGTGTTTAAGTGTCAAAAAAGCAAGCTGTCATTCCAAAAATTTAATAGTGTAAAGTTTATACCTAAGCATAAGAATAGGTTTTGTGCTCACCGTTCACGAAAAACTTTCAATAAGTGGCATTTAGCCAATTTTCCAAAGTTGCGCGACGGCGACAATGTATTATGAATGAGGCTTACCTGGGTTTTCTGGATTTGATGGAAATTTATTATCGATTTCAGTTGATTCATTGTGAAAGTCATTTGAGCACTCGCTGCCTGAAGGCACCGGAGATTCAGATGCTTCTTTTTCTTCCTAAGCATAGACACATTATTATTAGATTACAGTTGCCTAAAAAATTAATAAATATAAAAACCTTTTTGATATGGAGATCATTGTTTGATGATGTAGCTGCTGTTTGTAATAAACTAGTTATAGAGAATTTTTGATCCATCTTCTCGCTTGGATTACAGTCAGAATTCAATAGCGCGACAAAATCGGCTCGAATAGCCGTGTAATGGACCGTGGGTGAATGAGTGATCGGTAGCGCGGAGCACGCGCAAGAAGCACAAACAAAAGCTCGAAAAGTGGGCGGTTATACGGTATCAGCCGCATCTTGATGTGTGTGTTGCCTTCCTCTAATGTATTTCGCGAGTCGTATCGAATGACTCCTCTGAATTTGGAATGATTGACAAATGTCAAATATTTCGAGAAATGCTTGAATTACCATGATTCCAATTGTAATCGTTGCTCCAATAGAAAAACTATTGAGGGGACACTGTCCCCTTAATAAAGGCAATCACCATCTCTGGAAAGTTTGAGGAGGCGTGAATTGGTTGAAACTTTGGTTTGAAAAAAACTTGATAAATGAATTGTTGATTAACCGGAAAATAACAAAAATAACAATAAAATTTACCGACAACATATAATTATTGAGAGCGTATTTTTTTCTTATCTTCGTAGTCTGACATTTGGAGCGCCTTGTGATATAAGAAAGCGATTTCTAGGTTAGTAAAGCTAAAGCTAAATACAATTGTTTTCTGCTCAAGGAGGCAAGAAAATTTTTTGTGTTTCATTGCTAAATTTATTCGTGATTAATAAGATACCTTCTTTTGAGTATGGCTCTAAGACATTAAAGACAAATTTGTTTAATATTCGCAAAATTTTTCTTTTTCAATAGGAACCTTCGACATTCAACCTCAATCTCTTTATGTGACATGAACTTTTGATTGTTTCAATTTTAAGCCAGGTGGGATTTATTTCACCCATTATCCATTTTATTCCAGCGTCAACATTAATTTCATTATAATTTTTGTTTTTCTTCTCTAAAATATAATGAATAATAGATTAATTCGACAATTCAAGCAATTATTAATCTCATTAGTTTTTGAAAATCATTCCTCCTCTTGAATAACAATTACGGAGTACATAAAAGGGATTTTGAGAAGCAATTTTGGATGTGCTTCATGAACCTCAATTTAATCAATTCTATTTGTTCTCGATTATCGGGGAGAATCGGGTAGGCCATGTTTTCCTCAACATATTGTCAAACACAATCAAATTACGGTATCTGCAATATCAACGCAATTTCGTTGAGAGCGCGAGCAGACCTCAAACAACACTCTGCTCAATTACAATCCGTGATCACTCATTGACAAGCCGATGATGATTAGAAAGAGGAGGAGAAAAGAGAAAAAAATTTTTTTTTGTTGCTCACCCGCTTGCGTCCCACTTTTCTCAATTAATCGGCCGAATTTCTACGGGCGCGGCGAGAATTGTACGCCGCTTTTTTCTTCTTCATCGTGTTTAATGCGCAGAATTTGAGAGCACGGGTTGTTTGAGACTGAGCATTGAACACAGAAAAAAATAATACGAGAATGCTGCTCAGCCATAAAAAAGAGAAAGAAAACATGGAAGGATGAACGAAATGATCGTCTATAGTGAATCAATGTGCCATATAATTATACTACAAGCACGTTTAATAGAATATACCCAGACGAAAAAAATGAGGAAAGGCAAAATGTTATACTTTACTCTTTCCTCTCAACTTATGTGCATGCCGATATTCAACCAAAACGAACATTTGCCTTTTTTCAATTGCCAATAAAATTGTAAAAGACTTTCTTTTGAAGTTTTCATGCGTTTCCGGTGAGACAACGGAAGAGTTTACGGATTGTCTCAACAATTGTGCGCGCGTGTTATCACTGTACGGCTCAAATATGGGATGTCATCAAATTGAAAGGTCATACCAAGGCAACAAGTGTGCACCGGATCGGGTTGCAGATTGACTTCCTTATGTAATCGAAACCGTGTTGTAAGCGCTCTAATGCGTTGAATGCTTCAATTTGTTTAGAGGACTCCCATCTCATGTTGGTGTCAATTTCATGGCTAATAGAATACAAAGAATAATCGTGATTTGCTTAATGGGAGAACGAAATTTTGCACATTGAAAAAAGATTCACCAATGACATTGATTAAATGAATTGAACAGATGAAAAACGATTTTCGAACAAAAAAAGGCGCAAAGGTACTATAAGAAACTTTCAAAATCATATTCAGATGTAAAAATTTCGAATTATGAATACAAGTTTTTTCCAAATAATCTATACAATGCACACCTAGGAAACCTAAACTGAGAAAAATTTCCGTAAAAAACAAATAAAATTTGAAAATGTCTTAATGACAAAGAATTATCAGTATCCTAGTGACCCATGTTTTGTGCCCTGCCGATTAAGATATAATTTCGCCTTGAAAATACTAATTCCCAGATTCTAGCGTACATATTTGTCTTCGAAATCAGTTTTATACACATGTATTTGGTATTAATATTTCTAAATGCTGTTTATTTGCCTCTTAATCTATTCCTATTTGGGGGGGGGGTATCATCAAACAGCGCCACTTCAGATTATCACCAGTCGGTTTACCGGTGAAAGAGACAAGCCCTCATCAAGACAAGTGTGCGGCACCAACACTTGTATACACAAATCTTCGGCAGTTTCTTTTATCCAAAAACATTATTGTTTGCCGACAAGTATCATAATATTTGCCGCAACAAAGCGAGGGAAAATGAGTTATTGGTACAAGTCGACTTCCAATCGAGAAATTTCCATAAATTCAATAAGTTTGATTCCAGATATGGTTTGAACTGGAATTTGGTGCTTGTAAGAAAGCATATGACTTCCATTCACTTGAATCTAGAAACAGCATGTGTGATTTATGATTCTAACATGGTTTTGAAACACCTCAAACTTATCTGGGAAAACCAGAATATTAATTGAAAAGACAGAATTTATTCGAACGGGGTTACGGCAAATTGTCTGAAAGAACAGTGTGAAATATCAAATTTTGTTAGTTTTTTTTTCATACTTCTCGAGTCCATTTCCCTTTCACCATCGATTTCGCTTTTATCAATTTTTCATTTTCCAATTCAAACAGAATATTAATCGCGTAATCATTTGAACTGAGCAACGCAATCCCAAAATTTTTATCAAAACAATTTCCAGCAAATGAAAAATGGGTTCCAGGTGTGATTTTTGCGTGTAAATCAATGGTTTGGGGTACTTCCTAAAGTTAACCAAGCTTTTTCAAAAACCACGCCGAAAAATCCACTTACCGGAAAATGAACCACCGTCATGTAGAACAGCTCGAAAAAACAATGCTTTATTTTGAATATAAAATTTGCTATCTCCAATTGTTGTTTATTTGTTTATTTGTTGTTGATAGTTATGCAAACAATCCATATTTCTGTATTTTGAGGACGCTGATAATAAATAGATGTCGGTAAAGAGTGCTCGATGTCAACTTAACGCATAATCCGTATCTATTAAACGGCTATGTAAACACTCGGAGTCATCATTAGTATTAAAAAGTGATGGGTGACCGGAGTCCTGCCGTTTTTATTGTGTAATAAGGGAAGAGAAATATTACTATCATTGAGAAATAGTTGGGTTTGATCGTTTATCGATATTTTTTAGTGGTAACTCTTATGAACAGTAACGTTACCTACAATTCTACATTAGTTTTATGGTTCTTGTAATTGAAACAAATTCCTGACAGACGAGAAGGTAAACAGACCGATTTTACTAGTTGATCAACGCTTTGAGACGGAAATTGCTACTTGATGTTTTAATATACATACATATATTATAAGATAATAGAGGTATTAATGTAATTACCACGAAAGAGAGAGAGAGAGAGAGAGATGCTCTAAAGTACTTTGCATTATGTATATATATTATTTTTTTAATTGGTGACTTTACTAACAAAGTAAGTGATGAATACGAACTCCTACGTCATCATTTGCACGATTTTCGTTCTGCTTATTAGAGTTATACACATTTATTTTGATTCGTTAAGATAAATAACAAAATGCGATTATTTGAACTTAGTAAAAAGAACTTTGTGAATTTTCACATTTCCATCAATAAAAACCGTTTGTATCGACTCATAAGGCTGACGGTGTTCAACATTAGAAATATGCTCGCCATTAATTGTTACCTGAAAGATGACATTTGTTTGGAAAATAATTAATTCAGACCTTATAATATTTTGGGTATACCCTAATACTTAAAGTAAAATTCTGATTGCGGTGCAAAACATTTTTGAGGCGAATCTGAAATGTTCAATAGATAGTTTTTATGCAGTCGGTTTCAGAGAATATATACCTCTTCTCCCCATTCAATATCAATTTTGGAATTAATTTTCATGATCTTTTCTTTGGTCCAGCGAAAGTACAAATGAAGGACCACATTTTTACCGGAGAGGAAATTAATTCCAAAGTCTCTAAAACGAACTTTATTAATTTTCTCATAGCAGTTTTAGAGTTTTGATAGATTTCTATCGTTTCCTTAAGTTCGTCGCGAAAACTATGCACTTAAGAATAACTGACTTATTTCGCTTCTTAACAGTTCCAGTAAAAATAATTTCATCTCCCGATAAAATTCCATGGCATAAACCATACGACGCTGGACAGTCCTGCAATTAAAAATCTAAAATCAATCTTGCCGGAGGAACTGATTACTGGTGAATCGATGTATTCCACAGCCATTGCAAAACCGTGACCAGCGAAATGTCAATGATTACCTCGTTTTTGATTTTTTGCGGTCTCAGCAATTTATCAGCATTTTCTGATTTCTAAATGATGAGAGGAAGTTTCCATAGTACTTCACAATTTGTGACGTGTTCTTTCTTGATAAGATAAAACACAATATATTATAAATATTAAATTCGAAAATGTCAAGCTAAAACTTTATTGGAGAAATATAAAAAAATTAAAAGTCATCGAATAAAATGTAGATAAGTATTTATTTATAAGTGTTTATTTTTATAGATTCGAGATTTTGGGTTAGAGGTTCATATTATCCATATATGGTGTCTCAAAATCACGGACAGTTCCAAAATTTTACATTGAGATCACTTGGCTAAAATGAAACGACTCACGACGCACCGAAAACTTGGGTAATTAACCAACTCTATTGTTCGTCTACCGACTCTAGTCAGGGTTGTTAAATTTTGGGCCCGGCCGGCTTTTTTCGCTGTCAAATTTTCGGCCCGACTCTAGTGATAAATCTACTGTGAACATTTATTCGGATTGTCAGCAACTTCTATTTTTTCGACGCTAAAATTATCGAAAGCATATAGCACGAAAGCATATAGCCTAACATGTTTACCGAGACGTATATTGCCGGCGTCAAACGATCGAATGAAATTTTAACAAATATTTTCTATTTGCCAGGTGTCTCGAGGCAAGAAGATAAGCGCGTTATCGTGTCTGCATTATCGTTAAAAACTTTAAATTCAGCGTCTTTTTTTAGTGTTATGATACTTCACTTACTTAGTCATTTTCGTTGAGTTAAAAAAAAATGGCTAGAACTACAAACAAAGGCATACATTTGCTGAAGAAGAACTCTTTCTTTATCCATAAATAAAGATTCAGAATTTTCTATTTCATTTTTAAATCATGAATATTCAAGAGATTCTAATTCGAATATCTAACTATTTGCTAATAAGTCATGCAGTCTTACCAAAAAATAACTTATTTCCGAAAAAATGTTCTGAAACTACCAGTAGCATTTTGTCCACAATTTTCAAAAAATTCAGTTTTATCACATTGTAAATAAATTACATATGAATTTTATTGAATTGATTATTTACTTAATCGAAATCAATCTATCAAAAAATGATTTAGAAACGAGTGAAGTTCACGAAATGCATGTTCACGTGTCCATCAAGGAATATAGCGTTAACGCTCTGGTAAGCAACACGATGAGGAAAATCTCCAAGCAAAACTCCATTCACAGTAACCTGAAATATTTCAAAATGGTATTCATTGTTCCAGTATCTTATTTTCTCACATGATAATAGGTTGGATATACACGAACATTCAACTCAAAGGTTTGTCCATGGTGAAGTGGATTGTCATGACGAAGCTAAACCATAATTATAGTTTATAGTCCATTCCCAGCAATAACCTCATTTCCCCAAACATTATCGATTTTTGCGTTCAAGACAACAATTTTGTCGTTCTTCCATCTGAAGTCAACTTGAAGAGCAGTGTTGCTTCCAGCAAGAAGATTAATAGTGAAATCTCTGAAATTAAACAACGTAAAGTAAATTGTTAAAAATTTTATGTGCATTACTTCTTGCTGCTATGAACTGTTCCATTAAAGGTTATTTCTGTTCCATGAGTAAGTGCCATCGGAATAGCAAAAGATCCCGGAGATGCCTGGTTAAAAATATTGTTTATGAATGTCAAAAATAATTTTTAACATACTGGCTGATTGATGCGTTGGCTCATCATTTTGAAAAACGCACAAGTTCTGCAAGAATTCACAATTTGCCTGATTTGGGTTAAAAAAAGGAAAAAAATCTTTAACAGCAAATGCCGTTTTTATCAGTTGTGCAAGTTAAAAAGTGTCAACAAGAAAATGTAACTAAAAATGTGCGGAAACGTTTTAAATGTTTGCATAGTAAAATTGTGATGTGAAGAGCTTCGAGTTGGCCTTTTATATAATGTGGCAACATTAACGCAATATCGTTTATGCCCCTCCTCCAATATCAACATTGATAACAGCAATGTAACATTCTATAATACGTATGAAATTTTAATGATGAACAATTATCTTCGAGCTGAATTGTTGGAGATAATCATGGAAGAGATTATTGAATTTATTTATTTATATGCCACCATTTTTGAATTTCAAGCTCAGAATCCATATCGGTTAATTTTTTAAAAACTATTTTTTATAACTCTAGAATCTACACCCGTTCTCTGTTATATCAGTCAATTTTGTAGAATAATATATGTCGTCGTGTAAGTATTCGAACTTATAGTAGTTATATGTATATACATATATATAGTATTTACAGGCGCAGTGGTTTATCGTAGACAAACTGGTTATTTCGCATGTATAATTTTTAATTTTTATAATCATAGAAATGCAAATTAATTTAAAATTTGATCAAGAGAAATAAACAGATCACGTAAATATAATAAAACAAGCAGTCACACGTGGCGAGACCTTAGAAAGACTGCCCGTAAATATATTCTCATACATTAGTAGCCGGTAGAAATTGAATTCTGAAGATATTTTTTGGCATTATATTTTAATAAACGGATTGCAGGCATATCAGTACTACTGACTATCACACGATTCAAATATCATTATTACTCTGCCATTACAAAATTTTCAAAAGGTTATCTTCAGTTTTTATTACTTATTGAAGTATTATCAGATTTGTCATAAATTTTTTCGATGGCATTTTGATAAGGAAGATTGGAAATCATAAGCTGCTTCAATAAGGGTAACAATGTTTGTGGAGGTCGACTAGCAGCTATATTTGCATTTGGAAAAGTGAAAGCAATCTAGAATAAGTCTGAAATGACTTTTTAATTTTTAAAATATCCGTAGATTTCTTCAAAGTCTTTTTTATTAAATTAAAATATCGATTAATTAATATTTCGAAATTCGGAATTTAACTTTTTTTCTCACTATGTTTCTCACTTTTATCAAATTTGTTGAACTAATAATACAATATATTTTACAATTTCAATTTCCTTTCAACACACGTTCGTTTCCTGTTCAAAAAAATATTCATAATTTTTATTTATAATAAAGCGAATTTGAATTATTCATCAGTTTTATCCTACGGTTTCCCTTTCGTGAATAATATATCGTTAATGGAGGCATCTCCTTCGATAAACACCTTATTAATAGTTTCAAAAGGCGATCGATGGGGAAAGTCGCAGATATGTGTGCCATTTACAGTTATCTGAAAATTCATATGAATGCATGTATTTTATTTAAAAAAAACTCCTACGTGAAAATAGAACGGGAAAATTTGAATTAATAGATCAAAATGTTCATCATGATGGAGTGGATTGCTATGCCGCAGCTGAAATTCAATATTAGGTTTGAAATTGAATAAAATTAAGTACTTCATTCCCCCAATGCTCAATTTTTGAATTGATTGCAACAATTTTTACATTTTTCCATAAAAATATGATGTGGAGAGCAATATCCGAACCAGAATATAGGTTGATCAAAAAATTCCTTAACATCGGTTGAAAATTGTTAAAGGATGATTGTTATACTTTTCACCGTTCCCAACAGTTCCGTGGATGTTTATCCGTTCTCCCGTGATCAATTTCTCCGTAATAGCTAATGGGAACTTCTGTAAACATGTATTGTGTAAAACGAACCCGTTGTATCTCACCGGTTTGGAAATTTTTTTCTGCATGACGAAAAGAAATGTTTATCAAACAATTGCAAACTCCATTTTGTATATATGTGAAGTTTATCAGCTAAATCGGTAAATTCAGCAAATAGACGATATTTTATCAAGAAGAATTCTGGGTGACCTTTCAACATTGATTCGCCATTAGAAAATACAATAGTATCGGTCTAAAAATGGTTAATTATTAGCACAGCAAAGGATATTCGTTGGAACAAAATTATTCAAAATTATTCGGAACACAAAGAACCATTCATCTTTTTTCCAACATTCTCATATTCACTCAAGCTTTCAATTTCTCCTTATGCGCAATTCAGTCCAATATTCTGTTCTCGTCGGCAATGACCTGCATAGATCTTATTTCAATTTCGAATACCATTTGATACTGTCAAATGTATTCCAATTCGCTTTACAGCAATTTTGTAGCATAAATATTCAACTATATTTGATAGTAATCTCGTATTAATATGCTAGAATTGGCTGGTCTCGACGTATTTGTATTACCTGCAGCTCTATTTGCGAACTTTCTATTTCGCAGCTTGAATCTACATAAAATTTACATGTTATCAACAAAACCTTCTGCATAAAACGTGGGAAATGCGTGCATTTCTCAACCAATACTCCCACTTTCCAATTCTCCTTCAGCAGTCGAAAAAATCGTATACAATTTCAAACGACATAATGTGTTTTGCCATGTCACGCGACTCTTGTTTAGTGCCCCCCATTAATTTGTTGCTACGTTACATTACGGTTTAATCATATCTAAAATTGTAGACAATAATTATATATGTAGGCGAAAAATATAGAAAGTGTGTAATTATATAGAGTGTCTGATATTTTGGCATAACATGACTTTTTTTTAAACCATAGCCGGCAACCAATTATTGGCGTGTTGGAGAAATCACAATTTGTGCGACTAGGACACGCCCACTCAAGCCTCGGAAATCTCGTATAAAAGCGATGAATTCAGTCGTTTTGTACTGATTTCTCATCTCCAATTTCACCCATCGAGCTGGCTCAATCCGTTCATCTACCTGTGCCATCGCACACTTCCCCAGTGTGTTGCAATGATGCGCGTATGATGAATAGATAGAGGCATTCTCTCTCATTACCCATAAAGTCTCATTACCATTATAAAGTTATTCAGTTAATATTCCACGAAGCAACTTCATCCAATTCATCTTCTGCATGTCATTGCAAATATTCACGTAATGACCGCCTCCGAGTGCAATGATATTCATCTATATGGACGAGTGACGACGATTCTGTCGGTTTTTTCGTCAATTCCGCTTCAATTCGATTGCGGGGCATTTCCCCATTACCTCGTACTCTGAGTATTAACCTAGATCAGAAATGGTTAATACTGGATTGCGGGGAAATGGGTGTTGTCTTGATACGTTTTTTTTTACAAAATTATTTATTTTTGGCAAAATGAATATGAAACGATGATAACTGAGCAATTCCAAATACAAACATGGTTTACAATATGCTATCGCCATTTGATGGGGAATTTCTGAAAAAAATTGAAAGAGAGGGAATAAAAAGCAAATCGATAAGACAACTTTGATGATTTCGCAATACTTTGCAATTTTTCTCATAAAGTCTGGGAGACAATTTGAATGAAACTAATAAGGAAACACCCTACCAGCTCTTTTCTTTTCTTTTGAAAAATTAGAATAGACGTGAAATATTTTTTAAATAATAATAACTCATGTAGAAAAAAACTTTCTCTATATATTTTAATTTCATGTGAGATTTTTTTGGGAGTGGCGTCATTTTATGGAGAAACCAGCTTCGTTTGATCTGAGCGTGTGTACGTGTGGAAAAACTAATATTAGAAATCAAGAAAAAACGGCGTTGCGAAAATTAAAATAGGTTAGTTCAATTAGTTCTATGTTATGAATATAACATTAAGGTAATTTTTTTAAGTATTGAAAATAAAATTTTGATACAGATAAATTTAATAGTGTGTTTAATTAAAGATATCCATTTTCATTGAAATTTTGTGAGCACTACGCCGACTGTACAAGCTGTTAAATAATAATTAACAAATGGATAAACTTTTCTTCATAGAATTTTTTCAAGTTTCTTATTTCATAAATTACTCATTTCGAATATTTTGAACAATTTATTTGTTTCTTTATCTCAACCTGACATGTTTTCCGGATTGGCCCCAAAAATATCCCGCAATCGGCCCAAATTTAGGTCCAATTGTGTCGTAATGATATGTGGCAAACTGTGAAACACGTTTTTCTATTGAATTTGTAATGTTTTCGGGAACCTGTTCATGTCTATAACACTAATTATTACTTCACATCAGAGAAAAAATTTCGGGACATCTTCTCCAAAAATGATGCTCTTATTCTGTAATATTAATATTAAAAAAATAAAAACATGAACGTTACAGTTCTGGATTTAATCATTCTTCTATTATCTGAACATTGGAATGCCTCTTGAAATTGCGGTAGGTTAACAATTGATAATTCTCTATAAGCGTGTGGCCAAACTCATGGGCAAGTGTGAAACCAATGTTGCCAATCTTAATAAAGTGCTTATTATTATTGTAATAAAAGAAATATCTCACAAACACATTGAACTAGCTTGCATGCCGACAGTCGAATACAAAGTAGTCAACAATAAGACACATAGAAATTTCATATCGAATGTTTCCAGTTGGTCACGTCTTTCTTTTTTATACATTTTTCTATAATCAACTCATAATATTCTTTTGTTAAAAATCTTACATTCTAAATACACCGTAACCTTCTAATCATTGTTTGAATTTTAATTGGAGGTAAATTCCTCAAATAACAATATTTTAGAGTATATGCAATATGAAAAAATTTGTGAAACTTTGGTTTGAATTCTTCGAATTGGTAACAGCGCTGAAAGAAACACATTGCAATTAAATTGTCTATCAATTGTTTTTTTTTGAAACAAATACAAAATTATTCGCGTTCATCAAAATGGTTTGCTAAGTTTTTTTTTTCAATGTATGATTTCATTTAGAACAAACCTCATATATGTATATAAAATATACCGTACCAAGCCGTTAAGCTGCTAATG